AAATTTGATTCTTAAGGTGCATAAGTTTGCTCCTTAAGGTGCATGGATTTAAAGTTTAAGGTGCATTACTTTGAATTTTGATTGTCTTACATTAAAAATTAAAGCTAATAATTAATACTTCAAAGCCGAATGTGCACAACTTTACTCTTTAAAGTGTATGAATTTAAAACTTAAGGTGCATTACTTTAAATCTTGATTGTCTTGCATTAAAAAGCTGAGAATTACTACTTCCAAACCGTAGGTGCATAACTTTATTTAAACATTAAGGAGCACAAGTTTCCTCTCTTTAAGGTGCATGGATTTAATTGATGTGTTGAAGATGCAAAGATAACAGTGAGTAGTGGAGAAGATGTTGTAGCTTTGCTTTATTTATTTTTTTGTTTTTTATGTTTTTTACTTTTATACCCCTCAACACGTGAATTCAAACATAATCATCGGCGGATTAAAAATTACAATCAACGGGTAAAATCAAGTGATGAGTGTTAGATGCATGGATGGTTATGATTAATACATATGTTTCACCTGAGAGAAGTTACGTATGATCCATTGTCTATAGTCAAAGCACAACTGAAGCCTAAAGAAAAGAGAATAACAAACTAACTGAAGACTAACTCAAGTCACATGTTTGCCCGTTAAGCACATTTGACTTATCGCAATCACAGAATAGGTGATTCACTAGAAAGTAAGCATAGTGTAGCGATAAAATCTGATATATATATATATATATATATATATATATATATATATATATATATATATATATATATATTATTCTGATTACACGTGACAAATTGAATGTTAGTTATATTTATTTATCACACAATTCATACAATCCTAACCTTGGACACTCATTTTATAACGGAAATTGTTGGATGATTGATCGGTGTCAAGCAAATAGTTGCAGACAATAATTAAAATTGTATTTATTATCATTATTAATTATTATAAGTTAATGAAACGACGTGCAAAAACGAGCCATGCACAGATCGATGAGTTGTAAGGCATGTGGAAACAGCAAGTGCATCTTGGATCTCGTTTTGCATGCACTAATTGTTTATTATTAATACGAGTACTAATATTGTCTTTTATATATTATAATTCCTTTAGAATTTTTTATTAAATTTTTTTATTACAAACGCAACAAGAACATCCCCAATAGATAATTTTTAGGTGATTTTTTATAAGGTCAAATGTATTATGGAAGAGGGAGAAGGAGGAGAGAGATCGAATGTGAGAGATCTTTGCAGGAGGATTTAATTTTTTGATTCTACTGTGGATTCTAGTAAATAATTTATAAGCTCTCGGTGACCATTAGGCACACCAGAAACGTCCAGTTGGACGCGTAATATTTTTTTTTTGTTCTGACGACAATAATTTTTTTTTTTTTCCTTCTTACTTCTCTCCTACTTACACCTAAAAATTTGTGAAAAAACTATACGAGGATGCTAATAAGATAAAGGGACACAAACCTGCAACATAACCAACACAAAAGTAAGATACAAGTATAGTAACGAGTGTAACTTGATTTACATGTAATTAATATTCTTTTATTACAAAATAAAATCTGTAATCACTATTTAAAAATATGTATTATTTTTTTATTTAATAACCCATAAATTACACAAGTGAATGAAAATATAATTATAACAAAAAATAAAATAAAATTTAAAGAATGGCGAAGCACATTGTGCTCAAATAGATGTAGTGGCCTCTCACATGTGAGAGGTCATAAGATCGAACCTTAGAGTCTGGTAGCATCTAAAAAAAATTAGAAGAGGGTTATGCATGGATTATATATATATATATAAAACTCTGCCGTCTCCATTGGCAAACCGCAAACACAAGAAGGCCGGGAAGATGGGAAAGGGAGCTTCTAGTATTGTGCCATTTCTGGCAGGCATGTTAATGGTGTGTGCAAGTAGTGTTTCCACAGAAGCAAATGGAGCCCAAAAGGTGGCTGCAGACGACAGTGGTACGAGGTTGACGATGTCGGAGCTGAAAAAGACAGATTCTTGTAACCTGTTCAAGGGAAAATGGGTTTGGGACGAGTCATATCCCATGTACAATTCCTCGGCCTGTCCGTTCATTCCCAAGGAATTTGACTGCATCAAATATGGTCGACCCAATCAGCAATACCTCACGTATCGATGGCAACCCAAACATTGTAACTTGCCCAGGTATAAATTGTTTGAAATTTCTAACTAGTTTTGATGGGTGGTTGGGAATAGGGTAAAAGGTGTTATGTTTATAACTTAAACTCTATCATTTGTGTGGTTGTAGATTTAACGGCAAAGATTTCTTGAAGAGACTCAAAGGGAAGATGATCATGTTCATTGGGGATTCTTTAAGTGAGAACAATTTCAATTCACTATTGTGCTTGCTCAGCGCTGCAGCTCCCGGCAGGTTCACAACAGAGCAGAAGACTATAAACTCTCGAAGCTTTACTGTTATCACATTTCAGGTGTGACCTATAATGTATTAATGTTTATAGGGAAAATGGCACTTTTTCCCCCTAAGTTATATACTTATAGCACTTTTCCCCCCTCAATTATTTATGTAAGCACATTAACCCTCTCAATTATTTTAAAAGTGGTAGTTTTTTCCCCTAATATATTAAATTGGCATTTCTACCCTTAAAGTAAACATTTTATTTATTTTACTTCTCCAACAAATTATTGCGTATATGTAGCGATTACCACGGTTCGGTTCGAATTGAACAGACACTATAACAATTGAATTAAAAGTTTTCAGTTATGATTCAGATTTAGAACTCAATATTTGAATTTCAATTTATTAAATTTAAGAATAAAAAAAATTGGATCATGAACCGTGAACCGGCGGTTCCGAATCCAGTTCGCGATTTTGAACCGTCTTTATTTTTTAAAATTTTATTTTTTATTTTAAAATAGTCTAAATTCAACAATAAATGTATTTTATTTTTTCAGTTCAAAACATGAACCGGACATTCCAGTTCGCGATTTTAATAAACTCTAAATATCGCGTTTTGATTATAAATTGTAATTGGAATATTTTTGTTTGGTTGCTATAGTATCTGTTTGGTTTGAACAAAATTATAGTAATAATTTGTTGGAGAATAAAAATAAATGAAATATTTATTTTAAGGGTAAATATGTCCATTTAACATTTCAGGGGGAAAAAGAGCCACTTAAATAATTCAGGGAGAAAAAGTGCTATAAGTATATAACTTAAGGGGAAAAAGTGCCATTTTCCCATGTTTATATGTTATTCTTTTTTCTTCCAAAAGGCTGAACCCCAACCCTAAGGGTCCCCCATACCCCGACCCGAGAGAGTATTTGGGAGAATGTAAATCATGGTAACTCAACTGAACATGAACCACATAGGTTAGACCTGTGCTCACTGCGCACAAAGAACCCTCCTCACTTTGAGATGTGACGACCTATGATTCTTGTCGCTGACGTAAGGTCTTGACTCTTGAGATTCATATCGTTATCTAATGCAGGATTATGGAGTTGAGGTAATGCTATTCACCTCTCTATACCTCGTAGACATCGAAAAGGAGAGCATTGGACGTGTGCTAAAACTAGGATCCATCAAAGATGGAGAAATATGGAAGCAGGCGGATGTTCTTATCTTCAATACTTGGCTCTGGTGGAGAAGGACCGGACCTAAACAACCGTAAGGCAATCATCAATTTTTACAATATTTGATATGATATGCTCACACTATTAATTACTTTAGTACTAACGTTAACGTGTCTTAGCTTGTGACATTGCAACAATAATTATTTTAAGTTACTTTAATGTAAATGAAAATGTTTGTATATAGGTGGGATTTTATTGAGGATGGTAATAAAATTGTGAAAGATATGGATCGAGTAGCTGCTTTTCAGGCAAGTTTAAAGACATGGACAAAATGGGTGGAGACACAAGTCGATCATAACAAAACCAAAGTGTTTTTCCAAGCTGTGTCTACCTCACATTACAAGTAAGATTATATTAGGATTATCATATCATTGAAAAATGTGACAAATTCTCCTACACAAAGAGTCAAACTCACAACTTCATATAAACAACTTGGTGCCACTAGATCATAAGGCCTTTCAGAATGTTTAATATAATTAACGAATGGTACAGCGGAACAGAATGGGGCGAGCCAGGAGTGAAGAATTGCCTGAAGCAGACGACGCCGGTGAACGGATCGAGTTATCCGGCCGGACTGCCGTTGCCGGTGCGGATAGTGAAAGGAGCCCTGAAGAAGATGAGGAAACCGGTTAAATATCTGGACATAACCGTTCTTTCCCAGTTAAGGAAAGACGGACATCCTTCGATGTACAATGGTTTCAAGGGCATGGATTGCACCCATTGGTGTGTCGGCGGCGTGCCGGATACTTGGAACCAGCTTCTCTATGCACTTCTTGTTTCTCCGGCAACAAAATAGATACATGCACCGTTATATATATATGTGTTTACATTATTAAATGTGGAATATAATGATATAGAAGCAATTTTTTTTTGTTAGGAAGATAGTGATGCAAGGATGACAACATGAAGCACTAGTGTGGTAGGTTAAAGGCTAATCAATTAAAGGTGTGATGAGATCTCAATGAATAGAACCAAACATATTGGAGTAGCAAAAGTTATGCTCCAAGTGCAAGTCTTCATCATATCAAGCTAGCTTTAAACGAAAGCAAAACTCCATCCATCACAAGTCTAAGTCATGAGAAAATAATAGTAAAATGGTAAAAATAATAGTCTGGAATTAAATTTAGAATTATCCAAACACAAAGGACATCAGATGGAATTAACTCTTAAAATCAAGATTTAACTCATTATGTATCAATGGAATGATTAAATTTATTCTGAAACTCGAAGTTAAGGTAAACTTGATTTATCTTTTCATGGGTTTAAGAGGGGTTCATAAGATTCAAGATATAGCCTGAAATAGCTAAAAAATCTGGATTTAAAAAAAAAAATATGTATCATTTACCTATGCAACCACCTTAAAAACATCATATATTTGACACTTGAAACTAAAGTTCAAAAATGGCTTCTTTGCCTTGTTATTCTCTGTGCTTCTTCCTCTTCGTCTTCTCGGCGCTGTTTATTACCCTCGATGGGGCTTTCTACCGGGACGTCTCCGGAGCGGTGCCGGCGAAGAGGGTGAAGAAGACGAGCCACTTCCATTTCTACTTCCACGACTTCACAACCGGGCGAAACACCTCCGCCAAGATAGTTGCGCCGCCGTCGGCGGGGCTCTACGACTTCGGCACCACTTTCATGTTCGACGACGCTTTGACGGAGACCCCTGACCGGAGATCGAAGCTCGTCGGGAGAGCGCAGGGGATGTACGCCGTGACGGCGCAGCAGGAGCTGGACTTGCTGGTGGTGGCCAACTTCGCGTTCACGGAAGGTAAGTATAACGGGAGCAGCATCGCCGTTGTGGGGAGAAATCCGGTGGCCGACGACGTCAGAGAAATGCCGGTGGTCGGTGGCAGCGGCCTGTTCCGGTTCGCCCAAGGCTACGCCTTGGCGCACACCGTCTCGTTCGATCGGAAGACCGGAAATGCCGTCGTGGAATACAATGTGTTTGTCCAACACTTCTGATACGTATCATATCATATATCCATCGCTTCAATTCCTTCATATTTTGATATCTTACTATTGTTATTCATCAATAACACAAAACCATGATGCAAATATATTTTATTGGTGAACTGGCACCGGACGGAGTTGGTCTATCGTTGACTTGATAAATTATAAGATTCAAGTTTATTCTCTTGATCATTCTCTATGGGTTGTTCTATTTGCTTTTTCGTACACTGATAGTTTTTTTTCTGCTATTATCGACTACTCATAGAAAATGGTCAAACCCACTGGACTACCCTAGAAAGACCTTGTACGTGGAATTATGTTTTATTCACTTGACTATTTTTTTTTAGGCAGTTATATAAATTTTTGTGAGCGATTAATAATGTATAACTCTGTCTCATTTTATCTGTCATACCTACTATTCATAGGTCAAACCAACTATTTATTCTTTATTTATTTTCTTTAGTATTTTTTATTTATTTTTAAATTTGATTTTTTGTGTTTAATAGTACTGTTAGTGTAGTTTCTAAATATATAAATTTTGCATACTAATACTAAATTTAATATTATAAAAAATTAGATTAAAAATAACTTCAGTCAAACTCCGTTAACCAAATCAAACATATAAAATGGGACGGAGAGAGTAATTGTTTTATCTTTTGGACTATGGTAATTGGGCTACTGTAATTGTTTAATCTTTTGGGCTACCAAAATTGGGCTTCTCATTATACCAACTAGAGATTGGGGATGGACATACACGGAATGTTATGCTATGCAACTCTGTGTACCATGTTAGGTGTCGGTTTCAATTCATAATTTTTATATTGTAGATTCCTAATTTTTAAATTATAGATTCATAATTTAAATACGAGTAGATTAATAATTTCTATACTGTAAATTCATAATTTCTATTCTACAGATTCATAATATATGTACTGATGTAGATTCATAATTTCTAAATTGTATAGTTATCAAATTATGAACATATAGTTCTGTGATTTGTGAATACAAAGTTCAACAATTGAGAATATGGACATATAGCTCTATAGTTATGAACATATATTTATAAAATTATGAACATATAGCTCTATCACATGTTCACAAATCTAATACTGTAGATTCATAATTTATATACTGTAGATTCATAATTTAAATACATTAGATTCATAATTCCTAAACTGTTTGATTGCGAAGAAAGAATGGAATGTTTGATTGCGAAAGAAAACCGCAAAACACCGTTAACGACGATGAAAAAGGAATTATTTTTTTAATTTAGAATGGTGTCATTTTGTAACAGTATGCACCATGCATGGGCGTACATACACTTGGGCCTCTTGAAGGACCATTTCAAAACCTGAATGGATAAAGTAAATAACTGAATACATCTCAACAATTTAAGTAAATTATTAAATGTGTTCCAACAATTAATGGATAAGGTAGGTAAATCGTCAAATAGATACAAACAATTTAAGTAAATTATCTTATATGTTTAAGCCCAATAACTTCCTGGAATTGCTTACGCCAAACCAGGAGTAGGAGTCTAGGGATAGTTATGTTGTGCATCCGTATGCACTATGCATGGTGCATATGGATGCCAAAACAACGTCGTTTTATTAAAAAACGCGTGTCTCCCCTTTAAAAAAAATTCAGGTTCGACTCCCAGCAACAACATTATATTGTTCATTCATTCTGGAATTTTAGTTCATAGATTATGGAATTATAGTTCATTGATTATGGAATTATAGTTCATCGATTATGGAATTGTAGTTCATCGATTATGGAATTTTAGTTTATAGATTATGGAATTTTAGTTCATTCATTCTGAAATTTTTAGTTCATAAATTAGATTATGGAATTATAGTTCATCGATTATGGAATTATAGTTCATCGATTATGGAATTTTAGTTCATATGTTGTTGCTGGGAATCGAACATAATTTTTTTTAAGGGGAGACGCGCGTTTTATTAAAACGACGTCGTTTTTGCATCCGTATGCACCATGCATGGTGCATACAGATGCACAACATAATTTGCCGGAGTCTAGTGTTCCGACCAGCAGCAAAGAGAGGGGTTCGACCAACCACGGAGTGATTGGTCGGTCGCGCCTTAGTATCTCATCCACCAATACCGATCAAGGATGACCTTTTGAGATACTAGCTATGTGCCTCTTAGGCTAACCTCAACCCACCAAGTGGTTCACTTGCTAGGTGAGGTGGCTAAAAAAATATTAATTTTTTATTGCATATCATGTCATGTGTCTAGCAAGCTTTCTAACACTCACAAATGCTATCGCATGGTAGCTTTTGTGTACTTTTTTATTTATTTCTTATTTGTGTACTTTAGTTATTTATTATATTATTTTATTATTATATTTATAATATAATATGAAAGTGAGAGAATATTACAGAGGTGTAGAACAAATAGTAGATAATTTATAAATTTGATGATGTTGAAGTGGAATCCATTTTAAAAAGTGAGAGAAATTTCTAGGATGAGTATAGCCTTACTAGCTTGTTTTTCTAGGGTACGTATGACATGTAGAAACAAGACACTTTAATATGCCATGGACAAGGAAGAGGTTTTGCCACTATGGAGCATGCTCAACTGAGATGGTATTAGTAAGAATTGAATCCATGACCTTTTATACCATAGAGTTTTACTACATGTATTTTTAAATGTTACTCTTTCAAACTTACTCTCATGTAGCGAGCACTGATATGTTAATTTTTTTTTTATGTGGGCCCTTGTAAACATGTCTACATCAAAATTTTAATTGTATGAGTAAAAGTTTGACATCAAAATTTTAATTGTATGAGTAAAAGTTAAGAGTAGAAAAAATGAGGACATATAATATTTTCTTATACCATAGTTATGTTAGTTTCATACACTCAATCACCATTTTTAAGACTTTGATTTAGTTAGGGTAGTGATGTAAGGATGACAACATCACACACTAGCTAGTGAGGTAGGTTAAAGCTAGGCTAATAAAGGTGTGATCGATGAGATCTCAATGAATAGAGCCAAACATATTGGAGTAGCAATAGTTATGCTCCAAGTGCAAGTCTTCATCATGCTTTAAACGAAAGCAAAACGTACTCCATCACAAGTCCAAATAGTTGTTGACTGCGCAACTGCAAGGAAAATTATACTATGGTCCATGGTTCAAAATGGGACAAATTATGTTGTGCAAGCCATACACAATTGAATTCATAATTTTTATACTATAGATTCATATTTATATACTATAGATTCATAATTATTGAATTCTATATTCACAATTACAAAACTTTATGTTCATATTTCCAATTGTTGAACTTTGTATTCACAAATCATATTGATAACTATACAGTTTAGAAATTATGAATCTACAGTATAGAAATTATGAATCAATAGTATAGAAATTATGAATCCAATTTCGTGTGCACATTGCATGGTACACACGGTTGCACAGCATAACGCTACAACACCCGTTCCGCATAAGTAGTTCTGTTTGTATAACATATTCAGTTTCATTTTATATACATTGTAGTTTCATTTCAGCACAAATATAGTTGCATTCGACATTATACATATAATAATAGTCTTACCACCCTGATACATGTTATTGAATTTCATTTTATACACACTGTAGTCTTATTACAACACCACTGAATTATAATTCTAATTCAATTACGGTTTCATTAAACGATATACACCCAAATATGTGAAATTGTTATTCAGTTTCATTTTATATACATTGTAGTTTCATTACAACACAACTACAGTATCATTTCGATATAAGTGCAGTTTCATTGCACAATATATACTCAAATATGTGAGACTGTTATTCAGTTTCATTTTATATGCATTGTAGTTTCATTACAATACAACTACAATATCATTTCTATTCAACTACAATTCTATTTGACAAGAATTAATTTCACTTTTGGTCCCACGACTTTAGAGGATCTATCACTTTTGGTGCACAACTTTAAAAATTTTTAATTTTGGTGCCTAACTTTGTTGTTTTTATCAATTTTGGTCCTTTCAACCAAATTGACGGCGAAATATTGCCGGATTTTATATTTTTAGGGGTAAAATCGTCATCCCAATGAAACATCTTCAATATCTAAACAAAATCACTCTAAAATCATATCTATAAGTGTTTGATCGATGAGAATAATTGGGAAGACGGACAAAAACTAGACACAAATCTATGAGATTTATAGCATCGACGATTGCCAAACTCTTATATTTCTCTTAACATGATTTTTCTTTTGTTTAGATATTGAATATCTTTTCTTGGGATGACGATTTTGCCCCTAAAATGTAAAATCCAGCAATATTTCACAGTCAATTTGGTCGAAAGGACCAAAATTGATAAAAATAACAAAGTTAGACACCAAAATTGAAAAATTTAAAGTTGTGCACCAAAAATGATAGAAACTCTAAAGTCGTGGGACCAAAAGTGAAATTAGTTCTATTTGACAATATACACTCAATATGTGAGACATTATTCAGTTTCATTTTATACATACTGCAGTTTCATTTCAACACAACTAAAGTATCATTTCAATTCAATTACAGTTTCATTTGATAATATAAACACAATATGCGAGACATTTTAAATACACTGTAGTTTCATTTTGTTATGAACACATAAAAAAAAAAAAAAAAAAAAAACAGAATTTGTTAAAATGTAACGGTTACTGCCGTTTCTTTAAGGCGCCGTTTTCTGACCATGGTCCACAGTATAACAACCGCAAGTGCAACGTGTACCATCAAAATTAAACCTTACACGAATAATTTAGAGATGAGTTTCACCAATTTAGTCTGATGTTAAAATTAAGATTAAACTCATTATATACATATTGAATGATTAAATTGGAAGACTCAATTTATCTTTTCATGAGTTTAAGGAGTTCCTAACATCCACATAAGCTAAGAAAACTGAAATTTAAAATTTTTTTTAAAAAAAAACACATTATTTACCTATCCAACAACCTTATAAACATCATCAGTTTGACACTTGAAACTAAAGTTAAAAAATGGCTTCTTTGCCTTGTTATTCTCTGTGCTTCCTCTTCGTCTTCTCGGCGCTGTTTGTTACCCTGGATGGGGCTTTCTACAGGGACGTCTCCGGAGCCGTGCCGGCGAGGAGGGTGAAGAAGACGAGCCACTTCCATTTCTACTTCCACGACGTTACAACCGGGCGAAACACCACCGCCAAGATAGTTGCGCCGCCGTCGGCGGGACTTTCCGACTTCGGCACCACTTCCATGTTCGACGACGCCCTGACGGAGACCCCTGACCGGAGATCCAAGCTCGTCGGGAGAGCGCAGGGGATGTACGCCGTGACGGCGCAGCAGGAGGTGGACTTGCTGTTCGTCGTCAACTTCGCGTTCACGGAAGGTAAGTATAACGGGAGCAGCATCGCCGTTGTCGGGAGGAATCCGGTGGCCGACGACGTCAGAGAAATGCCGGTGGTCGGTGGCAGCGGCCTGTTCCGGTTCGCCCAAGGCTACGCCTTGGTGCACACCGTCGCGATCGATCGGACCACTGCCGTAGTGGAGTACAATGTGTTTGTCCAACATTTCTGATGCCTATCATATCACTTGATCGGCCGGTTGGCCTAATGATTATAAGATTTTAAATTTATTTTCTTGATCATTCTCTATGAAGTGCTTTGTTCACCTTCTTGTACAGTGAATAGTGTTTTTTCCCTATTATCAACTGTTCATAAAAAATGGTCAAACCCACTCGACCACTCTGGAAAGTCTTTATGTACGGAAATAATGTTTTATCAACTTGAGTACTCGACTATGAAAAATTATACTTGCACCAGAGCACACAATGTATCGTGCGGGCCCAAAATAATATCATATTGTACATTTTCGTGTGTCTGCTGTTAATTTTTTTAAAAAAAGTTTAATGTTTCTAATGTACATAATTGTATAATAAAAAACACCGAATTTTATAATTAAAAATTCTAATGTTTCGAATGTACCTGAAAACACATAATTTTATAACTGAAAATTCACATGTTTCGAATGTACAGAATTATATAATAGAATGCACAGAATTTTATACCTGAAAACACATAATTTTATACCTGAAAACATAGAATTTTATAACTGAAAATTTTTATGTTTCAAATGTACAGAATTTTATGCCTGGAAATACAAAACTTACCAAAACGACGTCGTTTTGGAATGCGCGAGGTGCACATTGCTATGTGCGCCCTGGTGCACGATATAACGATTGCTCGACTATCCCTTTTGAGGCAGTTATATAAATTTTTGTGAGCTTAATTATATATATTAATGTAATTGTTCTATCTTTTTGGGCTATGGTAATTGGGCTCCTGTAATTGTTTAATCTTTTGGGCTACCAAATTGGGCTTTTCATTAGGAAACATACCAATTAGATTGTCAATTGTTATATCGTGCACTAGGGCGCACAAATGCATTGTGCGCCCTAACCCAAAACTACGTCCTTTCAGTTAAGTTAGTGGGGAATTACGGTCACCGTTTCGTCTATCCAATCTTATTACAGTTTTTTTAACACTTGTGTTTATGTGTATTATGTTAAGAGTTTATGTATATTATGTATTATGCTAGATTATGTGTATTATGTTAGGAGTTTATGTGTAATTGTGTATTCTACTATACAATTCTGTATAAACGAAAGATGAATTTTTTTTTAAAAAAAGCTAATGGCATAAACGGGTTTAGGCCAAAGTGTACAATGCATTGTGCGCCATTGATATAAAATTTGCCTTAGATTTTGGGGTTGGACATACACTGGGGCATCTTGAAAGATCTTTGCAAAATTTTAATGGATAAGGTAAATCGCTGAATAGATCCCAACAGTTTAGATAAATTACTTGATACGTTCTGATGGAAATTTTTCTTAGTTTTTGCAAATGCAAGTAAGAGAGATAAGGAAGAGTTAAAAGGAAAAAAAAAAAAACAAAAACAAAAACAAAAACAAAAACAAAAATCTGACCCCAAAAACAAAAAAAAAAAAACAAAAAAACAAAAACAAAAAAAAAAAAAACAAAAAAACATAATGAATAGTAACATGCCCAAACGCCTGCCCCAAGTAGCAGGCTTTCTGCTTTTTTTTCTCAGCATAGTGAGTTCCATAAAAAAAAAAAACTAAACTTACAGGAGAAAAACTCATAAAAAACTTATCTCCCGCATTAGTTAAAAACTCATTTATTAATTTTTGTTCAGCAAAAAAATCCAAAAAAAAAAAAAGAAAAAATACCAGTGTGATTGTTGTAATGGATAAGATAAATAGTTAAATAGATCCTAACAATTTAGGTAAATTATCTAATATGTTCCAATGGTTAAAGTAAATTGTTGAATATCCATAACCGTCTATAGATTATTTCACAAAGTGGTCGTACACAGTACACGGGGTTGTTTGAGCATGCATACGACAGAGTTGATACATAACCTTATTATTTCAGAACTACTGCCAATGAAAAGAAAAAAAAAATTAAAAAAAAAATAAAATCACAAGGTTAAGAAGTTATAAACACACCACACAAAACACAAGCTAAAATTACACAACAGATTGAGGGAATGGTTACCCTCTACAGCAGGAAAGGATGGATGAGCTATCAATCTATCATCATCCATTGGAACAAGTTTAGAACACTGTCAGTTGCTTTCAGTTATTACATATATATATATATATATATATATATATATATATATATATATATATATATATATATATATATATATATATATATATAAATATATTATATATCCCTCCCCAAGCAGCAAACTTTCATCTGATTTCCATCAACCCAAGATTTTCTTGATCTTGCATCATCACTGCAGACAAGGATTCCCTCTCTTTGACAGCAGATTCATGGAACCAAGAATCTTTGTCTGTAAAGATTCATCCCATGTTGTAATTCAGTTACACAAACAGACAATTATAGAGATTCAAGACTATTTAGTACCAAAAACTCAAAAACTCAAAAAGTATGTTTTTTTTTTTAACCTGTGAGTGGTGTCATCAGCTGCAAGCTTGGATGGATCTTGAGGGTGGTGGGGGGAACAGTTTTGTGGTATGGCTAAGGTGAGATTCAAATTTGGGGATTGGGGAAACGGTTTCGAAAGCTTCAACTAGCAATGCCACCTTCTTTCGTCTCGCAGGGGCGAGCTTACTCACTGCTTGTCTCAGTGCATAGTCCACCATCCATTCCTCTCCATTCTTTCGTTCCTCCATCATTTGATGCTTCAGATTAACTCTTTCTGCTTCGGGATCAGGCTCTAGTGGCAGAAAATTCGGCCCTCGTGGATTGAATTCTCTCAGTTCCTCCTCCTCGGTCTCTCTATTGTTCTTGCCAGTTCTTCTCAGGTTTGGCAGCTCATCAAGATCTAAAATCTGGTTTCCAGATTTGTTGTCTGCTTTCGCCATCTTCTTCACTTCAACCATCAATTCTTCATCCACATTGTGAAGTTCTTGAACACAATCACTGCAGATAGAGTCATTTGAATCATTGGATTCTTGATTTTCTCTGCAGATTTCCTCATTAGAAACTTGAGTGGTTTCATTCTCATCTTCATTGTGGTGATCGCAGCCCGGGGATTCTTCAACATATACACAGAAACTGGATGATTCTGGGCATGAAATGGAGGATTGGGTGTCATCATCATCATCATCATAACTCAACCATGCTCCAGAGGACATACTTTCTTCATCAAAGGATCTTTGCAGTATATTTTCATCAGAAATGAAGCCTGTTTCTTCTTCTTCTTCTTCTTCATCAAAGGATTTTTGCACCATATTTTCATCAGAAATTTCATCAATAATGCAATTTGTTTCCTCTTCTTCTTCTTCTTTATTGTGACAGATGGAATCAGAAACCCCAGCATCAATAAACAGAGCAGAATCCTCCATCCCCTCCATATCTGAATCTTCAGAATCATGATTTTCTTCACTCAAGCATTCATACCTTAATTCCTCTGCCGCCATGGAAGCTGGATGAATATCTTCACCTTCTTCTTCTTCTTCATCATCTTCACCTGCCCTTTCTTTGCAGTAGATTTCAACGGAAAAATCCATATTTTCTTCTTCTCCGGCAGGGGGCTTTGCTCGGCGGGGAGACAGGCACCCAATCTTGAAGCTCCTCTGCGTTTTCAGCGCCCGCCGCCGCGCCGACACGAAGCACTTCAACGGCGGCAATGGAAGACGATGATGGCCATTGAGAGAGCAGTAAGTGTAAGGGCAAACCTTCATGGCAGATGTCCCCTGAGATTCCGTGCCGCCGGGACTAAGTTCCAGGTAACATGGAAACTTGGAATCTTTCAACGTTGAAGAACACGTAGCTCTCTGCGCGTCCAAATCCTCGCACAGAACAACCTGCGAACATTTCTTCGACGAAGCTCTAGCTCTCGCAGGTTTAAAGCTCGGAGCTTTCGTCAACGCCCTCAAACTCGTCGCCCTAGCTGAAGCTCTCGCCGGATTCTGCCCGGATTTTGATCCGCTTGAACTCTTATGTTAAGATTATCAATTACAAGAAACAAGATTTACGTGATTTGGCAATATAAACAGAGTGAAACTATTCTTTTATTAATTGTGATGAAACTATTCTTTTATTAATGTGATTTGGCAAGAGTGAAATTATTCTTTTATTAATTGTGATGAATCTATTCTTTTATTAATTGTGATTATGGTTCTGGAACTCACCGGAGACCGCTCTTTCCTGGCATCAGAACTGCTGGTTGACTTCATGTAGTTCGGCGTGGAGCTCGGGGAAGCTCTGACCGGAGAAGACCGCTGCGGCGGCGTTAGCGGCGGCGGCGGCTTTCTCAGAGGCGGTGACCGGAAATTCTCGAACGTTGTTGTTTTACCTGATTTCTTCATCTTCTTCTTCTTCACATCCTGGTGTTGGGGCAGCAAAGAAGATGGTTTAAGGCTGGGTAGCAATGGCTTGCTGTTCACCATTATATGATCGAGCTTGCTGGGAAGTTTTCTTTGCACCATGTTGGGTTCTTGGGAGGGGAAAGGATTCCTTCACGGCAAAGCCATAGCCATGAAGGAATGATGGTTCCCTGAGAATGAGAAAAGGGACTTTTTAGTTATGGAAGAAAAGAAAGGGAATCTCAACAATTCCAAGATTAGGCAGTGGGTTTTGGGTTTGAGTTGGTGGTGGGCTCTGATTTTTTTGATTATTTTTTTTTTCCAAACGTTTGATTTGAATATTTTGAATAGTATTTTTGTTTTGAATATGGTCGAGATAAGTATTAGGTGACACCGACCCTAAGGCACTAGATTGGGGGTAGGGTAGCCTAGTGGGACCTACTTTATGATTTTGAAAAAATATATTTGGGATATTAGTTTATGTAGCAACATAGCATATTATGCTAAATTTTTTTTTTGAAAGTAGATATTATGCTAATTCATTACAAATTGATACGATTCCAAAAATATCTAAAATATGGTAACAAGTTATCCATATTGTTATTTTCATAAATAGAAAATCTCATCTTGAAAACTCAAGTTAACTGTGCCAAGGACAAGGACAACCAGACCCCTTATTTTCGCCCATCAAGAATTATTTTATATGATCATAAAAGATAAGACGTAGTTGAATAAATATTTGTTATAGTTCTCAACAAGATTTTCTACACCTATCCTCGGCAAGGTCCTTTGTATTTATTCTCAACAAAGACTTAACAAATTGCTCTATGTATCATGTATGTTTGTAGTGAAAACCCTACATGTATTCATAAAAAACTATTTAGACTACATGCTCTCTAAGCTTTGAGTTGACAATTTGAATAGCATTGATAAATATATTAGAGATAGACCCGGTGGAGAAGAGCAAAATGGGTTCAAGTGGTCTCGGGGCCCCGAGATGGAGCCTTGCGTTTGATCCTAGGTCGAGCCCGTGCTCGACCTGGGCCTCGGCCTAGGCCCCATGCCATGCTTGGCTTGGGCCTCGATTCAGGCCTCCGGTGCCCGACAAGGGCCCAGCTGCGAGGCTGAGCGCGGTCCAAATTGTTGCAACTAACTCCCTTTTTTTTAGGGGACAGTTATATAGGCATTTAGTATAACTATCCATTTAATTGTCTTGTTAAGACATCATCCAATCTATTGTAATAGCATTACAGAAACAGTAATACAATCTTTATCTCCGTAGCTACATTTCTTGTCTTTGTCACTTGTTATTTATTATATCTTTTCGTTCTTTAATTAATTGGGTTATTTAGTTCCGACAACCCATCTCAATTCATCCATCAAGCATCATCAAATATTCTTAGATAGTATGGACCATCCTCAAATATGAATAAAGGAATTACAATTTTATTTGTTTATTCACTTTTAGATTTAGATAATTTGGTTGTGGAAGAAAAGAGTGCAAGGTTGAAGATCTCTATCGAAATTGAAAACAAAATTGAGTGCTTCCAATAGATTTCTGGGGGCATTAAATGCATGATGAAGTTGATAGATATGAAATTGTCAAAGACGACATGGAAACATGGAGAGTGACAAAGTTTGTATACAGGGAGGTGAAGTGATAACGTTGGACCATCAAAAAGGCAAAAACCTTAAAGTGGTCGGCACGCTACGCTTTAATCTGCGAAAAGGAAAAGATTTTGGGTGGCAGTGGTCGGCCAAGAAAAGCAAAGGGCCGCCAGCAGCACGGCGGCAGGAGCGTATATGTGCACGGAACGCCCAGCGGAGACGCTCCACCCGGCCTGCTTTTCAAAAAGGTGAAAGCTTTAGCTTAGGCCCCACTGTTTTCAGTGCCACCAATGCCTAATTGCTGACTGATTGATTGATGCCACCACCACCTCGTGTCATTTTTAAAAGTGAGAAATATATACTCCATAATAATTAATTCATATGGTTCTCCCAGAGGTTGAAATCTCAACCCTCCACGTCCCGACTAAACAGAATATTTGAAAATGTGTAAATCATGACAATTCAGTGGTTTAGTAAACAAGGCCAAATGACAATACGTGCAATGGATCTATCATAATTCCTATATTATCGTTGTCGAGATTCGAACCTCGTTAAACTAATAAAGCAAATAAATTAATCAGCTGAATTATGACCAAGAGTTACGTTATGCTAATATTATAGTAGAGATAGATGCTTTACAAGTAGAGTTATAGGTGGTCTAATGGTACCCGGGTTTAATTTTCATTTAGAAGATTATGTGTTCGAGCCTCAATAGAGGCGTTATTGGTTCTTTGTGTTTCAATAGGTTGAGAAAGTATATAAACAGATGCTACAATGTAATAGAGCCAGTAACTTTCAAAAAGAAAAACAAGTAGAGTTATAGGTCTTTTTGCCTTTTTTTTTTTTTTTCCAATTTGTTAAATGATCAGAAAATAGTGTTACTCATCTTAGTCAGACATTTTTCTTAACGTAATGTATGATGTGGTTTGACACTCAAAATATTAGTATTATGCAACACTATTTTATTGTATTTGATTATTATATAAACTCTTATTAGTTCATGATGAAGTCAGCTAATAAGCTAATTTGATTAATATAAAAATATAATCCAAAAATAGAAAATAATATTTTCTTTTTTACTTAATAAAGGGTTAAGAAAGAACAAAAATTGTCTTGGTCAAGTGATTAAAGCATGACTTTTATATTTGAAGACCATGAGTTTGGTTTTTGCCAGCACTTTAACCCTCTTAATTGAGCCCATCCATCATACAGTAATTTGTGAGCTGTTACACAATAGCAAAATTTACCCAACACATTTCTCTTGCCATAAAAAAAAAAAAAAAAAAAAAAAAAAAAAGGAATATAATTTCTAAAAGTCTTATATCATATGAATAAATTATATAATAATTTTGGGTAGCAACTAGCAACATAACATATGATAGTCAGTGGGGTGGGGTGGGGATTTATAGAATCTTTCATCATCAACTAACTAATGATAATTGACAAAATTATTATGCAATGAATATAGGATGGCATACACACTTCAACAATCCTAAAGCAACCAAAATGTCTCAAGTCTCAACATAACATTATGTTATCTTAATTGTCTTCTTGTCTTGCTCTATACTAATGCCACCTTCCATAATGCAAGTTCATTGTATATCTAACACCTTTTCAAACTGCACTTTCTTCTGGAAACTCATCATAAGTCACAAAAACATTATGGTAGCTCAGAACAAGTTTTTTTTTTTTTTTTTTTTTTTTTTTTTTGAGTGACAATAGGAACCTGCAGTCATTACCCGAGGATATTCATTGGGTAAACCCCGTCTTGTGATCTTATCTAGCAAAGGACCACAATGAGGTAAACCAGCCCAGATTGCCCATAGCGGACTGGCCCAAACCAACAGGGCCAATAAGTCACTCTCGATGGGAGTCGACCTTGTAACCTTCTGGTTATCAAGTCAACAGTTTGACCAACTTGAAGCTGCCATTGACAGTTAAGAGTTCAATAATATGTATCAAATTCTCAAAAATCGAACCATATATAGACATCCCAACAGGCTACAGCTCATACAAAAGTGCAGTTGAAAACTAGCATTCATTTTACACTGATTCTGAGATTTGGGAAGATGAGAACTTCAAGTAGTTAGTTAGTTACCCTTTAGTGCAGCAATGAGTAGCACGATAAATACAGGGGAAACGAGAAAGATGATGTAGGGGAGAACTTGACTGAGTGTGCCTTCATCAACCTCGGCTTCTTTAAGAGGGTAGTCAGCTTTGTCCTCGACAAATGCATCAAAGTAATTTTGATAGCCCGTGGCCTTTGGAGATTTGGTCGAGCCTCTAACCTTCATCATTTCCATGGCCTGCCATCAACCAAGCCAAAACATTAGTTTCCCTTCACCATTCCACTTAGTTTAACCAAATAAATTGTTTTTATAAGATCAACAAGCCAGGCCATTAACCAGCTTGGTTGGCGTGAGTGGCCATGCTCTCTTGTCCCTTAAGAGAAGTCGGGAGTTCGAACCCCCTCAAACCAATCTGGTCAGCACTTTGCCGGGTTTGCCCCTTAATTGGGCTGGCCCAGTGCGAATGGGGATTAGTATGAATATGGTACGGGCTTAAAGGTGTCTCCTACAGTTAGAGCATGCTCAGGACACCTCGTGGTCTAACCCAAAAAAACAAGGCCAGGCCAGCATCCAACTATTAGTTTTGTTTTTACGTGTTGCATTTGCATCGTTTTACTATCTTTGGAGATTTGATTAGTTTAATTACCTGGAAGCTGAATGCAAATTGCTTTGCTTTCTTGCTCACTTGAAAGTTCGGGTGTGACTGAAGTTTCTCATACATGTTTCGAGCTTCGTTTCGCCTGTAGACATTTTGTTGGTTACGATTTCTTTAACTACTGAAAAATAAAGATAGGTTACGACACGCCAAAGAAGAAGACAAGAGAAAGGATCATTATTATGCACATGCCTTTGGAGTGAGTCTTGGCAAATAGACCATTGCAAAGCAGCAAGTCCGTAAAGTTCAGTCTACAAAAAAGGAAGAAAATATTAATTCTTTTTCTTTGGCCGCTTCCCCCTCAGTGTTTCAAGAATAGATACAAAATAGTTATACCTGGAATGACAGTTGATCCATTACTTTTTCATAAAATGGAATCGCTTCTCTTAGCTTCCCAAGTTCCATCAATGAATCGCCATCATTTAATGCCTAAGCACAACAGCGCTATAACTAAGAAGTAAGTTGTATGTTATGACTCTTAATCCCGAGAAGAATGAGACACAATTCACGCATATCATCATGTTAATAACACCAGTTCATCACTTTGAAGAAGGCTTCAAAGCTTTTTGCCAACTCAATTCAAAAGGTAGCTTTCTTATCGTAGTTCAAGATTTGTTTTCAGTATAAGGCGGCAAGTGAAGTAATTAATTGTTATATACTTATATTATATGCTCAAGGAAAAGAAAAGCAATTGAAAATAGTCAAAATACCTTCTGACACTCAAGTTTAAGTTTCGGGTCAATAACTAAGCCTTTTTTGGCCTTGTAGGCAGCAAGAAGCTGTCTCGATCGTGCCTCTTTGGCTGCTTTCTCTTCTGGTGTTTCAAGTGCCTCACCGGGATTAAGAGTTCTTCCACCACCAAACTATGCACAAAACAAAAAATAAATGTGTAAAGAAACAATTAAACGTATAACCAGGTTGAGATCAAGTTTTTTAACTTTAAAGACACTAAAAGGTTTAATCTTTTATAATAATTTCATTTTTCCAGTCCAAACAAAAACTCGGGCATATCATCAAACGAAGGATAAACCCTTTCAACCGTGCAAGTCTGATCTTGCAGCACTGAAATTTGTCAATAATAATTCATTTTATAAAGAATGAGGTCCATAGACAACTTACGGTTTTAGATATGTTGCTAGGTCTAGGGAAAACACCCCACGTGGAAACCTTTGGCTTGTAGACATCCATTTCTTCCTCCAAAACAGGTTTAGGCTTTGTTGACGCTGCATCTCCAAACTTGCTAGTATCCCCAACTATTATTTCTACTTCTGGCAAGTCGTCTTCGGGGAAAGGGTCCGATAGTGGAACTAGCCCGGCAGGCAGTCGCTTGCCATCCTTCTTATCAGAAAAATTAAGCCCCATAAAATCTATACTCGAAACTGTGAATTCTTCCTTTTTACTTTCTTTCATTTTGGGTAAACTATTCCCAGGCCCTTTGTCATTAAGTCCTACAAACAAATGCAAGTATACCCTTCAGTTCTGGAAAACTACAGTTTCATAGGATATAAAAATCAAGAGGATACTGCAACACAAAAGTATGTATACACAACCTTAAAAAATTAAACTATGTATAAATGTACACAATTAACTAAATGTAGAGCATTAAGGAAACACTTTTTCCCAGAAATTTCTTGAAACATCTAGAACCATATAATTTTGCAAAAAAAAAAAAAAAGTCATTCAGAAAATACCTGGTATTTTCTCACTGCCTTGTAAACCTGTACCACTACCCATAACTTCTTTGTTCTTCCTATACTCCTTTGCTCTCTCGAGTGCAAGTTTGGCTGCAGAAGGCAACTCCTGTTCCTCACTAACATTACCTTCCTCCTCTGACCCACCACCTTGCTTTTCTGTTTCTGCAGATTCCGGAACTGGGTTTTGAACAATCTTTGGAATGGGGTTGGTTTGAACTTCTTTCTTGTAGGCCTTGGCTTTGGCAAATGCGAGTTTTACAGGATCAACTTTCTCAGATTCTGGAGTCTCCTCTTCTGAAATGAGTGATGACGATTCCAAAGAAGCTGAGATGTTTAGTCATGAATTTCAGGGTTTTGAAGTGTAGAGTTGTTGGATAGAGGTCAGAGTTATGAACGAATGTTGCTGTATCTAATTCGTTTTCTGGTCCTAGATAACAGTTCTTTGGTTCCCTTCACATTTATGTATAAATAATAACACTGTTTTAACAATAGAATCAATCTCTTTGTCATTAAAGTCCTACAAACAAATGCACTTCACACCCTTCAGTTATGAAAAACTAAATGTCCATAGGATTCCAAAAACTTCAAGAATGCTGCAAGTTTAATCAAGAGGATTTTTTTTGGGTGACGAGCAAAACCCGTAGCCACTGCCCGAGGGTAAACCCCGCCTTATGGCTCAAACCAAGAAGGCCCATTTATGCTGGAAATTGAACTTATAACCTTGTTGTTAACAAGTAAACCGTCTGATCAACTTGGTTGAGGTTTTCCCTACTCAAGAGGATATTGAAATCACAAAAGTATGTATACTGCAGACACAACCTCAAAAAATGATACAGTACTATGTATGAACTACACGATTAACTAAATGCAGAGTGTAAAGGCAGAAACTTTTTCACTAGAAATTGCTTGAAAGCATCTAGAATCATATAAATTTGCAATAATAAACCAAACAAAATTAGAAAAAAGTAGAATTCATCACAGAAAATACCTGGTTTTTTCTGAATGCCTGGTAAACCAGACCTACTGCCCACAGTTTCTGTGTTCTTATACTCATTGGCTCTCTGGAAAGCGAGTTTGACCGCAGAAGGCAGCTCCTGTTTCTCGCTAACATTAGCTTCATCCTTCGACCCATCAATTTGCTCTTGAGTTTCTGCAGATTCTGGAACTGGGTTTCGAACAGTCTTCGGAATGGGTTTGGTTTGGATTTCTTTCTTGTACGCCTTGGCTTTGGCAAACGCAAGCTTTATACGATCGAATTTTTCGGATTCTGGAGGCTCTTCTTCTGAATTGGGCGATGAGGATTCCAAGGAAGCTGAGATTTTTAGAGCCTTGAACTTCAGTTTCTTGAGGCGTAGCTTAGTTGGATAGAGATCAGAGTTAATTGTCCTGAAAGAAGAGAAAACTGGGGTTTGGGGGACTATCGCCATGGCTCTTTGAATCAATGTTTCTGGTCCCGTGCTAGATAAGCGTTCTTTGGTGATCCTATTTTCAGCCTCATTTTCTTTTCATTTTTGGTCTCTTAATTATAACAAAATAGTAAAGAAAAATAAGGAGTAATAATGTTCGAGATAACTTTAGTCAAATTAGTCCGACTTTGACTTAATAAGTATATTAGATTATAAGTTAATTCTCAGTAAAAACGATTTATTGATATTTTTATAGTCTTTTACTGACTAGGACACATGGAGAAATTTATTCAATACGCACTCTCAGAGTCTTAGGTAATGGTTAAAGTTTTCCCGCATCATTCCAAAAAAAAAAAAAATGTTAATCTAGTCATTACTTAAGGGTGTGCAACTCCTGCCTCATGACCCTAACTGACAAAAAATCACAAAAAAATAAACCAATATAGATTTTGCATAGTTAATCGACTCAAATCAAGAAAGACAATAGAATGGTTCCACGAGAATCAAATTTGAAACATTTTTGTAATTACCAAATCAACAACCTGAGTTCCTGACCAACTTGGGTATTAGTCCATATCTATATCTATCAGGTAGAAACATGTAAAAGTTCTAAAATGTCCACAATTTTTTGCAAAGTGATACAAATACAGCAATTTGGTACACAGATTTGAGATTCTTGTGCATATGATACATAATACATTGATCTCATCAAATCTGAATTTTGAATGCTAAGGCAAAGATACATGTTTACATTAACCGCTAACCGGTATCTGCTGATTGTCAAACAAGGCCGTTATGGCGTTATCCTCTAAAGACTCGAAGAGAATGATTGACACAAGAGAAACCACCATCCACCATAAGGTTCACCCCACTAACATACCTTGCTTCATCACTAGCTAAGAACAGCACAGCATTGGCAACATCCCGGGCGGTCAACTCCACGCCCTGCAAGTTAGCGTTTCGGGCTGCAAACGCCCGAAACCCTTCCCACGCTTCCTCGGTTCTCTCGTCCTCGGGCAAGTGAGCCAGCGCTAAGGGCGTGGCAACGGCGTAAGGGCCCACGCAGTTCACCCGGATCCCGTGTTTCCCCAGCTCTGCAGCCACGTTCTGAGTTAGCCCCAAGACCGCGTGCTTTGAGGCTGTGTATGAGTGCGGTCCAATTCCAGCAATCGCACTCGCAACGCTGCTGATAGACACTATCGAGCCCTTCCCCAGCGGGATCATTACCCGAGCAGCGTGCTTCATCCCCAGGAAAACGCCTTTCACATTCACATCAAGTATCTTCTCGAATACTGACAGCTCAAAGTCCCGGATATCTGGAACAGCCGGCCCTGACAGACCAGCATTGTTCACTATTACGTCGAGCGTGCCAAACTTATCAACTGCAAAGTCCACCGAGCGACTAACATCGTCTTCGAGCGAGACATCACAGTGGACGAAACATATACTGGACTCGCCCCCGAGGGATCTGCAGATTTGCTGACCAAGATCATCTTGAATGTCTGCAACACAAACTTTCGCACCCTGCTTGTGAAATAGACGAACGATGCTCTCCCCTATCCCACTCGCACCCCCAGTCACTAACGCAACTTTCCCGAATAGCCTGAAAAATGAATTTCTATAGTTTTATTGACTCAACAAGTATCTTCATACACAATTGACACCCCCTCTCAACATTTGGCAAAAGAAGTTTAAACTAACAAACACAATAGAAGAATCAGCACATTTCACTTCATACTCAATTGACAAGCAAAATATTAACTAGAGGGACACTCCAAAATATTAAGAATCAAGATTCATCAATAAGAATTAAACTTCTGAATCAAGATTCCTGTTCTTTTTGTGCTATGCCCCAAAATTTCTGGGGAAAAAAAAAGAAGTTGCAACTCTCCCATCTGTCTTTTCTATCTTAATCAATGTTTCTAGCCTGATGTCAAATCTTGTGAGCATCTTTATGGTTCTTTTCCATCTTAATCCAAGTTTCTAGCCTGATTTGCTAGATCTTTTGAGTATCTTTATGATTCAAAAATTGTCCCAGTTGTGTTATGATTACCAAGAATCTGAAACTCAACTTCTGCAGATTGTAAAGCAAGAGGACTATTGGACTAAGAGGGTGTTCTTGATTTGAACCTGTCAGCTATAAGAAACCTAGGTCGGGTTTACCTCGTTGTGATCCTTTGCTGGCTAGGGTCACAAGGCGGGGTTTTAATTAGTGGTTGAGGCTTTGTTAGAGGAAACAATCATGGAAGAAAACCTGCATCTTCAAAACCCAAACTCAGAACAGCCTAACATGAACTGGGGTAAGAAGAAAACAGCCAAAGATTCCACCTTTAATCTCTCCCTTCAGGATAGTAATATGTGGTCTATATTCTACTAAAAGGGGTGTTTTCTTCTTGGTCCTAGAGTATGCATGTTCAAACCACATTAGATCTTTCACTTTAGCTAAATCCCATCTGCGATTCTCAGCAAACAGAGCAGAAACTGAGCTCCCAAGAGTAAAGAGGCCATAAAAACACACACCCAGCTCAAGATCCAAACATGCTTAATTTGAACCAATCAGATTCACATGCGAGATTATATATTTAGCTCAATCAAATGCTCTAATCTGAAGAGAACTGTGTGGAGAAAAGAGGAAAGGCATCTAAAAATGAAGTCTTGAATGTTACCTTTGGCATTGGATAGGAAGAGGAGCTTCAGTACCAGTACTGTCTGCCATTGCTGATAGCAACAGATAAACAGAAAAAACCAAAAATATAGAGGAGTTGTTATACAACTTTTCTTTGGGTGTGGACTGAGGAATAACCCTTAAGTACAAAAGTTATGCATGCAACTAATTAATTTCATTTGGCTTGGACTAAAACTTCACTATGTGTCTTGATTTTATTAGAGGAAGATGAAATAAATAATAAAAACTTTGCACGCATTTTTTTAATGAATCAAAGGGTAACATGTAAGTAGAGAGTAGAAAATGGGATAGAATGCAGAAATACATGTAGTATTTGTTGAGCATACAACCATTAATGTGAAATCCAACTATCAGCTTAGACTTTTAGTTGAGATGTAGCACATGCTTTAATTTAGTATCAGAGCCAGACCAAATGTCATGGGTTCAAACTACGGTCCATGTGTTGCTCGGAATCCGCAATCCAACTATCATCAATAAAATGATATATGCGCATTCCAAGGTAGAAAATGGGGTAGAATGCGGGAATATATATAGTATTATTCTGATTCATTTTTAATCTATCATTTTGAAAGATGATCTATGCACACCCCAAGAGAGTAAAATTCCGTCATGTGTCTTGATTTTGTTAGAGGAAGAGGCAAAAAAAAGTAATAAAAACTGTGGCTCACATTTTCTTCAATGAATAGAAGGATAACATGTAAGCAGAGAGTAGACAATGGAGTAGAATGCAGGAATACATATAGTATTACTCTTTCATTTTTTTTTTATGTACAGAAAATTTATTTTGAACATATTATCTACAAATAGATATGTAATATACTAAAAATGATTATTTATTAACCTCAACTAAGTTATTAGGTTTGATTTGATAATTAGTTAATTACTGTCTTTTTATATTTGAATCGATCAATTATAGATAATATAAATTGATTTTCGAATCACAAAAGAAGATTTACCTAATACTTTGCTCTCAAATATTGATTTTGACTTTTGAGTTTCCCTATGATAACCTATAAACATAAATATATAATTCGCCGATGGGGCGGTAGAAAATTCTTATCGGCCCATGTGTGAGCAAGTGATTGGATTAGGTTTGAGACAAACATGCAAATTTGAAAAGTCATGCGTGTCAGAAACTTGCAAGCTAGAAATGACGTCCAAACTTCAAAGTCTTGGATGATTACAACTATTATTTTATTTATGAGTTAATACCAAAATTATCTTTCACTAGTGGTTTTTCTCAATTTCGTCCTAAACGATTTTGGTGACCTAATATAGTCCCAGACTTTTGTGTTTCGCTCAATTTAGTCATCCGTTTGTTATTCCGTCAAATTGGTGTTAAATAAAGGGACAATTCAATAATATTAATATTGACCTCTCTTTACTTCCAACCTGCGAAGTGAGAAATCTCTCTTTCTTACACGAATTACACCCAGGGTTACTCTCAGACCTATGAATCAAATTTTATATTCGCAGCTTTAGAAGTGATTCTGGGAGTAATTCGTAAAAAAAGAGGAATTTCGCACTTCACATGTCTATGAATAAAGAGATGCCAATATTAAAATTACTGAATTGTCTATTTATTTAACAACAAAGGGACGGAATAACAAATGGGGGACTAAATTGAGCAAAAACACAAAAGTCTGGGACGAAATTGAGTAAAAACACAAAACTCTGGGACTAAATTAAGTCACCAAAGTCGTTTAGGACAAAATTGAGAAAAACTACTATAGTCGAAGACGATTTTGGGTATTAACTCTTTTATTTATTATAAAAAAATCATAATTATTTTAAAATTTGTCAAATTTATTTAAATTATTATTTTACCTAAAACACTACATGTACGTCCACTTCTCACTCTTATTTTTTACTTCTCACAAATTTTAGACATTTTTTTTAGAACCCACACGATAAAAGTATCTTTATCTTTGATTGTCACATCATAGAATATTGATGCCAAATGGTACAAATATAAGCTATAACTACACTACAAAAATTAGTTTATAAGAGTAGATTTGATTCAAATATCATATTTTTATCCAATTTTTAATTGAGAATATGATATATCAACAAACTAAGAACAAATTTTGTGTCAGACCATATAACATGAGATATGTAATACTTTTTATGAATTTATAGAAATATAACATTTTAAATATAAAAAAATTACCCCATCTAACATAAAATCCTCTTACATCATACTTATTCACAAACTAACGGAAGTAATTATATTATTGGACAAAATGACAAACATTACTTCATCCATATCTACTACTCTTTAAAAAATTACACTTCAAATTAATAAAAAATTGTGCACTTAAAAACACAAAAATATGCACTTGAAAGTACAAAAATGTGCATTTAAGCATCAAAATTCTTCACTTGAAGACATAAATATATGTAATTAAAATAATTTATGGTACCAAAAATAGAAGTTATTCAATTTAAGTGTTATTAAAGCAATTGTTTATACAAATCGTTTGTAAATCTCATAATTTCATTAAAAACAATTCACATTAATATTAAAAAGGAAAGTTATTTAACTAAAGTGTTATCGTTTGTTTAACTTTTGAGTAGTTTATGTTCCCTTTGCTCTCCATTTACACAGATCAAACATGGAAGGAACATCCTTTGCCTCTGCTTTTTTCTTTTCTTTTTATTCTCTCTTTTAGCTTTAATTTGGTGATTGATGGTGGATATAATTGGGTGTGAATAAATGAGACCAATACTTTAAACTAGTTCTACATATTTTAAACTAGTTTCTTATTGATTAAAAAGTATATTTTTTTCTTTAACATTAGATTTGAATCTTATATTCAGATCTTAGTGCATTGCATTAAAAACAAAACAAAAAAAAAAATAGTAATAATCTATTAAAAATATATATAGAGGAGTACTATAATAAATATAGTGTACAATGCATGTCATATTGTCATTTGTTATACAATTTTCTTTTTTTAAAGGTATAAGGTAAATTGACATTTATGGTGATGTCAAGATGGTGGATTGGGATTATTACTAATGATGGTAGTGTCCTACCTAATGGTAACGTGGGTTACGTGGCGAATATTGTTAGCAAGTGTAAGCGATGGATTCGAAAAGTTTGGGATATTCGGGTTGTGCATGTATATCGGGAGCTGAACAGAGTGGCAGATTGGTTGGCTAAGAAAGTTCTTGAGTACCCTTGGGGCTTAAGAATGATGCCTTAGTTGGAGACTAATATCCTTGAGCTTCTGAACGATGACTTCATGGATGTGCCTCAACCCCGTGTAGTCAACATAAATACTTAGTCGGGGTTTTCTCCCTCCATTTGAATTATTAAAAACTCCTCTTTTTTTTTTGAGTACTATTGACTCTGCTACAATGTAATATCTGTTAAGGGATGAAAATGCACCACCGCTAACGCCAACCAAGCTGGTTATATATAATTTCAAATCTACATCAGTCTAGTATTTTCTCTTAGTTTACTTTTCTTATGTAATTTGTAAACTATTACACAAGAAATGAAAATTTACCTCATATGCATACGTAATAATATGAGCGTCCATTGTAACCCAAAAAAATTGACATCACTCATTATTCTCTTTTTGTGGTTTTGTTCTCTTTGGCCCTATTATACCGACCAGCCATGGAAGGAACAACCTTAGCCTCTGCTTTTTTCTCTTTCGGCTTTGTCTTTTTGCTCTTTCTTGTGTTTGGTGATTGATGAATGATATAAAGAGATGCTAAAGAGGAAAGCAAATGAATTAGAGCCTAGGGATATCAATTGCAACATGATTTGATGGGATGAAATTTTTACTTTCACTATGAGGTGAGTAAATTGCAAAATATGTCACATTGATCTTTAAGTTCTCTAAAAAATCGTGGATGAACACAAGCAAAAAACCAATGAAAGAACCCTGTAATTTGAAACTAATGTACATGTGTTTGAAGCAGATGAGATGAGTGATCTCGGAAGTAACTTCTTTTTTTTTGTGTTCTGAGTCGGTCCTAACAGTAGGAGACACCTTTAAATCTGTACCATATTCAGATTAATTCCTGTTTGCACAGAGCTTGCCCAATTAAGCCCGTACCAATTTAGGGATGGCAATGTTCTCCGTCTCCAACAGAGATCCCCGATCCCCGCCCCAACGGGGACGGGGATTTAGTAAATTTTCGGGGAACGGGGCGGAGACGGGGAATGTATGTAATTCTCAGACGGAGACGGAAAGTATACTCTCCTCCCCCGCCCCGCCCCGTCCCGTCCCGTTGCCATCCCTACGTACCATACTCAGAAGTAACTTGATTGAGCTTGCAAGAGCTCAAGCTGTGCCAGCAGCTTAGCCACTGTTGGCTTGAGAATTGCATCCCCAGTCTGTGCCAAATCAATCAGCAATGGCTGTGCACATTCCCCATGCTCAACTCTATAAGCCTCAATTCTGAAAACCCTTTCCAGAATCCACAGAGCTTTCTCCTGAGCCTTAATGCTCCCCAATTCCAGAACTTTAACCAAACACTGAACACCCTTTTCCTTCACCAGGTACTTGCACCCAATCTCCCAGGTTTCGTCTTGCACCAGAGTCGATAAGCAGCTCAAGACGGCCTCGTCGGCTTCCCTATCGTGCCCCTCGAGTATCTGGACTAACGGCGTTATGGCACCCGCCTTCACCAAGCAGAACGTGGTTTTGACAGAGCAGTAACCATCATGGAGTTCACAGAAGCCGTCAGTGGAGGAAGGGCCACAGAACCATCTCGGCTTTCTCGGTTTCCTTAGAGACAGTGAGTTTTGTGAGAGCTGTGTCAGGCAAGTGGCTGCTCTAGATTTCGCGGTTATTGAATCCGAGGAGGCGAGGAGCTTGACGAGAACGGGAATGGCGCCTTGATCGGCGGCGAAATGCTGCAGTTTCTTGTCAGAAGGAACGGTGAACCGGATTAGTACTCCTGCAATGCTCTCACCCAGCCTCGTTGCCATTGAAGCTGCAGGGCTCGGGTTCAGGCTGGGGTTCAGGCTCGGGCTCGAATTCATTAACGAAACCAAAGCAGGCAGTAAGTTTGCGGTCACGAGCATGCTCGTGGCCTTCTTGTCGCTCACGGGCAAATTGCTTAGGATTCCAATTGCCACAGCCTTTTCATCAGGTGAGGATGATACCGAAGAAACAATGTTGGCAATTATGCAAATGTGAGTCTCATCCATCTGTTCTGTCAGCTCCCCTTGCATATTCTCTGAGAGCAGACAAATCAAACGTAAAGCCCCGGTTCTGATCTTGGCATTAGTCTCGGTAAGGAAAGGCAACAGCAGCCGGATCGCCCCGTTCTCCTTCATTTTCCTCCTCACTTTCGAAGCACCCGAATTCGAAGCAATACTATTCAGTGCCTCCAGGAGATGGCACTGGATGACAGGACTAGTCAGGTTGAGAAGCGAAAGCATCTGTTGAGCCACATCCGGTTTCACCAACAACCCTTCCGAATGAGCTATTTTCGCCAGAATCGCTGATGCTGGCTCCCGCAGGGTCATCAGGACCGACGTGACAGAGAAAAGGAGCTGCAGAAGAGTAGCCACGATGCCCGAATTCACCAAACGCTGCACGTTCTCGCTCAGACCGGACAGGTTTTGCAGCGCGCTCAAAGCAGATTGCTTGGACTCGAGGTTCCCGGTGCTGAACATTTTCACTAGAGGATGAATTGCCCCATCTTCCCCTAGGGAAGCTCGGTTTTTATCCGTTAGCTCCATTCTTGAAACCGCGGTTGCCATAAGTACCTTACTCATATCAGAACCTGCCAAGCAGGATTAACACCTGTTATCAACTGGGCTATAATGCACATGGGCCAAACTACACTAAAAACTGAATCCAACCAATTAGCTAATCTAATCCATGACCTTATCAACTCATATGTTCTGTCTTATATTTTCAATGTCAGACTCTTAACAACACCAATCCTTACTCACTCAATCAGCTAACATTTCACTTAACCAAATACCAAATGCAATTTATGCTTCTTGGACCAACAAAATGAAGTTCTTGGAAGACCTAAAAGGATACAAAAATGGAGAGGGCAAGAGCCAAGACGCTAACCTTCTTTTAGGTAGTGGACTAAGGGCTTGAAGTAGCCAGCCTCAGCCATGTGGAGAGCATATTGAGTATTGGCAGAAAGGGCATTCAACAACTTCCCGGCATCCCGAGAAGCCGCCTGATCCTCACCGTTGAAAATGGCAACCAGCATAACAATGCAGCCCTGGATCCTCCCTAGTCTTCTCCTAACAGACACGAGCTCCGAGAGAGTCGACAGCAGCCCCACCGCCTCTCGCTGCTCGTCCACGTCCCCCGTCAACGACTTAACCACCGTCGACAGGCACCCAATCTCCGCCATCTTCTCCTGCAAACTATTAAGCTTCGTAAGCACAAGCAAACACGTAACATTACTATCGGGCCGAAGCCTGAAGGGTCAAGTCCAGCACCAGATAGGCAAGTATAAGGAAATAAAGTTAACGTTTGATCATAATTCATAAGGCATAACATCTATGAATCTATGATTACCTTACTGTCATTGTTCTGATTAACTAAAATTCTCAGTGTGTGAATTATAGCCAATCTATTCTCTGCTACACTTGTGCTTAGCCTACTAAACAGGATTGGGATTATATCTTCATTATCAAGAGCTTCTTTAGTAACTCCACCCTCACCAATCAAGACGTTCAACCCGAAAATCGCCTGCTTGAGTTCTTCATCATTGCCATACTTTAGCTGCAAAGCAATACCATCAATATCTAATGTGATCCTATCTTCTTCTTCTTCTTCTTCTTCCACAATTTCCTTGGATGCCAGTTCCAGATCATATGAGAACTCAGACTCTCTCTCAGAACAGAAATTAGACCTGGAATTCATAATCTCTTTGCGCAGAGCCTCCATTTCTGCTCTCCTGGCTATCCCCATATCATGGCTGGCAAACAGCACAAGCCCCAAAGACCTCCCGAGATTCTCTGTCTGGTCATCAATCTGCTTCAGCGGCGAGGAATGGATGTTCAGGTTTTTGGTTAAGGCTTTTGCAGTTTTGAACTCTTGTTCTAGTGATTGAATAGCCTTCTGGATCGTGGGATCACTCGAGAGATTCTTGTCGTCCTGAATTTCGGCCAGAATTGGGCTCAGTTTCTCCACGAAGACTGACAGTTCCGAGGTTGACTCCGTCGTGTTCTCGTCGGTTGACCACCGCTGCTCGGCCTCCGAGGAAATCTCCGACACCGGTTTGCTGTTCTCGTCCATACCCACAATCTCTCTCAAACTAAACAAACAATTCTGCCCACAAACATTACAGAAAAAACTGCGAAGAACAAGCAATTTCTATTTTCTACCCTCCTTCGAGATTAACATAGAAGAAGACAAAGACCTGGCTTTATGTTGTTGTCTTACTTGTGTGTCTTGTGATGGTGTGCTCGCTCCATCTAATTTTATTTGCGTGAATTACAAGGATACTTCGCATATACTCATTAAGATACAACACCAAAATGCCCAGTGGCTCAAATCTTGTCTGCATAGTTATGAAGACTGCAAACTTCGGTTTTGTTGGGTAAATTAATGACACCACCAAACTGGATCCTATTCTAATAGTTACTCCGTATAATGTTAAGTTACATTCAATGTTGTCAGCAGACAGGACCAAATATCGGTGCGCATAACAAATTTGACTATTATGGATATAATTTCTGCACTGCTGCTGCTGAGATTCAAACAGTCTATTATCCTAAATACTACCTACTGAACCATTAAATTAAGTCGGCAACTTGTGATTTACTCTTTACTGTCATATCATTGCTCACGAAAAGTAAAATTTCGTCCCCCCAAAGTCTCACGTCCTAACCTTACATGATAGTGGAAGATAAATCATGATGACTCAACAACTTATAGGTGAGATGATTAGTATCTGGTGTCCACGAAGAACCTTTCACATCTAATTAACTCTCAGACTGTAATTATTAGAGCTCAATCATGTGTACCCACTAAAAACTAACCGAACCGAGTCGCTTTCACAAGAATTGTTTTTTCTATTTGACCGTTTCTTCCTTCCCCAGCTTCCCTCCCATCTTCCTTTTCCTTTTCCTTTGGCCATAAATACAAAAGAAGGAATTAAAGGCCCGCTTTGAATCAGATGCTAAAGAGAGAGAGATGACTCAGTCAGCCGTTTGGTTTCTGCTTTCCCATTGGATCGCTCATCGCTTTCCATGCGCCTCAATATTAATTATTATATATATTTTTTGTTTTTAATAAAACTTTTCCAGATAATCAATGGAGTGTTTGTCTGTTTGCTCATTAAATGCTTACATATTAAGGTATGCATGCTGATGTAATAAATTTACAAACTTTGATATATTTTGATATTCACGGTCGTACATTTGAGGAGTGTATTATATTTTGAACTGGTAAACTCGATTATAAACTAATCAAATAAACACGTCAACATCTGATATTATGTCCATTAATAATTATATTTAACTTTGTTCATATTCATTTTAATACGGAGTATTTGTTTGTGACAGTGACCCTTACTGATGGTCAAAAGTATAAGTTTAGCCTGATTGTACGAGTTTAATTCAATGGTTCAGAATGTAGTATTTGAAATAAGAGATCAAGGTTTTAACATCGACAACTACAGTGTGCGAATTATGTCCAAAATAGGCATATTTTTTGAGCCATTGAGTCACCGTGATTTACATCATCTCAAATGCTCTATCGAGCTGAGGTGTGGGGAGCATTGGGGGTTGGGGATTTAACATTTTGAGAGAAGTATAAGTTTATACTATTGTTTATGGTACGTAATATAACTAGAATGAGAATACATGTTAGAAATATGTTACACTACTAAAGTTTCATAAATTTGTTCGCTCTTTGAGTTGGTGGAGTGCAGTATTTAATTTATAGGTTGGAGTAAGGAACATATGTTAGAAATGTACAGACGATGTTTGTGTGGCTAACGTTTAAGCGTGGTTTAACTTGGTCATGATATGATCTTCAAGACAATAATGACTAATGTGATACTTCTACAATGATGGACAATGCTAACTTGGCTAATGTGATTGTGACCAACCCAAAGGTTAAATTTTCTATATGGGAAGTTGAGAAGGCATAACTTTATAAATAACTGACCAACTTAAATTAAACTTAAATTAAGAATGACTTCAATAAATAACTCCCATAAAAAAAAAATAGAACTTGAAATTATTTGATTATCAAATCAACTATCCGGCCAAATTAACTTGGTAACTTCACTTTGAAAACTACTCCTTATATATTTAAACCACATATATTTCCCTCCGACTAATGAACGACAACCATGTAAGGAAACCTCAATCTCCAAACCTTATCCACGCAAATGACATACACACATAGTTTAAATGACAAAAGTTCTGTCGTGGCAAGGTGGGCGGCACACGGCTTCCTGCATTAACGCTAATAACGTTTACCCCCATATGCCAGAATCAAATTTGCAGCACAATATATACCTAAGCGAAGCACGTGTAGTAAGGAATTATCTAGAAACCTTGACTTCAAAACCACAACAGTCAAGAGTTTCCTAAGAGCATCCACATTAGTTGGGAAGAATATGGGGATAATGTAAGAGTGATCAGGAAAGAGAATGGGGGAGAGGAGAGAAAAAAAAGAAAAAAATAAAAGAGAAAATTGATTTTTTTTTAAAAAAAATAAAAAATAAAATAATGCTGTCAGGCGCGCCTGACGCACCACCGGGAGCGTGCAGTGCACGCGCCCGGCTTTACACTGGCTGTGCGCGAAACGCGCACAGCCATACCTCTTTCTTTTTTTTTTTTCTTTTTTTTTTTTTAAAAAAATTCTGACATTAACTCTAAATTTGCAGAGTGATTCTTTCTCAAATAATTCGCTCCCACATCAGTATTATTTTTGACTGGAGTGATTTATTTCTGAAATATCTCCCTATTCTCCCCTTAGTGTGGATGCTCTAAGACGTTTGACTTCTTGTCATGCGTCCTGTCGGGGTCCTTCCATCTTTCTCGTTAAGAGACCGGTGCATAACGAGAAAGGTCTGAAATGAAAATTATACAGAATGATAGTCGTTTGCTCGTCTGATGCCGCTAATGCAGAAGAAGGTGGAGGAGGAGACAAAGGAATATAACATGGCATTTGGTTGGAGGGATTTTAAATTCCCTTGTCACTTAATTCCCACCTAATTCCAAAGGCCATTAAATTTCGTAGTTTGGTTGGAGGGAATTGCAATTCCATGGAATTGCAATTCCCTCATTTTCATGAAATTAAAATCCCATGTCCCCCTGGGATTTTAATTCATGGGAAAAAAAGATAGTGATGAGTCAAAATTACCCTTTTATTTTTTAATTTAAAATTAATGTCTAACAACAATAATGGACATTTTTGACTTTATACTACTTATTCCTTTTCAATTTCCATGTATACCAAACATTGGAATTGAAATTCCCAGTAATTATATTCCTGTCAACCAAACACTGGAATTTAAATTTCCACTTTATTCCCAATAATTCAACTCCCATGGAATTACAATTCCTTTCCCACATAATTTCCCACCTCCGACCAAATGCCCTGTAAGAGGAGGAAAGTGTAGAGTGGTGGAAGAAGCTAAGGGAATGGGAGAGTGGAGAGAAGAGATAAAGGTGTTGGAGGAGACAATAGACAATTGTTATATCGTGCACCATTGTGCACTCTACAAATTTCTTATTTTGTATGTACTGTATAGTAAAATACACATAAACTCCTAACATAATATATAATTTTACTATAATACATAATACACATAAACTCTTAACATAATACACATGAACTCTTAATATACATAAACTTTTAACGTAATACACATAAACTCTTAACTTAATATACATAAACTCTTAACGTAATACACATAAACTCTTAACTTAATATACATAAACTCTTAACGTAATACACATAAACTCTTAACATAATACACATAAATTCTTAAGATGCTTGTACACTCTGGTGCACGATATAATTTGCCGACAATACAATATAAGAATTAAGAAATGGGAATAACAACAATAGTGGCCCATATCACGCTAGTCTCCAGTAGCCCAAATGAGTCCAATGATCGGTAGGCCCATTTAGAAGACCCAAATATTTTACGATATCACAATTCAACCATTATATTTATATCGTGGACCACGGTATACGTACATCGCGGTCAAAACGGCACGTCGTTGAAGTTAACAGAAAGCGCATATTTGATGTATTAATTATCAATTGACACTACAATGTATCTAAATTGATACTGCCTCACGTATTATTTTATATATTATCAATTGAAACTGCAATTCAATTGAAGTGAAACTGTAGTTGTGTTGACATGAAACTAAAGTATATCTAAACTGACACTGCCTCACGTATTATTTTTATATTAGCAGCTGAAACTACAATTGAATTGAAATGAAACTGTAGGTGTGTTGAAATGAAACTGCAGTGTATATAAAATGAAACTGAATAACATTTCACATTTTTGAATGTATATTGTGTAATGAAACTGTAGTTATATCGAAATGATCATGTAGTTGTGTTTTAATGAAATTATGGTGTATATAAAATAAAATAAAATAACATTTCACATACCAAGACTATGTGGTCTAATGGTACTCGGGTTGGACTTTTATTTGGAATGTTACAAGTTCGAGCCTCAGTGGAGGCGTTATTGGTTCTTTGTGTTTCAGTAGGTTGAGAAGGCAAATTATGCCTTGGACTCGTGTCCACGATGTCGTTTTTCAAAAAAAAAAACGCGTCATTTAATTTAAAAAAAAAACGCGCGTTTTGCCGTTAACGGCGTTTTTTTTTTTGGATTATGAATGTACAGTTATGCCGTTATGAATGTACAATTATGAAATTATGAACACAGAGCTCTAACATTATGAACTTACAATTATGAACATATATAGTGATAAAATTATGACCATGGAGCTTTAAAATTGTGAATATAGAGCTTCGAAGATTATGAATGTACAGTTATGGAGTTATGAATTTACAGTTATAGAGTTATGAATCTACAGTTATGGAGTTATGAATCTACAGTTATGAGATTATGAATATACAGTTATGGAATTATGAATGTACAGTTATTGATCGAATTATGAATAAAGAGCGCTAACATTATGAACTTACAATTATGAACATATAGTGATAAAATTATGAACATAGAACTCTAAAATTGTGAACATAGAGCTTCGAAAATTATGAATGTACAATTATGGAGTTATGAATGTACAGTTATGGAGTTATGAATGTACAGTTATGAAGTTATGAATGTACAGTTATAGAGTTATGAACGTACAGTTATAGAGTTATGAATGTACAGTTATTAATATATAGTAATAAAATTATGAACATATACTCCTATAACGAAGCGGTCTGAAATTTTTAAAAAAAAAAAAAAAAGGAGGAGATAACAGTGCCGTTAGGCACTGTTACCCGTGTCCAGCAAGCATGCTGGACACGCGTCCAACGCATAACGATTGGGTTGAGAAAGTATATGAACAGATACTACAATGTAATAGGGCCAGTAACATTCAAACAAAAAAAAAAATAACATTTCACATATTTGGGTGTTATAATATCGAAATGAAACTACAATGTATACAAAATGAAACTGAATAACAGAGTTACTTTTTGCGCGAAACGGCGCAAAACAGATTGCGTTTTTTTTCATTAAATAAAACGATGTCGTTTTGACGCGCAGTGCATACTCGATTATGCACCGCGGTGCACGATTTAATTTGCCATTATACTGTGAACCGTAAACTATGATCAATATTGTAAGGATGTTTGATTTGATTATTGTGATTTTTTTACAGAATAAAAGTAGTTAAACTATGTTAGCACGACAGGTTCAAAATCCATTTGTTTTGTACGGTTGTTGATGACATATGACTTTAGGGGGAATAGTTTTGTTAAACATGTGAAACACAAATCAAACTACTAACACTAGCCACAAACGGTGTTTTGATGGGTCCTATGAAGGGACTCTTGAATCAACACTAGCCACAAACGACGTCAATCCGGACCGTCATTTTCGAAATTTGGTCTCCCATCCTTCAACTTTTGATTAATTCCACACTTGCTCTTAGTCTTTCTATTTTGAACCCTAAAAATAATACCCATTACTGCTTCTCCTTTAAAAACCGATAAAAAAAGTTAATCGTGAAATTTGTCTCAACTGATCTACATACCTCAATCTCTCCAATTGCTTGTATATATAATAACACCTACAACAAGGTCAAATTTCTACCATTCAAATCTTGTACTCAGTATCAACTAAAAAAACAAACTTTATAGACTTATGTTGGATTGGTTGACTATCTGAGTTTTGTTTCGTGACATGCTTATAATCCTTTTATGAGAATAGATACACCTGTTAAATAGAAAATATTAAGCTACTTCGACTCTTAACTTTTACTTCATCTCTCAAAATTTTGGATGTCAATATTTTTTCTTGAGATTCACTTGATTAAGATAACTTATCATCTCTTGTCATATCAGGGAGTAAAAGTAAGGAATTGAAATATAGATAGAGAGTCCATGTAGTAAAACTCCCAGTTAAATTTTAATTTAGTCACGTGAGAGGTCATGAGATCGAGTCTCAATGGAGGCGTTGTTGACTCTTTGTGCTTCATTAAGTTGAGAAAGTATATTTGAAGAGATACTACAATGTAATAGAGTCAGTAACATTTAAAAAAATGAGAAGTTTTAATTTGCCTTTATGGCTACTATACAATCATTTTTTTATTACAAAGGAAGGGGGCCTCCCACATAAGGGAGCAATCTGATACTAGTGGACCACAAGCCACCGGTGGCTACTATACAATCATGAAATATCATTTATTTATATTCTTTTATTTTATTCCTTTCTTAATTTAATGAAGGTAGTGTTTCTCAAACGTTGGACATAATGTGCTAGTTATTAATACATGTGTGTTAGACGAAGATTGCATGCATATCTAATGTAAAAATTTACTATTTATCAAGGTTGAAAAAATCGCTAGACGTCTGGGGACCGCCTAGGCGGGCGCCTAGAGTAATTAATCGGCGCCAAGAGCGCCTAGGTGGCCGATTGCCTAGCGCAATCGGCACTTAAGTCTGATTTTTGCAACACTGCTATTTATACACATGAAATATTTTGATAGTTAGGTTCGATCAATAAGAGAAGAGTTTCTTTGCCACTCACCATAATCTCTAATGTGTTGGTCTTATGTTAATTCAACACGTGTCTTGATTTATAGTGTTCTATATAATTATTTATGAGCCAAGTTGCAAAATTCTTAGGATTAATAACATTTGTATTATTAAACTTATTATCTTCAAGAGTGTTAACTAGTTATTTTGCTAGTATGTTGAAATTCAAATTTTTTGTTGGATACACAAATATTTAAGCAAGAAAAGGGAGAAAATTAAAGTGAAAAATCCACAAGAGGTGTTTGGTCAAACCATAAAATATGAGGGGAGTATGTATGGGCAACTTAGTCGGTCATATGAGGGAAATTTTAGAGCAATGATCCAGGATCGAGTCTCACCGGCGATAGTAAATAAAGGTCTAGTCTTTGTCGGGCCATTGGGGAGAAAAGTAGATAAACAAAAGTAGAGGGGGTCTCCTTATAATTTTAAAAAATTTCGAATCGTCCAAACCAATAACAGCCCAGCAATAGATCTGGTGCTTTCAGCCACACAAATTAGAAATTAGATACGCTCTTCACACGTGGCAGTATGGCAGACCATAAACTACAAAACCTTGCTCCTCACGTGGACTTGGGACCCACGCCCACTCTCAAACCATTCCTCCCAAAGTCCCCTCCCTTTGTTTCTCTCTCTACAATTTCTCTCTCTACTCTGTGTCGCCCCCTCCGAAAAGCCCTCTGCTCTGCAGGCTAAATCCCCGGCGAGCTCAGTTATCGGAAAAATTACCGTAATTGTCTGCTGTAAAATCCCGGAGGAATCGATGCAGTCAAGCGGAGTCGTATCTGGAGTGACCTGAGCAGCCGCGATTTGGCGATGCTTAGGCTAATTCCGGAGCGTTACGTCGGAGACCGTCGCTTTGGAGTTGGAATTTTTTTCCTTTTTTCTTTTTCAGCTATGTTTGATTGGAACGACGAAGAGGTACTCTCTCTCCTTTTTTTTTTTTTTTTTTTTTTAGATTTTTTTTTATATTTTATACATTTTTGCATTTGCGAAAATCCTGCTTCGCTTACGAAGTTTCGATTCGATTGTATGAAAGGTAAATAAGTCACCAAAAAAAAAAAAAGGCAAAGAAAGAAGAAAATCAGAGGTTGTTTCGCGAACTATCCATCTTTTAGCCTGTTATATTTAATATTTATATTTATTTGATGTTTTAGCTCTCAAAGAAAAGTATGAAACGGAATTGTAGCAATTAAGTTTAGGATTTAGGAATAATTTGGCAAGTCATCATAAGTACATCTGTATATGGTGTTAATGGAAACCAGTTTCACTACAGAATTACAGTATGTAACTTGAGAGCTTATGGATGTTACAGATTGAGGAGAGCATTTCAAGCTCTCAAAAAGAGAATTGTATCATTTAAATTGGATAGTCTAATTTTTTGCTTTTTTTTTTTTTTTTTTTAAAACACTCATAATTCTTTACAAGTAGTATATGCTCTATATTTTCTCAATCTTTTTATGTCCAAAGAATCAATGCGTGCACCACTGTGGTTTGATCCGGTTACCACCCATTTTCTATACTTTCTCAATCTTTTTCATCCCATAGAATCAATGCCCTCACTACTGTGTTCGATCCTGCGACCACCAATTTGGAATGATATCACACTACATAGTAGTTGGCGCTTCTCTTATTTCTTAGTTCAGGTAGGTTTTTATGTATTGCAGTTCCTGCTTCCTACTCATATTTTGCGAGTATCCTCCCTGATCATAGTTTAGATCACATCATAGAACTGTACCTCAAAGGAGAAATGTACCACTTAAGTTGGATAGTCTAGCTTCTTTCTTCTCTCATTTCTTAGTCCAAGTATGTTTTTTTATGCATTGCAGTTCCTGCTTCCTATCCATAGTTAGGTTTATCTTCCCTGGTCATAGTTTAGATCACATTATAGAACTCTACCTCAATTTTGTTGCCCTGGTCAGTGAACTAGAGCATAGTGCATAGGTTCTATGCAGTGTAGCTGGGACAAAACCATGTAGCATACTTCACTTGAAACTTTTGATAGTATGATCAAGACTGCTTGATGTTTCAGAATATGAAACTGTATCTTTGCTTAGTTGTGATCTTTCATTTCTATAACCTCCGTGGCTGACTTGATAATATGCTCAAGACTCTGCTTGATGGTTCACAAGTATGGAAATCTTCTTTTCTCTTCTATTCTGCATATAGGAAGTTTTACTTTCAAATACATTCAGAACTCTATATTAATTTATCGGTTTGTAGCAACCATTTGCAATAGCTATTTTTCCTCATTTCTTCATGCTACAAAAATAATAGTTGTCAGATTTGCTTATTTATCACATTCTGTGAATTCAAGAGTCATCAGGTTATTTGAAGAGCCAAGTCTTATGACTAACACGACACAAAGTGATTAGACTCTTATTGCTTATAGACTTATAAGCTGTTGTAATAATTCCATCATGCTATCTATCTTGTTTTGTGTCTTCTCTCTTTGTCCCATGTTATTTTACTACTTGCTAAAGACATATAGCTTCTGCATTATTGGTTGGTCCCTTGGTGGTGGCTTCAGATGTTCAAATCTCCATTCCCTACGTCTTCAAACGTTCAAAACTCTATTTCCTGCTGATTCTGATGCTCTGAAATCTGAATCCAATTTTGTAGTCCAAATTCCAAGATTCAACCTCTAAATGCTATAAAGAAAAATAAGATGATATTTTGCTGCACGTTTTTTTTCTTCTGCTGTCATGCTTGTACTTGTGCATGTGCATGTGCATGCTAATGTCTGCTAGGCAGCGATTTGGACAATGCCCATTCTATCTTCTGTATATTTACCTTCAGATGGTTATTTGTAAATCTCTATTTGTGCTGTAACAATTCTTCATTTTATTTTTATTCAGTTAACAAACATAATATGGGGTGAGACTGGGGAAAGTGATGATCATATAGTTCCATATCCAGATGAAAGTGATGGAAAACCTCCAGCTTCACACAGGGATAGTGTCAAGGAGGAATGGGATCTTGAAGCTTCAAATGTTAAGCTGGGTGATCAGAAGAAACCTGCACCCAAAAGTGGTTTTGATATTAAGTTAGAAAGCAGCTCCAAACATGCAACGGATGAAGCTCTTCCTGCGCTGGCATTTGGTAAGGACTTGTGGCCCGACCTATCCTTATCAAACACTACGAAAATGGATCAAGGTTCCTCATGCAAAGAAACAACTAATGATGTAACAGAAATTTCCAAACATGAAGGTGCAACATCTTTCTTTTCCAGAGTAAACACTTCAAAAATTTCTTTATTGTTTTCATTTTACTTTAGATGCTTTTAGCAGATGGGACAGCTCAACCAGGAATCAATTCTGAGATTTTTCAAAAGCAGAAAGTGGATGGGGAGCAAAGCGACTTTATTGATTATGGTTGGGATAATATAGGAAGTTTTGATGACCTCGATAAGATCTTTAGGTAATGGAGAATCTAAATACAAAATATTCATTTTTGTTATCGAAAATGCTTGCCCTTAATCTTCTTAAAATTATACTTTGCTTATATAAAGTACTGATCTCATTTACCACTGCTGCATGGCCACTGAACACCTGTTTATATAAATGTAGAAGGTGGAGTTATTAAAAAAAACTGTTGTTAGATATTTCTCTATGCTTGTGTAATGCTTGAATGCTTGATCCCATCTTATTTTCTACATCAGCAATCCTTTCAGCATTAGATCCAAATAGGAACTATATACATTGATTTCTGAAATACAGAGTAACTGTTAAAATGTATAATGCAATTAAACTGTTGAAGCCATTTAACTTTGGCCTCTCCTTTTACATACAGTATGATTGCTGTACTAAATTAGTAAGATGATATTTGAATTCTCCATCTCCTGCTTTTCAATATTAACAATACTTGAAGATGATACAACTTGAGAGTCTTCTTTTCTTATCATCTGGTGCCAACTGAGCATGGACTATATTTGGTTATGTCAGCTTGCATTGATGTTCTTCATCTGACTCAATATCCTCACAAGTGATATTTTGCAGCAATGACGATCCAATATTTGGACATACAAGCCTTTCTAATACCGAGGAACTATGGTCATCTTCCAAGGATCTTACAAGCAGTCCTGATAAATCTATTCCCATGTCTATTGACTCTCCAAGTTTGGGGCTCGGAGCACTCAGAAGTACATCAGAAAAATTTGAGACTAAAGCAGAATACATGCTAGACCAAAACCAGCCTTTTGCCAGAGCCTATGGTGAAGTGAATAATATCACACCAAATGTTTCAGAGACTTTACATGCATATGCTGGAGGCAAAAATTTTCCCATTATGAAGGAAAAGGTGCAAGCAAATGATATGCTGTTATTTTAAACCAAATTTCTAACCCTCCCCCCCCCCCCCCCCCCCCCCCCAAATCTAAGAATCAATTCTCACTCATGCATTGGTTTTGACAGACAGCTTTGGAGATGGTTGGGAAACCCCCAGCATTCAGTTTGCAGCTTGACACTGGAATTGCTGGAATACCTAATCAACCGACAGGCAAGGTATTTTCTCTTTTCCCTTCACTTTGCATAATGCCTACAAGAATGAGCTAATACATTTAGTAACTTCTTTTATTAATAGAAATTATGGAATTTCTTTTACCCTTCCCTTTTGTTAGTTTGGTAAGTTTTTTTACTGGGTTTAATTACAAAATTTACCTGGTTCATCATATTCATGTCTGCAAAGGGTGATTGCAGTTAAAAGTTTTCTGCAAGCCAGTTCTAGTTTGTTGTGTGACCCTATTTCTCATCAATTGATTTTTTATTTTTTTTTCATGATGGTTTTTGTTAGTACAGTTACTTTGGTTTTTATTTACACTGTGGCCAACATCTCTTATAGATGTATGAGGCTTCTCCCCTGTCCTTTTCCACCTTTTTTCTTTTAGAAGCGCTTGCTTCTCACAAATACTTAATGTCCCTACATCTGCTTTGACCTAAATCATGCCGAACAGAGTCCTGAAACCCTACATTTGGATGTGTGGGAATACCAGAAATGTTGGGATGTACAAAAGAAGTGAACTGGTGTTGGAACTGGCGTATACCAGCATGTCTTCAGTGCTCCCAAGTCCCAACATAGAAGTCTTTTTTTCATTCTCTAGTCTTAATCTTTGAACTTAGACCTTTTAGGAAGGTGTACTTGAGAAGTGCCTATATTCACAAACACTAACCTAAATGGGAATCACAATTGGAGTTGAAAATCTATGGTTTCATATAACACATTAGCACATCAAAGATCAAACAATAAAAAACAAATACTAGTATACTACATTAAAGTATACATGCAGCTGTTGCGTACAATTATTTCCATTGCAATTTTTGTTTTTGAACATCAGAGTGTTGCTCTAGTTCATTTCATTTGTACAGGAGAACTGTCAAAAGAGACCATTGAAAGGTCGAATTAAATCAGAAGAACAGAGTCAAATCAGTCAGCTGCAGGATATATGCGGATCTTGGTCGCCGTCCATGAACCAACTAAATAGCCACTACATATCAGTGAACCAGCATTGTCCACCTGTTGGCATTCCTCAGCCAAGGCATCTTCGAGTACCTCAGTCTTTGCAGTATAAGCAATATCCTGGCCACATGTTAGCTTCTTCTGTGTCTGGGGATTTTTCAAATCAGTATCCCATGCCTGCTTTAACACAGTTCCATGCCGGTCAGGGTTGTCATCAATCCATCACTTCAGGCTATGATGCTTCTCCTAGGAGTATAAATACTCTAAACAAGTCATCTGATGCACCTTCAAAAAGTTTGATGATGACGCCTCAGGAGAAAATTGAAAAATTAAGGAGGCGGCAGCAGATGAGGGCAATGCTTGCAATCCAGAGGCAGCAGCAACAGTTTGGCAATCAAGTCTTATCTACAGACCATTCTATGACGGAAGGAGGGAATGTTGAAGTTGAAGAAAACCTTTGCACTATTCCCACTCTAGACCCAAACTCACCTTTGGAACAGAATGATTCCAACACAGTTGGCATTGCAGTTGAAGATCGTTCAATGGAGGAATCAGTGCTTTATCGTCTTCAGGACATCATCTCAAAGGTTGTTGTATGTTAGATACTTGAAGTTCTTCTAGCCTCTTTGTTACAGGCACACACATTACTAAACCAATGGTGTTTATTCAGCTGGATATCCGCATTAGACTCTGCATCCGAGACAGCTTGTTTCGACTGGCTCAAAGTGCAGCACAAAGGCGGCATGCTAATGACACAAGCAGCGCAAACAAGGGCAGCAGAGAAATGGTTCCCAACAATGAAGAAATAAATAGTAACAGGTTTGTGATAAAATGCAGTTTTGTTATGAAAAGTTTAAAACCGTGATCCATGTGAGTCCAGAGAAATTGTTATTTTTCTGCTCAGTGCTGCAACTATATGTACTCACTTCATTATTTATTTATGGAAACTTCACAGGATTGCTAGACTGCCCAATGTAGAGACTGAAACTAATCCAATAGACCGAACTGTTGCTCATTTGCTCTTCCATCAACCCATGGACCTATCAACAAAAGTTGCAGAAATGCCTGAGTCACAACTTTCAGATAAGCTCTACTATGAAAGCAAAGCAACTTGTTCAATGAGCTTGCCAACGAGGAATCTGCCCCCGAGTTCTGAAAGTCATCATGTTATATCTCCTCATGGCGTAAAAACTCCTAGTTCCTATCCTGAAGGGGAGCAACCCCAAAACAGCCCCTGCTTGGAGGCTTCTGAGAATGCATCAAACAATGAAGCTGCAGACAGCGGAGTAGTACGGATCGAACCCTCCATATGAACCAATGCTATATACCGCCTAATACAAGGGTAATTCCTTCCTTTATCACTTAGTCATGTTAATGCACCCACCTGTTAATCTCCGGGCTGGTTCACTAGTAATGTAGAACTATCCTTTCCTTGTCAGCCAACTGGATACAGATTCAAGATGATTGTACATTTATACTAGAGGAGACCCCATACCATGTCCGCAAGAAGTCCCCCCAAGTCATGTCTGCGACGCTGCAATTCATGTGCTAATCCTGTTTTCCCCAGAAACTATCCACTCCAGACTTGGAATAAATATTTACTACCAGTGATAATTCTATAATGTTGGAAAGGTCTGAAATATTGAAGGTACTACTAAACTTCAAATAAGTAAGGCCTGACTTTGTATATCTACTTTCCCTTCAAAGTTACTTTCTCTCTCTACTCTCATTCGTATGTGCTATGACTAAATTTGTGCACTTGGGGGCGTTTGGTTCACGGAATCTTGGATTACCCCACGTAATAGGATTACTTTCAAGAAGGTAATGTGAGATTTTGAGAATGTAAAATTACCTAATGTGTTTTGTTTGGATTGTATAATATAATATTACCTTGTTTGGTTAAGGGTTATATTGTATAATGTGTGTTATACACTTAGGTATGTCATATGTGGTTACTTTAAACATTAATTACATACACATTGAATATCATTATTGTTTGATTTACTGATTGACTTTTGGGGATGGGAAAATTTACAGTGTCGATAGTATTATATACAATTATGTATATACTTTTGTTGTTGTTGTATTGGATGCTTTTAGTATTGATATCAATAGTAATTAATACAATCAAGTATATCATACACAGTTGTACTCAATATTATTGGCACTGACTAAAATTTCATGAAGAAAGTATTATTCATATAAGCTCAAAAATGTAAAGCCCATTAATTGCTAATCTGAACAAAGACCAATGGTTAAATTATTGTGTGGACCATGAATATCAGGTATACTGAAGGTATATTATATAAAATATGTATTAAAAATGTATCTTACATATGTAAATAATGTACTTTTAGTATATTAAAAATATATTTTTTATTTATGATTCACACAATAATGATTGAGACCAATGGGATTGGGTTAAGGTTCTATCGAAATGGCCCAAACTTCATAGTTGTCCATTCAAACTATGGCCCAAATAATGGGCCTTGTCTGGCTTCGTCACCGTCTTCAACCGAACACCACAGTACGTTGATAACGTGGAGAGAAGAGCAACTTACGATGTTCGATCGGCGTCGCAGCGGTCTCGCAGGCAGAAGGTTTCTGTGAAGAATGGCGGAGTTGGTTGAGGAGCGGCGTAAATTGAGACGTCTTTCTAAGGAAAGCCACCCGACGACGGCGTCGGAGCTGGAAGCGGCTCCGTACTACTGCTACTCTCGTCATGATATTAACAACCTCGATGACGGCTGTCTCATGCATATCTTCAGCTTCCTTTCTCCTATCCCAGGTATCTATGCATACCAATTCTCCTTTCGCATACCTGCACACTCTCCAAAAGCACCAACTTCCATTAAAACCACAAGCTTTGAAGTTTTCATTTCTTAATTATCATCGTCAATTGAATTGAGCTAGTGAGCTACGCAAATCCACTCACTATCTCTATTTTGATGAACTACGATTTGTTTACTGCTCAAATTGTGTAGTTAATTTACGTCTGCGTTCGGGCTCAATTCCCAATTTTGAAACCCTAATAGAGCTGTTGGTGCTTTCCTGTATATAGAGTAACTGTCTGTACTTAGTCTGACCTCGTAATGTAGATGCATGTATGTTGTAATATCATTTCTGTCACAAATTGCTGCTGAGTTTGCAGATCGGTATAACACCGCACTGGTTTGCCACAGATGGCGTTTCCTGGCATGTCACCCGAGGCTTTGGCTGCGAGTTGACCGTTCCGTGAGAGATTCATCTCTACCTGGGATTTTCCCTAACATTGAGACAGCTGTCTCTTCTGCAAGGTTAGCAGCACCCCAATTGAAAGTATTTTACTCCCTGGAATTATATGCACCACAATCTAATGTCTGCTTAGTGGCTGAATGCTTTACAGACCTGGGGACACCATTCTGATTGCTGGTGGCGGAAGTCATCGTGTATCAAATATTCAGATTAAAAAGCCACTATGCCTGGTAATTTAGAATTTTCAGTAATAATTGATTTAAACAGATTTAGTCCCTAACTTCTTAGCAAAGTGCCCAAGTGATGAATTTGGTTCCTAGGGTTTTTGTTTCCCTAGTCTTAGGGACCAAATCTAAGAACCCAGGAACTAAATTTATATTGTGAATAACTGAGGAACTTAATTATATCATGGCATAGCAGTGTTTTTTTTTTTTCCTCTTTGTATTTATTATTATTGCTGTTTAGTTTTTTGTTTTTTTTTTTTTTTTTTTTTTTTTCAAGTCTCACTTTATGTGCTGGGCATTGTTATTGAAAGTTTTTCTTCTTGATTTCAATTAGGGAATTTCAAATTTGTATCATCTGAATAGAATCACAAAAATTACTTCTATTGCATTTTATGGTCAAATTGTTAAGTAGTCCCCTTTTTGCATTGTGGAACAACTATACCTATACAAGCCTGAGGCATTGAATGAATTAAATGGAGTTATCAAACACCCCCCTAGTCACCATTAATTGTTTCAATTCAATATATATGTTGATCTTGCTACTCAAGAAACTGCTTGAAAGTGTATCAAATCATCTCCAATAAATGTGTTATAACCTACACAAATGGAAATGTTCTAAAATGCAGGCATATCTCTTCTCTCTCCACTTTTCTTGTTTTAGGAGGGAGGGGTTTGGATAGTATTTAGTAAACCATCAATGCGTTGAATAATACTAAAACAAGTGGTATCTTGATCCATAATTCCATATAGAATAGAAAGGAAAGAAATTTCCGTTCATATAGTATTTTCCTTTTGCTGCTTCAATTTTGTTCTACAGATTGGTGCAGGTGAAATTCCTGATGATACAATACTTACTTGCTCCCGTGGTTCAGACAGGTTTGCGAAATCTTCATTAACATAGCAGAATATGTCATACGGGTCATTGAGTCTGTCTTCTCTTGTGAACCTGTTTCCACGTTTTCTTCTTTTGTTTCTCCAGTGCATTGGAGTTCTTGTCCACATGCAAACTAGCCAACCTTACTGTGAGGGCAGAGCTTGGCTGCTGCTTGCTTCATCGGAGTGGAAGATTGACAATCGATGGGTGTATTCTTCAGTGTGAGTCGAACCCATTGGATCATCTGTCCTACGCAATTGTAAGCACTGCCAGTTCCCCGAGAGACCTCCCTACTACACTGAAGACTAACGCTGATAGTGTTTCAGTTTTGCGAACACGAATTGAAGGAGGTGCCAAGGCTGTTCTTACAAGTGGTACACTTACGTTGCAGCAAGTCCGGGTCATATATAGTCGAACATCCCTTTTCTTCTGGTTCAATGTAGAGCAAGATGGCAGTAGTACTCCTCAAGCTCCATCTGGTGAAGTAGTAGTTGGTTAGATGCAAATTTCTTTATTCCATATTTTCTCCCCTTCTCATGTTCTTCTGGCTTGTTAAGCTGGTTGTAATTTAACATTGTTGTATAATTAGTAGAAATAATTTAATGCAAGTTCTTCATGAAAACCTTTCACTGAAATGTAAGCACTGTATATTTTGATGGATTGAAGACATGACATGAACTAACACATTGAAGTGAAAAACATTGTGAGTGAAATTTGTCTTATGACCCTACAATTGTCAGGAAGTAAGCTTTTTAGGTGAAATGTACCTGATTTTAGGATTAAGTAAATCAGTCTATATTGTTCATAGGAGATCGTTTCAGACCAAGATGACCAATAGACAGTTCTCATATAGAATTGAATTTGGAACAATGTAGTTACTAAGTATACTTAGTTGGAAGTTGTCCCGAGTTCATTACTTTTACATTGCACATGTTGCAATTTGCATTCTTGAACCAAAATATGTTCGAATAAACTATCTCGTGAAAAACAAAATATGTTTGGATAAACTTTCTCGTGAAAAGAGTAAAGTAATCAAAATTGTCACCTCGTTAACAATCAGGAGACCAAAACCAAACTAAAACACTAATTTCTCTATATATTATTATGGTGTTTTTGGGCACCAAAGACTGCACAAAACTATGTAACAAATGTTGTCACAACACATCTTTCCGGCTAAACAAAGGCTTCAGTTTCTTTGCTTGTCCAATTCTGCACTGTATACCTTCTTCCACTCTAGAACACAATCTGCCATCTAAGAGCTGCATTTCTCCAGCAGTTTCTAATGCCTTACAAACCAGAGCATAAGTATATTCCCTCGGAATTGATCCTCCTTGCACCAACTCAACAAGCAAATCCCATGCCTCCACTGCCCTTCCAGCTTCACACAGGGCATGAATTACAGGGGTGAAAGAACTATTAGTTGCCACACCATGATTCCCTTCCTGCATTCTTCTCATCATCTCCATAGCTTTATCAGTCTCATTCACTGCACTGTAATATCTAATGAAAGAATTGTACGTAACCCGGTTAGGGGCACAACCCCTTTTCTCCATATCCTCTAACAACTCCAACGCCCTCCCGATTCTGTAGGTTTTGCAGCACCCATTGATCAAGCTGTTGTAGGTCACAACATCGGGGACGAATCCCTTGAACAGCATGAGACGAAAGAAGTGGTTTGCTTCCCACATTCTCCTCCTGATAGCTTTCCTGCATCCAGTTTGCATGGCATATCTGCAAAAAGAACTGATGAGAACAGTGTAAGTGAATGCATCAGGTGGGCACCTAAACCCGGGCAACTCCATTTGCTCCAGTAAAAACTTGGCTTTCTTGAAGTTCCCAACTCTACAAAGGGCATATATGACAGTGTTGTAAGCATGGACATCGGGTCTGCAGTGAAACTGTTTCATCCTGTAAAAGGTGAAGAGTGCTTCGTTTGCCAGCCCTTCCTCTCCCAGGACTTTTATCAAACAGGTAATGGTCGGTGTGGTGACAAGCCCTCTTTTGGACATTTTCTTGAGGAAGTCCAGGAGGAGTTTCAATCCACCTCCGCCTTTCGCAAGAACAACACCCATCTCTCTGCAAGTGAGGTCATTGTGAGTAAAACCGCAACTGGTTTCAACCCAATCAAAAAATTCCAATGCTTTGTCCAGCCCTAGCTGAACTTTCTCGGGGTCCCTGTAAGCCGCCGGACCGAGAACGAGTTTTCCATGGAGAGCCTTGTCGGATTCTTGTCTGAGATTTCTTTGTTTCAGAGGGGAGCGATGGCGGAAGCCGTCCTGGCGGCCAATGGACCTGGGTGACTGGAAAAGGAATCTGGGGATGGAGCGTAGGACCTCAGAAACCGTTTCCACACTCCAAACAGGTCGAGTAGTTGAAGCCGGGGCGATGGCGTCAAACGGCCGGTTTTGAATGATTGCGGCTAAGATTTGATCTGCGACGGCGCTTTGGGAGAAAGAACGGTAGAGTGGTCTTGATAAGAACATGAGTCTCACACAACTTCATCGTCTTTACCGAGGCTCTCCTCCATATAAAGGCCACTGCATATTGCAGAATACTCTCAACCATCTATCTGCATTTGGATTCATTGAATTTAAACAAAAATGGCTATTGGCTATTGGCAACATTGATAAGTTACTATCTTTATTTTGTTTGTCCCAAGAAAATTGTTTGAGCGAGAGTAAAATTAGAGAGTTCATGATCCCGAGTCAGCTATTTAGCAAGACATATGATTCGAGTATGACATGATTGGTCAAGGTAGCAGTCGTGAGCTTTTCATCAAAACATACGATTTGAGCATGACATGATTGATTGAGGCAACAGTTGTAAGCTTTTCAGCAAGACATACGATTCAAGGATGACATGATTGATCAAGGCAGCAGTTGTGAACTTTTCAGCAAGACATACAATTCGACTATTCGAGCATGACATGATTGATCGAGGCAGCAGTCATCAACTAATTGGAATATGAAGGTGGCGGGCAGTTAGCTGATTATGTGTAATCAAGGCATGGGGAGGGGAATTATGCAAGGTTGTATGATTAGGGTAAGCATGACCCCAAAGACATACAAGCATGGCATGGCATGATTGATCGAGGCAAGAAGTCGTCAACTGATTATAACATGGGGGTAGTGTGGCCTCCTTGTTTTTGCCGGCTATTTATCCAGTGCATACCCTCATTTAGTGATTGTGGGTTACCCGCGTAGCCCAACAATACCATTCTACTTCATCAATAATAGCTACATACCCAAAAACCATGTGTATCTAGTCTAGTACTATAATATGAACCCTGCAGGCCAGAATGGTATTCGCATATGCTTCATTGATCTATTACCCACAAAAAAAAAAAAAAATGTTGAAAATCAAGCAGAAAGTGTTGAAATCAAAATGTGGTCAGTGGAAGGCACTGAATCACATAAAAGATTATCATGGTACGCAGGATCCGTAGGATAACAGAAAGAAAATACACCATTAAGATGCTGCTCTTTGTTGCACCACCAAGTCATCGGCAGAGTAATAGTCAGCAATGAGACGGTACATGTATGAAGGATTATGCCCACCTCTGTAAATAACCACAGTGTTTATTAGTATGCCATACATTGGACTATCCGCGGGTAAGCACAATGGGTTAGGAAAGGAATAATAAAACATCCAATGAAGGTTAACTTACGTGTCTGTTATGAACAAACTGACTAGATTTGGTGGGACGTAGTCGAATGCAGGATTGACAACTTGTAAAAGTGGAGAACCAGAGCCACTCCCGAAATCCAGACAATCTGAGAATTCTCCAAAATCCAACAGCTCAGCTGGGGACTTCAGCTCGTTTAGCAACACTTCAGGATTGTGTGGATAGAGAGGACACAACTGTCATTTAGGGAAGTGGAGTTAGGTCAGGTCATGTTCTGTGTAGTGTAATATTGTATTATGGATAGCGAGGATAATGGGAGTTGGTCTATTTGTTCCCTAAAGAGATTGAAGGAGAATTAGAGCTCCACTGGTGCAAAATACCTTGTGAACGCCTGCAAGTACAACAAAAGGAACAGCATGCCTTTGGGCTGCTAGGGCCACCATATTCATCCCTACTGGTGCTATAACTCCCCCGTTGGCCATGACAGCATGAGCTCCTACTATAACCTTCAAACAAGAAATGTTGGAATTCAACCACGGAGTGTATTGGGATGAGAGCCAACTTGGTAACAGGGAAGTGCAGTGCCATACCATATTCACTCTAGAAATCATTGCAAAAACAGCAGAATCTGTAATGACAGTGGTCTGCAGCCCCCTTGCAACCAAATCTTTTGCAAGAGCATGCCCCTGATATCTTAATTAGCCAAGGAGATAAAAAGCAATTAGTTGATGAAAAATAAACTGGGAATAACTAGTTGAAATTAAAGCTGTGTTATGGCCCTTCACTAATAACTTGGTGTAACTAATAAGCTGCTTTAACAACCTTGGTGCACCCTCCGCAACAAAAACTCGAAAAGACCTTTTCTTTTCCTTTGCAGCACATAGAAATTCCATTACTGTTCTTGAACTGCCTAAAGTCAAGATTACCTCACTGAAAAAGAGGAGAAAGGATTGGCCATAAGGGTTTGAAATTACGCGTGCAAACAAGAAATTAAAAATAATAATAATGACAATAAGTAGTTGTTGATGTTAACCAATAGTATCAGATTGCACATTGACATTGACATTGTTGTCAACAACAAAAGCCAGGTAAGCTATAGGCAAGGTAACTTATTGTATACCAAGACAGCAGATCATGTTAAACTAGCAATATGAAACATTGTAGGAGTTAATGTAGCAATAACAAAGAATGGTTAGAAAGATACTTATGATGTATATGCTCCACTGCCTGTTCTGCAATCTGTTCATGGCAAGTGGCTATATCTTGGATAAGTTCATTAACAGCCTCAATGACATTATGCTTCAGTTTCCGAGTCTGCGAGTTCTTATCAGCAGCTGTCAAGTAAACACAAAATTACCATGCAGCCTGTGGAACTATAGAATTACCAAAATTACATCAATGATCTAAGTTCCATACCCTAAAATTGATCAATAGTTGAATACTATAAACCAACATGCAGTAGACATTGACAGCAGCAACAAAATTCTAATCTTGTAGAAACTATAAAAATAAAGATCCCTTTTTAATCATTGTTGGTTCATCCGTTCATAGGCTTTACTTTTTCTTGGGATAAGTCACCGTGGGTTGATAACAAAGATGTTTTGCTTAGAAAGCATTTCATGTGACTAAAGATGACTTCAAAGCTTACATTTACTTTTTCCTTCAGAATCTCCTCCGGAAGAAGATGCATGAGGAACAGTTGTTGAGTGTGGCAAATCCTCAAGGAGGGTCTGCAGGGAAGGTGCCCTCAATGTGCTCCTGGCAGCAGCAGCCACAGCAGCAGCAGATAAAACTGGATGATCGTCGTTCTCTCTTTCATCTTCATCATCACTTCCAGCAGATATACTTAACCCGCCAATAGCAGCAGTAGTTAGGGATGCATCCTCCTCCCTAATAATATGTAAAACGCGCCTCACAATGTTACCAACAGCAAGTTCTGCATTTAGATTACAATATATCCTCAAAAAAACTTAAACTGAAAAAAGTGGATAAGAGAAGATCAATGAGAAATAAAAGACAAGGTCCAGACAGAACGACACTGCGAACCTTTTCTAAGGCAACACATTTTCAAAACAAACTTACTATGTTATTATCTCAATTTCATGCCACATTTCCTTCCTTATCATCAAATTCGAAATTCAATGCAAGCTTACATGAAAGCTACTACTAATATACAATGTTTAAACACAATATCCGAACCAATGAAACTACCATACTAGTGATGAACTTGTATACAGAGTAATTTCTAACAGGCATAATCTTTCAGTTAAAAGTGCACAACCAGAAGATAAACCATTATAAACAAGAAGCAATTTATACTCGGTAACTACTAAATTTATACCTACGGGATTGGCAGCAATTAATTTCTCCCCGACATCTTTAACGGCGTCGATGAGAGCTGCGGCCTGGTTGGTATGCGGAAGCCTCTGCTGTGAAATGAAGGAGCGAAGCAGCTCCACCGTCAGCTTGGCGGTTGCTTTGGATCCTTCAATTTTACTGTTATCACAGACACGAGTAAAGGCTAGGGATGAAGATTAACAATATAATTCATGGAAGAATCGCCGAAAAGCAGAGAAATCGATACCGTTTCTTGAGCTTGATGATGAAGTCGTTAACTAGGGCAACGTCCGGCATGGTAGCGGGAATGACTGAGTAAACTGGAATCGGAATCTAATTTGCTCGCGTCGTCGTCTCTACCTTGCTGTTATCCGCGCCGTGAGCTCTTCTCGCTGGGGTTTTGTCGAGTAAAACTCTAGCCTTTACAATGGAAGCTAATTTCACTGTCAAATGGGTTGTTTTACGGGTCATTCGGATTGAATTCGGGTTAACGTTGGGTTTTGCAGTCGGCCCGTAGTGGTAAGCTCAGGCCGGGCCTCTCCGAAGATGTTAAGATCAGTTTCGAATTATTCGGGTTAATTTAGGGTTTATATCTCACAAATTACACAAGAGAGATGAATGATAAATCACATTAAAAATCAGATTTTTAGATATGGGAGTGATATTTCATGCAATCGGTCACCTATTTTTAAGACAATTTGAGTTACGAGATGATGAGTTTGGCTAAATTTGAAATATGTACCGATTCTCCGATCATCATATTTTATCATTTAATTGTGTAAAACTTATCTTGTCATAATTATTTTATGAAATTTTCAATTACTTTGTGTTATAATTTGTGTCAATTGGTAAGCCGCCTAGCATATTTACGAGTAAAAATCAAACTTTATGAACTTTACTCACTCTAAATACAAATAAAGATGCGTATGACTTAGATTTTCTCTTTAAATTACTTTCATAGTAAAACTCTTTTCATGAACTTTTATTTTTGGTTATGTACATTAATAATATAAAATTATTTGCTCTCACGAGTAGCTCAGTTCGTTATTGAATAGGTGCACGATCGAATTTTGGCAGTCGAAATATAGGCTCTTTTGTGGGGGTAGCTCATTGTAAGCACTAGGTATTGATCCTCCTATATGAGGGATCGTTGAGTTATTATGATTTAACTTCTCTATAATTTCTGTATGATTGAAATTTATGAATTTGGGATGATGAATTTTATCTTTCGCACATGAAAATAAAATTACAAAGTCTTTTGAGTTTTGGTTAAATTGCATTCACATGGCACTAAATATACACTTTTTTTTTTAATGCTATTGCATTATTGGAAAATGAAAACTACTTTGTACTAGAGTGTCTTTTGAGCTTTGCCTATACAAGCTCAATGATGGTAACAAATATAACAATTTGGGCAGCTTCTATTGTGCATACATGCATTATGCACACACTTTGCAAAAATATCACATACATTTTATTTTAATGTTAATATATTATATTTTAAATCATAAAATAGAGTGAGTTGAGTACTTAAATGTCACAAGTTCGATTTTGACCAATAGTCATATGCAATTAAAATATCAAGGGGGTCATAACTATGTTCGTACAGTACAGATTTAATTTACTAGTTCAGCAACACTATTTGTCTCTGTCTATCGAGCTAGTGAATAACCGAACAATAAGAGACTAATCTTCATTCACACAAAAGGAGTGCACGACTACTCAAATTAACCAAACTAGTTAAAATAAAATCAAAGATATTTAAATGCATAAAAATAGTAAGCACATAAATATGGTTATATGAATACGAAAAGAGCAGTGAATCTGTGAATGTATGAGTTTGTTTAAGCAAAAATTGGATGTAATGACGACAGCATGGTGTCTGTTTCCCTTTAACCAAACCCGTTTGGCGGCCACCGCGGCGGACGGTGGTGTCTAATCGCCGATTGTTGCCCTCGGTTTCCATTCAAACCCAGTGGGGCCCCAACCCGGCTCCCATCCTGCCTTGTTTTCTTCAAATTGGATGCATTTTTGTATTCACTCGAGATATAGCTCATGGCTCCACTCTCCTCTCTCTCCTAACGGCTTTAGTTTGAAAATTGAAATCCCTCATTTCTCTCTTCTTCAATACTTATCCTCGCAACCGTACAGCGCCACAACAAAAACTATATTCTTCATTGCCACCATCTTTTCTTCCTCCTTGATTGTTATGCTTGAGGTATTTCTTGTTTTGATTTTTGTTTGGAGTTCAAAGAAGAGTTGGATGCTTGGATGTACTGATATAGCTCCAAGGGTGTTGTTTTTTTAGGGTTTCTTTTCTGTTTTGATGATGGGTTATTGAGAACGAACTCACCCACCCTACCCACTACCCACCTACCAGTTGAATATCAGGTAGTTTCCCCTTATTCTCCTTGTTCCAATGCTCGAAGGTGGACCATTTCTCAACTAAAGATTGGAACTTTTTTGTGTTGGGATATTTGGGGATGATCTTATTGAAAATGCTGGTTTTGTCTCTAATTGATGATGGTAACTGAGTGTTGTAGATCTGCTGTCTGTGTATTTTGAATCTTGGTATGATTTCACTCGCTGTTTTAAGGCTATTTTTTTTTTCCCAAAATTTGGTAATGGGTAGTTTTGGTTTTGTGATTTATTTGTGTTACCTGCTTTGATTCTCTGATCTTTCTATTAGACTGAGGATTTGGAGGGAGTGGAGACCTGATTGATAGAAACTGCTCAACATATTCTCCTTGCAGCTCTGTATTTTGTTTACTTTTCCTCATAGAAACTGGAAATTTAAGCTATTAGGTACACTAAAATTGATTCTCACCTATGAAACAGGAAAACAAATAATTGTTTTTTTTTTTTTTTGGTTGATAGGAGAATAGTTTGTTGTTTGCAAAATGCTACAAATGGTGAAGTAAAACGGATGTCTTAATTTGCCTATAAGTGGTGGTTTCTTGATTTGTTTTTGTTTTGGTCAGAATAGATAGTCTTTCATATTAATGTTGTCGTGTTCTTTCTTTTAAACGTCTAGGGGGATCTCAACATCTAGCTCTCAAGATGAGCGATTATATTGTTACATTTGACTGATACGGGGGTGGTATGTGCAGGACCGACCACTCTCATATTAGCTATGGCGACTGGAAGTCTTTATTTCGATGACTTGCGAAGTAACTCTGAGGTCATTGATTCTCCCCAAACTAAAGACATGATGGATGTGGGGGAACATGTTAATGAGACCACACCGAATTCTTTAAAGCCTAATCCAGCAGTCTCTAGTAGTGTGCGTGAGCTATTGGAATGCCCGGTGTGCCTAAATGCTATGTATCCACCAATTCATCAGGCACGTATTTCTTTTTGGAGCTTCCATAACTTATGAATCCTAAAAGATTATATTTGCTGCTTCCCAGTGTGCCCTTGTGTTCTTTTCCTCCTGTTGAGCATATAACCATTAATGTGTAATCCAACTATCAGGTTAGGCTTTTAGTTGAGATGGAGCACATGCTTCAATTCCTCCAACATTAATGCCATGAATCTTCTATTCTTTTTTAGTGTTCCAATGGTCATACGTTATGTTCGGGATGCAAACCTCGGGTACACAACCGTTGCCCAACTTGCAGGCATGAGCTTGGCAATATTAGATGTCTCGCTTTGGAGAAGGTTGCTGCTTCTCTTGAGCTCCCGTGTAAATATCAGAACTTTGGGTGCGTGGGGATCTATCCATATTATAGCAAGCTGAAGCACGAGTCCCAATGTGCGTTCAGACCCTATAATTGTCCCTATGCAGGGTCGGAATGTTCGGTGGTTGGTGACACTCCCTACTTGGTAAATCACTTGAAAGATGATCACAAGGTTGATATGCACGCTGGGAGTACTTTCAACCATCGCTATGTCAAATCAAATCCGCACGAGGTTGAGAACGCCACGTGGATGCTCACGGTAAAACATTGTTTTCCTGTTTCAACTGATTCTCTTTAGGTTATGGTTCGAGTGGTAGAAACATATCTTAAAATGGGTGACAGTGCCCGCTAAGGTTAACTTCAATTGGCCTAATGTAACCTCACACTTACCCTACGGTTTGATTTCTGAAATGCTTTTTGCGATGTTACTTGTCACTAGGTTTTCAGTTGCTTTGGGCAGTACTTCTGCCTGCATTTCGAAGCATTTCAGTTAGGGATGGCACCAGTTTACATAGCATTCTTGCGATTCATGGGTGATGACAACGAGGCTAAAAACTATAGCTATAGTCTCGAGGTTGGAGGGAACGGGAGAAAGATGGTTTGGCAAGGGGTGCCGAGGAGTATAAGGGACAGTCACCGAAAGGTTCGTGACAGTTTCGATGGCCTCATCATTCAACGCAACATGGCCCTCTTCTTCTCCGGTGGAGATCGCAAAGAACTGAAGCTCAGAGTCACCGGTAGGATATGGAAAGAACAGTAGTGATTGTGTCGTCTACTCGTCTCTAGAATCTAGACAAAACTCTTTCAATCCTAGGATAGAATTTGTTCATTTGTTGCTCAATGAAACTTTCTGGTCTTGTATTTTTTGAACTTTCAGAAGCAAATTCTGTTTGCTTGTCCACAAAATACATGACAGCCCAAGCTGCCTGGTTAAGCAATATAGTGTTTGAATTACTCAGTTATGATTCAAGTGCTTTAATGCCCTGTTTCTTTTGATGAAGATTCAAACTGGAATAATACTTAGTTCGATTGAGCTATTAAAAAAAACAAAACAAAATGCATCTAATTTCATAGATCATTCATTCATTAAATTGCACAGAAAATCCTCCATTTGATATCAAACCAAATGGTAGTAATATTACATGTCTTGTTTTCTAAATTTATTCCAAGATGGCATCGAAGTAGCATCCCTCCATTCTCATTTACAGTTAGACAAATATGCATCCCAGCCTTGGAGCCTGTATTCTCGAGCTGCCTCTAAGGGGTTAGCGGCCTTTATGATCCCACGACCAACGATAATTATGTCACTGCCTCGTTCAGAAATGACCTGAAACGAGAAGCAAGGATCATATCCGCGTTTCATTAGTGCAAGGAAACAATATATACGACATGATCATTGTTGAAATCTATTAAATTCTAAGGCGGGTGCATAGACTTACAGAATGCGGGGTGTTGTATTGCTGGCCAAGAGAATCTCCACCTTTCACGAGCTGCACGCCAGGAGTTGCGTGAATCAAACCTGGATTTCCAGAATTTGGCCATGATGCAGGATTGACAGAGATGAAGCCAATCACAAAATCTGAATGATCCTCAGCAATTTTTGCAGTTGCAGCTGTATAGTCTCCCTTTGCAAGGTTACCGGCGGAACTCATTTCAGCGAGCAGCAGTAGGCCTCTCCCACGGGGCAAACCCTATGATCAGCATAAGGCACAAATTAGATATGAATTCTGAAACTTAGAGTAAAAAATATATATGTATAGAAGAAAGTAACCTTCAGTTTCAGCCCATCCACTATTCCTGGACCCGGGATAATATGGGCGTTTACTATGTCTGCCCAATCCAATATACGGAAGATACCACTGCAAAGAATACAGTTAAACTGTTCAGGCATAAATCATTGAAGGGAACAGGAGAAGCTTAAGACACACTACAGAGCAATTTATTCTCTCACCCTTCATATTGCATTGTGACTGTGTTGCCAATGTCAGCAAACTTGCGATCTTCAAAGATTAAGAAATTATGCTTCTCTGCAATCTACATATACATATGTAAAATAATCGATCATATGTTCAGTAAATAAATCTCTACATGATGGATTTACAAGCAGCAAAATTCACTGGATGGGGATATGATATTTATAAAGGGATCCCGTCATCTTAAGAATCTCGAGTGAGGGAAAAATAGAAGCCACAGGTTGTAATACAATTCAAGGACCCACATTATAAATCCTAAGATCTATCAAGGTGAATATTTTAAACGCCATACAATCTGCAATCATGAAGAAGTTTGCATACACCAAAAGTAAACATGAACAAAATTACCAAGCATCTTGAAATTATGCAGTACACACAGTGGAGTTGATTCATGGAGATTCAATAAATAACAAGCAAGACTACTACATTATCTAATCCAACTTACAGATCGAAGTTTAGAGCCAAAATCTGGGGTGAAATCTGGCAATATGTCAACATGGGTTTTCAACATGCAAATTTCTGGCCCAACCTGAGAAAAGAAGAGATGCCATTCAAAATATCTCCACCATGACAAGAATTAAAATAACATTAGAAGTCAGAAATATGTATGAACTGACAAATACCAGCCAATAACTGAGCAGGCAAAGAACAAACCACTTTTCTGCTTTTCATGAAAATCTATACAAATTAACTTCTAAAATTGAACACTCCCATTTGTTTTTTTCTTTCGACAACTCATTCCATTTTATTTTGCTCACCTTTTCAGCAATATCAAGCAATGCAGCTGCAGTAGAGACATCAGCAGACAAACACAAGTTAGTTTCCTTCTGCACCATTATCTCAAATAGCCTCTTCCCTGTAGGGTTTTTTGCTATCTTAGCCCTCTCCCCAAATGGCACCCTGGCCTTAACCTTTGTGTCTACCTTTGGCACTGGTACAGCCACTTTCCTGTTCTCCTCCAAGAACTTCATCACCATTTTCTCAGTCTCCTCTGACACTCTTCCCTTCTCCTTCAATATCCTCACCATCTCAGTCAACTTCACCATGGCGTGCAGCCTAATTCCATTCTCAGCCAAATTCTCCCTACCTCCTTGTTCCCTGTCCAAATTAGTTCCAATCCAAAAACAAAATAATTTGTCAATCAAAATGAACATTGAAGAAATTCATTATGCTGTATTAGACTTAGTTGAAACAGTGATGCATTTATCAATTTTATACCAAAAACGCCATATAAGCACGTAACACACAGGCATATCTACATACAATAATTTTTCACAAAAAAAAAAAAATCTACATACAATAATTAATCAGTGATCAGCCAGTTTGAAAAACAACGGAACAGGGACCGAGAGCCGAGAGGAGACCTGTCAATCATGACGACGGCGTCGGTAACCTTGAGGCCAGCGGCGCGGAGAGGTGCGGCGGTCTCGAGAACGGAGGCGCCGCTGGTGACGAGGTCCTCGATGATGAGGCAGACCTGGCCGGAGCTGAAGGCTCCCTCAATGGCCTTGGCGGTGCCGTAGTCCTTGACCTCCTTACGGCGCATGAGCATAGGAACATTGTTCGCGGTGGAAATACAGGTGGCGATGGGAAGGGCGGTGTAGGGAACGCCGCAGACGAGGTCATAGGCGGAGGCGGAGGGAGGGATGATGGCGGTGAGCGTCTCGGAAATCTGGCGGAGGAGCGAAGGATACGAGACGATGAGGCGGAGGTCGATGTAGATGGGGGAAAGGATGCCGGATTTGAGCTTGAACTCGCCGAACTTGACGGCGGAGATGTCGTGGAGCTGGAGGATCAGAGACTCCATAGCCTGTGCGGAAACTGATGATGGAAACGACGTCATCTCTTCTTCTCCTTCCTCACCTTCACAGCTTAAGCACAGAGAGTGAACAACAGGTGCAGTTATAGTGAGAGAAGCGGCGACTGTGCTTTTGCTTTTGTAGTAGCAGTGCGGCGGACATTAAAAGAGAACCTAAACTAAGGAGAAAAAAGATTATTCCTCTAGGCCACTACTAGGGGTTGGTATTAGTGGATTTTTTTTATTTTTTTTTTGAAATATTGAGTAATTCTATTTATATGCCAATGACTTTTAGGTCGTTATGATTCTCAAAAAGTTGAATCTTCATCCCGACAAGGAAATTTGGGAGAATGTAAATCATAATTAGTTAACTGAACAAAATGTTACATCTTTGCTTTTCACACAAGGAGTCTCTCTCACTATGGTCGTTGTTCTCAAATTTTACCCACGTGACCAATTGAATTGCCTATGCGCGCAATGATCTTTAGGTCTAATGATACGAAATGACTCTCTCAACTAGAAGATCATGAGTTCGATTCCCAGTATTGACTCTTTGTGCTTCAGGAGGTGAGTCAGGATGCTATTTAAGAGTGAGGATGAGTTTGAATAGTTATATTTAAGAATGGGGAAGAGTTTGAACTTTTGCACCACAAATAATAGAGCGGGGTATTGAAACACACCATATAAAATAGGAAATTGGTGATAGAGTATGAGTTTAAACTCGGATCATTAACAAATTTGGGACGAAATAAGCGGATTGTTAAGACAATAGGGAGATGATGGATTGTGGGCTTGACCCAACAAAGGAAATTTGCGTCTAGAAAAGTTATATAGAGTATTCTAATTAGGAAGAAGGGCTAAAAATTAAAGTTTATGACTCGAGAATTCTAAGTTCGTCTACATAAATACAAAGTTTCTTTGGTTTAGTGCAATGTAAAACTAGGAGGATTTAGCAAGGGAATTGATAGAGTCCAAAGACCAACTGAATTGAGCTACTGACTAGCATTCATCAATGGAGACACTACATGAAGAAATCCCATAATAAGTCAAAACCTAAGAGAACAAAGAGCTGGCCTAGGTAGCCCACAGATGATCAGTTCAAATTAAAATAATACAGAGTAATAGACAACTCCTGAAGTTGAATTCGGACGTTTACAACTACCAAATCAACTATTTAATCAATTCGATTGGAATTGTCCACGTGAATTATTGAATCTGCTCATATACATACATGTAAGAATCTTACCAAAATGTACCAATACAAGCTTCAGAATGAAACAAATATAGTGACACAAAGCATAGTATTTCAGAGGGCCATGAAATGATGGTGACAGATAGAAATCAGCTTTGACATCTACACATACATCCCCGACCTTTACAGTTGCATTAGCAAATAGCAACCCTCATAATTCATATCAACTTATCCCCCAATGCAACAACTACCCTGAACCTCCTCTCTGCAAATACACATTCTGAGATACCTGTTATCTTTAGACTTCTGCATTGTCACAATGGATACACACCATTCTACAGACAATTGTAAAAACATTCCAAATCTTGTAAAGACAGACAGAGATCAGGTAGCAGACAGCAATTCAGAGTAGTAACAATATATATATATATACAGCAGAAAAACAATGAATATGTATATATATATATATATATATATATATATATATATATATATATATATATACACACAAAGCAAGCATAAAAAAACTGTGATTTATTATTATCTTCAATGGAGTTTTGAAATGGCCATATATAAGCTGCACAGAGGATCCTGCAGATGCAACCTTCACAAGAAATATATACACATATATACTAAAACCTTTAGTATCTCACAATGAGATACCTTACCCATCCATCCAAGCTTTATGTAGTCAATCACAGCAGTAATCGCAGCGAATTAGGCCGTTCTCGTTGCAAACGGGGCACCTCCTGACCTGTCCGTCGTCCTCGTCGAAGAATTTCCTGCTGCCATCGCAATTCGTGCACGGAACAAAGCGTACATCGCCGCAGCCTTCACAGACGTAGCCGGGAGGTCGGATGGGGAGTCCGCGGAGCAATTTAGGCAGCTCGCCGACTTCGTTTAATTGCTTGATCACCTCGGCGCCGCCGATGTACTTTCCCTTGATGAAAATCTGTGGTAGAGGCACGCTCTTCTGCCCTAATACGTTCTGCAGCTCCATCTTGTACGCATTGTCCATGGAAACGTCCCGTTCGTCCACGTCCACTCGGAATCCCTTGAGGATCATCCTCGCCGTGTAGCAATCCTCGAACGTCCGGCGGATTCCGCGGAGGCTCGTGAAGTACACCACCACTCTGTCCTCCGTCCCCGGCAGCCGGAGCAGAGAATCGCTGGAATCCGATTTCGAGGTGGGGGACAGCTGCACGGGCAATAAATTGGACAATCCGCGCGCCAATTTCTGCGAGTCGAAGATCGAGCAAAGCTTCTTCACCTTCCCCGATATCGAATTCCCGGCCACGGACACCATAGACTCGAAGGTGTTCAGGTGTTTGATGGACCCCATCCGTTCCACGGGAGCCTTCTTACCGAAGCCAAATGCGTCAGGCGAGGTGGTGCGGCTATGGAACACCGTCATCGACCGATTGAAATACGATGAGCTCTTCATATTCGGATTCTTATGAAACTCATTCTCCCTAGGAGCCATCAAATTGCACAGTTCCTCTTAAAAACCACAAACTCAACCGTTCCGCGCACGATCGCGATGGCAGGATGTCAGATTACGGCGACGGCGACGGCGACGGCCGCGGCGACGGTGGAATATACCGAAGGTATTGCAAGGAGAGAATCGAAAGATACGATTATGAATAAATGTGAAATGAGAAGACGAAGATGACAGATGGTTTTGTTCGTGTTATTCTGGGGAAAGAAAGCCGTAAAAAGAAAATAAAAATTCGAAAAATATTATTCGGTTGCGGGAAAAGGAAAAGCCGTTATTATTTTTATCCGTGATAAGGATCATATACATACAACGTAACAACACCGATATGTATCTATTTTTATTTTTAGTAAGATATCGTAATATCATAATATTTTAATATGATCTATAAATTTTAGAAAATCATTCTCTATTTTCTTTAATATTAATATAAAGTATCAATAGTGTAAATACGGGTACTTATTAGTATTTCATAAAAAAATAGGAGTGTCAAAAAGTGAATTGGACCTCGTGTGTTAACCTTAACATGTCTCAAAGTAGGGTGTTTGGATTAAAATTTCTTTCCCAAGAAAAAACTGGTCTCGTGAGCTGATATGACTAATATTAAAAAAAAAAAAAATTAAACAAATATGTTGTAACTCGTTTTTACATTCAAATATTTATAAAACATCCACTTTTTAAATCATATTATACAATATTGTTTATTATAATGTATATAATATAAATATAAATTAATATAAGTAATTTCTTCTTTTTAATTTTTAAAAATTATTTTTAAGCTAGCACATGGGTTACTTCGCAAGGCTCACCGAACTTCTAGCCTTCGACATAATATTAATTCTTTTCATAATATTATGCTTTTCGTCTCATTTTATATTTATATGATGAAGATTCAAGTCATATAAAATGAAACAACAACGGTATATAATTAAAGAATTAAAATTAAATACCTATAATTAAACTAATGCAATTAATTTACAAGATTTTTAACAAGTATTGAGGTTAAGGTGCATGTACCCAATCCATAATTCCTTAATTGGTTACTAATAAGGATAGAATCACACTATGTATAAATTATTGGCATATAATTGCTTTGGCAAGGATTTGGTGAGTAAATTTTTATTTTCATCTTCAATTTTTAATAATAATAATCATCATCAGAATCATTATCATAATCATAATTTTAGAGCATCCATAATAATGGGGATATTTTGTGATTTTTGAGGAGTTTTTATATGCGTGATTATGAAAGAGAATATGGGAGGAGAGAAAACAAATAAACAAAACTGATTAAAAAAAAAAAAAAAAAAAAGTGATGCGCCCCTCTGGGCGCATGTGTGACAGCTACACGAGACTGTCACAACTTGTCCAAAATCAGTGCGGGGCTCACTTTTCTGTCATTATTTCCTCTCTTACAGAGGAATCTCAATCCCCCCTCTTTCTCAACATGGCTATTTTTTTCGTGCAATATCCTCGGATGGTGATGCTCTTATAGACCCAACTCGAAATACTAAAAAATAATATATAACATAAAGGAGTCTTTTAATTAATTTCAAGCGCTTTTAGTCATTCATAAAGGCCTTTCATTGCGAAAAACGAAGCCACCAAAGAAGGGATAGAATAGAGTTATGAGAGTATGAGTTAGGGCATACCCATCAATTGTTCTTGAGTTTTTTTTTTTTTCCAAAACAAACAAAAAAAAATGGTGAAAGGGTGTTAACTAATTAATGGGAAGGAGGGTTTTTTTTGTGGTGTATGTTTTTATTTTTCTTTGTGGGCCTCATTAGTTGGGAATAAATTGGAAAAAAAAAAAAAAACAACAACCTCAATGCACGTGTTAGCTGGGCGTGTGACAGAACTTTTAAAAAAAAAAAAAAACTTTTTCTTTTTCGTCATAATTTTTTTCACCTCCACTTTTCATCTTGTCTCTTTCATATATTTTTCTAGTTGGCTATGAAAAAACTTCAAAAAATTTACACTAGACTCTTATAAGAGCTTGAAAAGAGCTGAGTGATAAAACTTGACATTTTGAAGTCTCGGACACTTTGAACTCAAGATATTTTGAAGTCTTGTGATAGTCTAATGGAGAGTGATTGCTGTGTGTATAGAGATTCACCTATCATAATCTATCATCATTATCTTTTTTATAGAGCTTAATTTCAAAGAAAATTAATTAGATTTAATTTATAAATAACCTTCTTTTCATCAAGTCTTGAAGATTCAAATGATTCTCTGATACCAATGCATCTTTGATTCAATTCTCAAAACATTCATAAATCTGTCTGCAATTATGGGTATTTGTATTCGATTCGGGAACGAAACCCAAAAAGTGAGAAATCTCAAACTTTTATTTCGACCATTGTTTAATTTTCTAGCAACACATTTAAACAAAAATCAAGAATTATTTATTTATCGGTCCGCCGGCGGGAAGATGAACGGCTGTGTCATACAAGACCGCCGTCCTGTCAGCCGGGGAGATAACAGTTTCCGTCGCCGTCGCCGTCGCCGTTCCATGTCGATTATCATCGACGCCTGAACAATACACCGGCGAAACAACGTCGTTATTATTATCGTTGCCTTTGACAAACAGGCGCGGTTTGATCAGATTGTTGACGTCAGATTGCCGGACGGGCTTCACCAGAAACTCCTGCGCGCCTTCTTCCAAGCACATGTTGATCCTCGACGCTTCATTCTCCGACGACATTATCACCACCGGAATGTCTCTCCGGCATTCCTTCACCTTTCTCAGCAGATCATACCCCGTCATCCCCGGCATGCAGTAGTCTGTGATGATCAAATCCACTTCCACTTCCTGCAGTTCATGGACAACGTTAATTAACAAAAATAGTTTATGTTTAACGGTGGTTAATTATATTAATTACTCCGATCGGCCGTACGTGGTGGTCGGAGTTCATAGCCGTCATGGAATCTTCCAACAGCCCAAGAATCTCCAGCGCCTTGTTCCCAGAATCCACTGCAGTCACTGTCCAAACAAATACAACAAATTATTAAATTAAAATCTTGGTCACAAAAGATGAAATTCCTCTCCATCCAGCACCCCAGATCCCGGTCAACAGAATTATGGAGGGATAGATAAATTATGGTGACTCGAAAAACTCAAATTATAAGGTTACAGATTTAATTTTTCAAAAGTAGTTAATTGACCACTTTAATTTGAGTTGGTTAATTATGTACAATAATTTAAATTAGTTTATTTTTTTTATAGGTCTTTTACTAAGGTCACAACATCGAATTTACTTACTATAACAGCCAAGAAAATGAAAGGTGAAATTCCCACAATGCAATTATTGAGATCAGACTAATGCATATTTGCTATTCAAGAACTAACTGAGTTATCCGTGATTAATGTTTATAATTCTCAAGAAAAATGGTACCTTGGAAAGAACAAGTTGTGAGAAGCCTTTCGATCAACTTTCTGTCCACGAGGTTATCATCGACGGCCAGAACGTGAAATCTTGATTCTGATGAAGCATGAGTGGCCGCCGCCGCCACCGCCACCGCTGCCGCCATGGCTAGAAAGCTTGCTTGCTTTGGTGAATATATGGTTTAAGATCAGAATTGTTTCAATTCGATCAGATGAAGTTATGAGAGAAAGAGGATTGGAGAGATGAAGATGCAGCCATGTTCATATGCCATTGCCGGCCACATGAAAGGGAAGGCACCTCTATATATATATATATACACACACAAAAGATATTATGAGAGTACAGATGATATGATATGATTATGATGATGATCCGTACGAGCAGAGGGAGATCATAATATATATTATATATATAGTATATGTGATGTGAAAGATGGGTATATGGTAACATGGGAAGCAGGAATGGGAGGGGGATACGATGATCATTTTCAAAGATTCTGACAGTTGGGAGAATGGGAGATAGCAGAATTTGATCCAAGATATGAGACCACATTTTCGATCTTCACAATCCGTTTGATTCAGATGGCCGGCCTGGTCACAAGCAATCCCACTTTTCTTTATTTATATATTATTATAATTCACCGGTCAACACCGGTGTCAATTATATCCGGAGTAATTATGTATGATGAGTTAATACTCAAGGGTCCTTGGAGTATAATGATTTTGACACGTTTAGTCCTAAACTTTCAAATTATCATTTACGGTCCTTCAACTTTTAAATTGTTACCATCTTAATCCAAGTTAACCACCTTGGTCCTTCAACTTTTAAAATTTAATCAAATGTGGTCCTTCTGGAAGGACCATGGGTGGTTAAAAATTGATAGTTGAAGGACCATGTGTGATTAACTTGAACCACATATGGTACAATTTGAAAGTTGAAGGACCATGAATGGTGAATTTGAAAGTATAGGACTAAACGTGACAAAATCACTATATTCGAAGGACTCTAGATGGTATCTCCATGTATAATTGTATTATAATACAAAAAAGGATGGATCCATTTATATTCGAGCCTACCACCGCTGAGATGACAGCTTTAACATGACTCGTTCTAGATGGTGGACCTGAAACTGAAGCTTGAAGCAGCTACTTTTGAAGTAACTGAAACAAAAGAAACGACTGGGCGAGAGAGATCAGGTCGTGCGTAGGTCAAACAAATGGCACAATATGTCTAGCATACGTACGCTACAACTAGTTAACTCAATATTGCCATAGATATAAATTAGTCTAACTTGGACCGTCTATGCAAGTTGATTTTCCTAACATCCTTAGTCGGTCAAAAACATTGAAGTACTATCTGACCTATCTCTTGGGCATGATTTGATGAGTTTACATTTATTTATATTATTGAGTTAATTTGACTATTCCATAATAACCTCATTATATGTCATGTTACTAAATGCTATTAAAACCGTTTTCAATAATACTCTTATCCCAATTTTTCAATAATACTCAACAATATTTATTGTATATACTGAATATTATTAGAAATCATTATTAATAATATAAATATCGAGTATTATTTTTGGATTTTACACTTTTATATATACATATTCCTCAATATATTCCTTGATTCTTGTTGTGGCCTTTGGCTCTTTGGATGAGGCTAAGGGCAGGGCTATCCATTCATTGCCCTTTTGGAAGAACAATATCGCGTAAGGCAACGCCGACGAATCCCATGAATATATGTGAATCCGATTTTATTAATTATTTAATTTGATTGATTATTTTATAATTAAACTAAATCCATCCTTCAATATATTATTACTTTATTTATAAGCAACTTGCTTATGGAATCCTAAATTCGTTTTAGAAATAATGATTTATTAAGAGCGAATTGAAGTACGTACTTGCTTTTGCATGCATGTTAATTAATTAATGGATTTTTCTTGCAGTTTTAGAATGGGAAGATATTTGGGAATCATAAAATATTGTCAAAGATTTTTTTCCCACCTAATACTTCACAAATCACAATTATCTTTGAATGATCTCGATCAGCTGAGGAGTGGTGCTACATGCATAGATATATAATAATAATTATTATTTTCTTATGTGATTATATAATAATAATTATTATTTTGATTAATTAGTAGATTCAATTGTTAATGTAGGGTGAGATTAGACAATTTACGGTAATGATTTTGTTGTTACTAATAACTTATAAGTGAGCGATTATAAGGTAAAATCAAGACGAAAGAAATTAACATTATTACTATTATTATAATTTTATGATATCTTAGATATTTCAACGGTGCCAAGACCTTGTGGTCACCCGGGTTGCACTTCCATATGGAAGGTGTAGGTTTGAGCTTCAATGGAGGCGACATTGACTCTTTGTATTTCAGTTGGTTGAGAAAGTAGTTTATGAACAGATACTACATTGTAATAAAGTCAGTAGCATACAGTGCAATATAATATCATACAATAATTTATCACAGTTAATTAGAATTACTACATTGAGATAGCTAGGCATAATGGTCCAAAGAGGGGAGAGTCATCTTAAAGCTTTTTCGTTTGTGAACAAAAATAAATCTTCGTCGTAAAACTCTATTCAAATTATTTATTCATTGTTCATCGAGTTGGGTTTAGTAGTTAGCACTAACTATAAGTGTTTACATCCTTACTGCTCTGTCTGATTGGAGTGTGGGGACACTTGGAGTTGGAGATTCAAACTTTTGAGAGGAGAGTACATTTTACAAGCCAAAGAAGCAAAGACATTTGACAGCTAATAGCTGCAATTGATTATAGGTTGTAGTTGGGAATTGGCAGATTATTATAAAAAAATAATAATATGTTGTTTACATTTTGTAATGGAACCTTATAATTGATGTCGCCAGTTCCCAGAAAGATTCCGAGAATCGTAATCGTCGCTCCCCAAATCGATTCATAAACTCCCCGACACGGACGACACGGACGTACGTCGGAATTGCCGGTGCACGTGCTTCCCTGTTTTCAGCTCCCAACACTAATTTAATTTCCCAGGTTTTAATAAATTAATAACATATTATTGTATCTTACCAGGATAATTAAGTTGATAAAACATTATTCTCGCATATAAAAATTACAAGTTTAATAATTTGTAATCGGGACAATTCAAATTTTTTGACTTCGTTGGATTATATCAAGGATCCATAAATCTACCTATACATGCACTTGATATTGAAGAGGTAAATCAAACCAACACTAAATTGTACGTTTTTACGCACAAAAAGTTCAACTCAAATCTCTAATGTCTCACACGATTTATAAAAATTAGTCTTAAGTGAGACTTTTTATTATTTAACTAACAGTGGGAACTTGTACACCTTCCGAGGACCAAAATGTAAACAACATATTATTATTTACCGAGCAAATACCAATTTTAATCCCACGAGTATTTGCAAAATGACAGTTTTAGTCCACATGTTTAATTCCTACCAATTTTCATCCACGACTATTACTTTAGTACCAATTTTCATCCACGACTATTGTTTTAGTGCCAAAATTCATCACGGCTATCACACATTTGTTTAAAACATGTCGAAATATGAAATTATTAAGGGTATTTTCGTCTTTTTAAAATTAAGATCCCAATTTGAGCATGAATAAAAAGATTTAAGCCCTAAGATCTATCGTGATTCGCAGTTTTTCTCCTCAAATTAAAGTAAGATGAGGAGGAGAACTGCCAATTGGGATTGATCTTAGGACTTACATCCCTTTATTCATGCTCAAATTAGAGCCTTAAGTTGAAAAGGACGAAAATGCCCTTAAAATTTTTAGATTTCGACATGTCTTGGATGGAGGGGTGACCGACGTGATGGATTTTGGTACTAAAATAATAGTCGTGGATGAAAATTGGTACTAAAACAATAGTCGTGGGATGAAAATTGGTAGAAATTAAACATGTGGACCAAAACCGTCATTTTGCTAATACTCGTGGGACCAAAATTGGTATTTGCTCTTATTTACCTACAGTATAGTTGTCTCTCTTTATCTCTGATATTGTGACACATATGTTTATTCCCACTTGAAGCATCACTTCTGGAATTATTGCTTTTAGATATTCATCCTCTTTTACAGCTGCAAAATTACGTGGTGTGACGTAATTTATACTTTTAACTTTTCATTGTATGTAAAATAAAAATAATAATAAAAGTATTGCTTTTAAAAGTGTATGATAGCTGGTTTTAAAAAAAGAAAAGAAGTGTATGATAGCTACATTTACTCTATTATATATACACCAGTAAAGTATATGAGGCTAATCACATTCAAATTAGTCAGGTCATTAATTGGGACAGTTGGCTGGTTTGGAGCTATTTATTCGATTGGCCTTTTTATTTGAGTCGCTTAGAGCTGTATGTTGGTTTTTCTTCGGCCGATTGGTTTAGAGCTTGGGAGTTGGGACCTTCTAATTTAAGTATGAATAATCTATTGGTTTGACTTTTTTTTGATTTGAGTCGAAGGAGAATACACAAATTATTTGGTCTACACAACTGTGTCGATTATGGTTCAAAATGACGTAGTTAATTTTATTAGTTAGAATAATATATAATAGACCATCCTCAATAAGTGGATTTTGCACAAATTTTAAGAAAAAATTGATATGTTGAAGGAGAGAGAAGAGAGAGGGTTAAGGTTGTTATGTTATTTAAGGGATTTTGTCAAGATTTTGGAATTTTAGGAGGGGTTTTTTCAATTTTTGATTTTATTTTTTATTTTTTATTTTTCAATCAATTTCTTTTTCCTAATCACACTTGCAAAATCTGCTCAAAATCCTACCACTATTGAGGATGTCTGTACATTATATGTTAAAATAATGAAACTTCTTATGTAAGATAATGTACTTTATGAATTAAAATAATGTATATTATGATTTAGAATAATGTATGTTACGGTCATGTGATTTTTTTTTTTTACGCAAAACGAGTCATCTTTTAGACCACACGCAATAACTATTCTCACTTGGGCATTTTTACTTAGAAGTCCAAGAGAGTTGGGTTGAACTTAGTGGGCCGAGACATATGACAAAACATGTAAAACTAATCCAACAACTAATTAGTTTTTTTTTTTTTTTAGTTAATTTGTGCATTTCTGCTAAAAAACAGTTGAATTTCTATGCAAAGTTGTTATAATGTATTCATTTACTAACCAAAATAAGCACTACAAGCCATTTGTAAGTTTCAAAAAGTATGTATATCTGTATAAAATTGTGGTTTTTAACCAACAAATGCTACAAAATCAGCAAAAAAATTTCTCTCTTTTGGCAGTTCCGGCGGATTTACAGTGATCGGAAACTCGAACTTGGCCGGAAAATACCAAATCTGCAATATATAGGTTCAATTGCAGGCCGGCCCTGAATCTTGAATTTGATGACCGAGAACTCCAGCAGGAAGGAAGATTGTGTATAATTACATCTCATCTATGATTCAATCTTGAATCCTCCAATCCTCCTTCAATATCTCTCAGATCTTCTTCGATTGATCCAATTCGATCCATCATCGGCCGGAGTTTAAAGATCAAACCAGTCTTCTTCTTCTTATCGGCCTCGTTAGTTGCGGAGAGACGTAGAACTCCTCCTCCTCCTCCTCTTCCTCCGCCGCCGCCTTCCTTTTCCGGCTGGGCAAAGCTTCTGGAGATTTGGGCGTCAGCAAATGGGAACTCAGGCGGTTCACGTCCGCCTGCCGCACCGGCTTCAGGAAGAACTCCTCCGCCCCTTCCTCCAAACACCGGTCGATCCTCGCCGGAACATCCTCCGACGACATGATCACCACCGGAATATCTTTCAAGGAAGAACACCCCTTCACCTTCCTCAGAAGCTCGTACCCCGTCATCCCCGGCATACTGTAATCCGTGATGATCAAATTCACTTCCTCAATCCGCCCCCCCAGAAACTCCATCGCCTTTATCCCGGAATCCACCACCGTCACTGCAAAATTACCAAGAAACATCAGAACCAGAGCATATAGCCATTACTGTGCAAATCAATTACCAGCTTAAGCTGGAGCACATACTTAAATTTGGTATAAGGTTATGAGTTCGAATCTCTATTAAGCTTCTAGTTGAGATGGAGCACATGCTTCAATTCCCAACACAGATAATTTCATAATTCTTGCCAAAATTTAAAAAAAAAAAAAAAAAGATCCAAAGATTTCAAAGCACAGTACCTTGATAAGAACAAGTTCTGAGGAGGCGCTCGATGAGCTTGCGATCAATGATGCTATCATCAACAGCCAAGACATGAAACTTGCCAAGATCTGAGCAGGGAGAAGACGCCATTTCTTTGCTACCCAGAAACAGATGAGAGGAGAGAAGAGAGTGTTTGTGAAGAACACAGAAGAGGAGACAGAAGCATATATACGAGTTGTTGATGGATTTGGGAGAGAAGATATAAAATGATTTTGGAGAAGATTTGGTGAAGATATAATCTTTGAAAAAGTGTGGATAAATCGAGGGAAATAAGATCCGAACAGAGCAGACATATCTATGAGAATCTTGAAGATCTTGTTGGGTTGATCTTCTGACTGGGACAACCAAGATAGCACCGAACCTTCATTTATTACAAGTCTTCAACATAGTATTCTTTATGCTTTTAATTTAAACTCATAATAAAATAAAGAGAAAAGGGTCAAATACACCCTCAAACTTTAGCTTAAAAGTTAATTAGGCCCTTAAACAATTTAAAGGTGCAATTACACCCATCAACAATTCATTTAGATGCAATGAAGCCTAAAAACAAGTTAATGACCTGCTATCACAGGTCATTAGGGTTCAGGCCATTTTCCGGCGAATTTTTCGGCAAAAAAAGTAACCAGCAACCGACCCAGATTTGTCAAAAATTTCGTCGGTCACTTTTTTGTCAGAAATTTCGCCGGTCATTTTTTTTTTTTTTTTTTTTTTGCCAAAAATTCGCCGAAAGGTGGTTTGAACCCTAATGACCTGTGATAGCAAGTCATTAATTTATTTTTGGACTTCATTGCACTTAAATGAATTGTTGAGGGGTGTAATTGCACCTTTAAAAAGTTTAGGAGCCTAATTGACTTTTAAGCTAAAGTTTGAGGGCTTATTTGACGCTTTTCCCTAAAATAAAATAATAATAAAAAAATATAGTTTTTTTAATGAGTTAATTTCATTTTTGTCATTCTTCCAAAAGGTTGAACCCCAACCCTAAAATTTTATTTTTGTCATTCTTCCAAAAGGCTGAACCCCAACCTTAACGGCCCCTTCATACTCCGACCCGACAGAGCATTTGGGAGGATGTAAATCATGGTAATTCAACAATTTTATTTTTGTCATAGATTTATAGGTGGTAGTCTGCCTTTAATTTTATTTTATCAAACATCCATTTTGGTCCTAGTATTATTTTGACATGACTAATTCCTCTATCAATAAAATCGTTGAAATTTTGTTAAATTAAAAGACATTTTGATCTTTTTAATACAAAGTGCGTTGACCCGTTATATTTTACATGTTTATTTTTTAAAAACATTCATAATTGAAAAGCGAAATGTCCTTGTATTTAGGGAAAATAGTGAAAAAGGTAATATATATAAATGTTTGCACAAAGTAATGCTTTTCACTAATCCGCATTCCTTCCACGAGGCATAGAAGCTAGGCTAAAGGAATTTGTTACTTGTGGGGATCAAATCGGGTTATCTCTAGGATTGTCCCTACAAAGAAGCTTATTTGCCACTTGAACTACCCCTTTGAATTACAAAGCAATGCTTATAATAATAGCAAAAAAGAAGTGAATTTGGACTAGTTGAAAGATTCTCGAAAATATGCAAGTAAATGTAAAAGTGATCGTTGAATGTCACGCTTAATTTATACAAGTATTTAACTTTCGGTGAATGTATTTTAGTGGCTAATTTTAATTTCGTCCCATAAAATCTCTTAGAGGTTCAAGTGATAATAGAGTCAGGGAGATTTCTAAACTTTTATTTTTTGTTTTTCCTATATTTATATGAAATAGAGATTTTAATTATATTGCTCAATTATTGATGTAAATATTATAGCCATTTTGTTTTTATTTATTTATCAAGATGATGGTTTTGGTTTATCAACAGCAAAACGTCAAAACAGTTAAAATTCACCACATTTACATTGCATGTGTGGAGCCAATTAGTCAATATTATAAATTATAATTTACAATTTTATACCATTAAAGCCTCCATTAAATGGTCGAAAAAAATCAAAATCGCCCAAAAAAGATCGATCAATGCTTTTACCCCTAAACATTTAAGTGTTAATAATGCTGATATCACTAATGAAGATATATTTAATTATTTATTTATCACGGAAGAAGTAATCTAGTAGATAGAAAATGATTTTCATTGAATTTGTCATACAAAATCTACTTAATACAATTCATCTTTTCAAAATTAAAACAAAAGAATGAGATAATATCTGTAAAATGTTCATCGCTAAATAATAATAATAATAATAATAATAATAATAATAATAATAATAATAATAATAATAATGGAAACAAAGGGTGCCCCTTCTCTCTATGTGCGTGGGCCGGTGGAGTTAATGGTGACGGGTGAGGGGGAAGACCTTTCTTCTTTATTTAACGGTCGACCACGACCACGACCAATTCTTGCCTATCAATTTTGATTGTTGACCTAAGTTTATTTATAATTTATATATGCACATAAATTGTCTCAAAAGAAATTACTAAATGGATAGAAGTATTATTTTCATACTTAATTGAACCCATCGTATAAGATCACAGTCATTAATAGTAACTGGATGTTTTCCTCGTCATCTTATATATTTATTTATTTATTAGCTGTTTATGAATTGTGGTTGCCCGCAATGAGCATATTGTTGAAATTTTGCTGACAAGTATGATATGGTCATCATAATCACTTCATCAATATTTAAAAAAAAAATATATATTACAGTATCTAAAATAAGCGTCACTCAATACAAACTTATACACGATCGACCAGGTCAACTACACTATCCTCATGAAAGGCAAGGCTACCTATTCACAACTACCCAAACAACCAAAATCTAATAATCCTATCAACAATTAGGGCATCAAGATTCTAGCAAAGACCTCCAAATAAGTTTCAAATTCCCTTCTATTTTTTCATGTACAACAGCACCAACCTTATAAGTGTTACAATATTCTCAGTGTACAATTTGTAACCTATCTGTATTGCTGATTTGTGTATATATACTACTGTTTTACAGTTCTGCAACACGAAACACGAACAAACAAAATCTTGCAATGCCACTAAACCGCGCTATGGGATCAAGCTCGCTAATGAGTAATGATACAAAATTGTTTTTTTTTTTTTTTTCGTTTGATATTAAACAACTAAGATTGCCAGTGTAGTAATGGTGGGGAGAGTACCTTCAGCTGTCTTCTGCAAAAACTTTGAATATGAAGTTCCGGAAACGCTGTGAGTACTGCCTGGGATCAACGGCCGAGATGGAAGTAGGGTCGTATTGGAAGGCCTTATATGCGTGCTCGAGCTTCTTGCTTATGTCGTAGTCTTGAAGGATGTCTATAATCCCGAAGAAGAGAATGACATCGTAGTACTGTCCTGTTGGTTCTGTTAGTTGGACATCGCAGTTGTTTCTCCTCGCTGTTAATTCCGCCTTTGCTGCCATGTTCACGCCTAGTCTCATCGAGGCCCATCTGCCAAGTTGGAGAGAACATATGAGTTTATAAGGCCATGAGTTAGACTAGCTAATTGATTGGATTCTGTCTTTTAGTGTGGTTTAAAAGCAGAAAGGCAAATGCGGGATCTTATTACCTGGAAGGGTCATCGAGAAGATCCTTGTCTGCTCGGGAAATTGTAGGGGTCGTTGTAGGGGTCGTGTTTTCGCCTTCCAAGTCTCCATTCGGTGCAAAAGGTGTATTAACACCAGAAATTCGAGAACCAGAGAGGAGTGCCTCCCCGGATTGTGAAACTTCTCGAAAGTGAACACCAACCAAGAGACTATAATCCATGATCCTCTCCTGTTCAAGGAAATCGCTGTCGTGATCCACTTGCCTGCATCTCAAAAACGAGGATTTTGAGTTCATGTTTTGCTGATCATAATTGCAAATAATCCATAAAATGACCTGTTAGCAATTGTTACTTATAACCCACGGGGCGCTGTTTATCATCAACTGGTGTTACTTGCTAATTCTTTTTTATTAAACCCTGGTAATTTGCTACTGTAAGGAACTGTCGACCACACTAAAAGATTGAATTCAACCAATTAGCTAGTCTAGCTCTGGCCTTATAAACCCATCTCTTCTCTCCTAATTTAAGGCTCTGATGCTTTGGTCACTCAACTAGGCTATAATACACATGGGCCAAACCACGATTGAATTCAACCAATTAGCTAGTCTAACTCTGGCCTTATAAACCCACCTGTTCTCTCCTAATTTAAGGCTTTGATGCTTTGGTCAGTCAACTGGGCTATAATACACATGGGCCAAATCACACTAAAAGATTGAATTCAACTAATTAGCTAGTCTAACTCATGGCCTTATAAACTCATATGTTCTCTCTTAATCAACTAAAAAAGAGAAAGAGATGCAAGTTTCACCTGCAGAACTCATGGAACCACACCTTCTGAAGCCGGAACTTAAAATTGAGATCGAGGTCCTTGAGGGTTGTAGTGGAATCAATTTCTGCAGCGGGTATATCAGTCAAGCGCCCGAGAGAAGATCCTTTCAAGTCGTAGCGTCTATGGATGGCACACTCGGTGCAGAACAGGTTCCCCATGATAACGAACCGCACCTGCACATTAGTCCGTATGCATTGAAGGCGTGAAGTGCAATGGCCAGTCAAGTGCTAGAAATCGTAATGCAAAACGCAAAATGCAAATATTACCTTCTTTTGAGCCGGTCCAATCATCTTCACGCAATGAAGGCCAAAGAATTTGGTAACGAGAGTATTCTCGAAGGCACAAACATGATTGTAGTAAGCGGGAAGCATTCTTAAGAGCATCTGCATACAAGTTGACCAAGAAAAATGATACATATCAGATTATTTCCGGATTAGACATGGATGGAAGGGCGGGCGGGGGAACTCACTTTTACTTCCGACTTCTTCATCGTCTTTATCATGTACTTATCGTCATGGGTCAAGTAAAAGAAACTCCCACTTTTTCCAGGAGACGAGAGCTCCCGAAGGGCATCATTGCCACATATGGATATCATGTAATCGGCTGGATCCACCTTAAAACATTTTCTTAATGTCCTGCATCGATAGATATTGTATCGTTTCAGAATTATCCCCACGGTTATGGTCATGAATAATGCTACCCTGACAGTTTTCATGTCAGCTATATAAGCAGGATTAATGTTTTCGTACTGAAACTCGAATTCAACTAGTATGCAAGGAAGATAAGGCTAGCACGTAAAAATGTCGGTTTAAACCCCCTCAATCAGTACCTCATTGTCACACACACAAAACGAAATATCTGTGTGTTCATACAAACTATGACATGATTGACCACACGGTTACAGAACTATGAGGACGAATTTTAGAAAGCATAGTCTAATGGAGTCGAGACAATTGAAGCCTAAGCTGATAGTTGGATTGCACATTAATGGTTATATGCTCAACAGAGACGAGGGTCCTGACCTGAAAACCAAGGGACAATAATCCTTCCATTTAAAATCACACGATTGATGGGGGGGCGTGTGCTTCGATCCTTCTGGAGGAAATCGGGTCCATATCTTATCCTTGGTGTCAAAAGCCGTAGCTTTTAGTTCAAGAGATGAAGCTGGAGCAGGCCTTCCTACAGAATATCTGACCAATCGTGACATAAATGAGCTACAAGTAGCACGATTTACAAACATACAACGTTATTTTCAGTGAAATTTAGACTTATAGAGACTTAACCTTACTCCAAGCTGCAAATTAAGCATAAGCTCATAGTTCCTATGACCTTTGCATATCGTTTCACCCTGTCTCTTTGGGGGTTGGATTCTGAAAAGCGGTTTTGATTCCCTCGAACCATCTGAATCACTAACGCCACAGCTACCACCGGTCTCTCTTTCCAAGCCAGAAAGGCCGCCATTATCAAAGTCTGGACGAAGATCGGGACTAGGGGAGGCCAAACTATTAGCATCTGCACCGCTAAGCCTTCCATCCACAGACTTACGCCCCCCGGTCTGCTTTGCAGCTTTAGGAGTCTTGCTGATGAGGTGTTTCTGCAAGAATTTGCCTTCACAAGGCCAATTCATCATCTTTTGGGAAGGGAACACGGTTATCTTCTCGCCAGGATCAACCTTGCATTCGACCAAATGGAGAAAGTACATTTCTTGAGGATCCCAATCGAAAATGCTAGTTTCTAAACTTGAAGGGTAGTAAGTCCCACTTTGCTCCCTAGGGTCTCTACTCCAAACCCCTACATAGAAACTTCCATCCTCCCATCGAAACGTGCCATTTCCTTTAGGCTCCCCGTCTTCCCAGTACCCATCGAACCGATTCCCATTGCTCCATAGAATTGTTCCATTGCCATACATCTTCCCATTCCTCCACTGCCCAATATACTGAGTCCCATTGCTCCATTGATACTTCCCCTGCCCGTTTAGCTCCCCCCGTCGCCATTCCCCCACATACTTATCCCCATTGGGATAGTACCTTGACCCTCTACCATGTTTCATGTTATAAACCCAAAACCCTCTATAAGCATCATTGGAGCTGCCAGTGTAAATGCCCTCACCATCAAAATAACCATTCTTGAATTGGCCTTCATAGGTGGCACCAGAGGGCCAGCTGAATCTCCCTTTGCCCATAGGCTTCCCATTCAACCAATCCCCAACATACATACACCCATCTAACCAGAGATATTTGCCTTGCCCATTAGGGCAATTGTCTGCCCACTGCCCTGTATACATGTCCCCATTGTTGAGGACCTTCTCAGCATGGTATACCTCCCCTGGGGTATCAAGCTCATCATCCACATGGGCCACTGACATCCTTGAAAATATGGCCCTTTTCTTCTTCCTGGCAACTGCTTGGGCTTTTCTTATGGTCAAATCTAAGGCCTTTACAATGCCACTCACTTCTCTGCTCATTCTTTCCCCCACCCCCACCTCTTCAATTCTTCTCTATTTTTGCCCCTTAACCCAGATCAATCTCCCCTTCTATTGCTATTGACAGCTTCATAGCAAAACCCACCACCATTTCTCCACCCACACCAGCAACAACAAGAGATACTGGCTGTGGATTAAAAAAAAAAAAAAAAGAAAAAAGAACAATGGCTGCCAGCAACAATGTGCCAAAATCAAACAACAACTGTACCAAAAACAGGTCTTTTTTGTCTATGTTTCTCAATTTTGCAATGATTTTCTGATACAAATTGGGATAGATGAAAATGATCCCAATATCAACAACAAAAATTTGATTTTTTTTTTCTCTGTATTTTTGACTGATTTGCTGAAGAAGAAGAAGAAGAAGAAGAAAAGTGTGTTCTTTTTTTGGTTCTATGAAATGGGTGTTGGAGAATTTTGACAAACAGGAAAGAAAAGAGGGACTTGAATCAATTTTTTTTTTTTTTTATTTCAAAAAAAAAATGTTAATTATTTTCAAAATTCGATCTTGATTGTACGTCAACTAGAGGTTGAGCAAACATGCTCCTCTTGCGACTTCCTCGTATCCGAGGTTGGTGCCTAGAGAATCTACTAACCGACCAAATAGATGAAGGGATGAGAGACAATTTGTAGATGATGCTTGCCATGTCTACCTAGCATTTAAACTAATTTATCTTTCACTATAATCTATGGAGTATAAAGATTTTTATTGATAAATATTATGTCATATTTTTTTTTTTTAAATAAGTAATAAAATTTTAAATATTATAAGATTACATGAGTTTATTCAAGATCTGAGTAATTTATTCATTGAAATACAATTATTTTAAAATTTACCTGAAATATTGGATTAAGAGCAAAAGGCTCGATAATGTATGTATTGAGATGAACTATCAAGTGGTTGTTCGAGCTCTGTTAGAAAATATTATCCCTCGATCATATCTGGGTATTGTCTTTAGTGATTGTCTTAAATTAGCTAAGTTTATCGAGTCTGTCTCTTTTTCTTTTGTTAGAAGGTCTGAGAACTTTAGCTTCTTTAGCTCATGGCTAATTGACTCCTGGCCTCTGGGAGACAATTTTCTCAAATAGTATTTGTCATCTTATTCAATAATAAATTATCAATTTGTTGACTTTCAAAAAAAAAAAAAAAAAACTTACCTGAAATATTTTATCATCCTTGAGTCTTGTCCTGATATAACATAATAAAAGAATCCTGACGGATCCAATTTTTGATTGCAGGATTGCCTACAATGGAACACCCATATATAGTTTGAATAAAGAAAGTCGGTCACGAGAACATGCTATCAACGTATCTATGAGATTTTGACAGCGGAGACAAAAAAGTTGCTGAGTTTTTCAGAATAAATAATTGAAAGAAGTAAGTTTAATGAAGATAAAGTGATAAGTTGTATGTAGAGTATTGATTGGGGCTCAAGGCGAGTTGGCAGCTATAGATCTCCTCCGTGCCGATGCAAGAGGAGCTTGTATGCGTAGAATCACTTAGTGGGGTCTTTACCCCTCCGTTGTACCAAATTCTTTTTATTTCTAAATAGAGATTTATTATTGATTAAATTGTGTTTAGAAAGTACGGGATGTATTTATAGAGATATAAGACAGTCTTAAGTAGAAATCCTAAAGATGATGATTTCCTCCTTTGCAGAAATTTTGGCAACAAATTGCTAAAGCTTTTGAGAGTTTTTATGTTTTTACTCCACATAGGTGAGTACGCACGGCAATTGCACATAAGATCCTTCAGGCATGTATAGGAACAGAACACAATGCAATTATGTAATAATTACGGTGAAATATTTCACAAGTTCGAATGTTAAAGTTAATTCTCACCTGATTAAAAATCTGTATATATCAATATATATATTTAGAGGGAGAGTCCTATTCTTAATACAATTACAATTTCTGTCCGACCATGCATGCTTAACAATATTACATCCCTATAATGCGCAATATATACTGTTAGCAAATAGCAACCTATTATATTTAGAAGTTTCGAAAAATAAATCTAATTAAAATTTCTATTTTGCGGTATACCATCAAATAAATTAATAATAGTATTTACATTTGGCATTACAAGCCAGCCAGAATAAAGCTATTTGAGTTGTGCTATTAATCTACAATTCAAATATCACATTTTCATCTTTTAAGAACACAACAATAGCTGTACAGTTCTACCAGCACAAATTTGACCTCTAGAAAAAGGATTCAAATAATCTCCCAGCAATGTAATGTGCACAGTATCCCCACGAGAAAGCTATGAAGCTATTTTACCCGAAATTCCTGCCTGAATGTTGTCAGGTTCTGGGTGAATTTGTCGCGGTTTTTTGAATCCAAGCTATTGGTGACATCCGTCATTAACTTGTCAAAACACATGGAGAGGCGCTGGTGCTGACCAATTGGCTGCAACAAAAACACTGGTATTAGTTTGAAGCATGAGAAGAAAACCCAAAACAGGAGACATATTAACAGGAATGGAACGGAAGAAATTGGGAACTCAAATAATTGGGCGAGGGTCAGAGAGTGCTTACCTGAGAAGCCAGAATCTGTGCTTTTAAATCACTGTATATCTGCATACAAAAACCAAAAGCAAGATGAGTTTACAAACACCATGATACTCCCCCAAACCCTGTCCAGAGATATAATTTCATGAACTTTTGACTTAATTTGGACGAAATATTTATGAGCATTTTACTGATCCTATACATGTTGAAGACAGTGTGCAAGACTCGTGCATTGTTTAGACAGTGTGCAAGACTCGTGCATTGTTTAGACAGTGTGCAAGACTCGTGCATCGTTTAGGGTTTATGGAAGGAAAATGTAAGCAATTTTGTTTTAGTATATAGCTTGTAATTAACTAATACAACTTTACAAAAGTAGGCATAGAACTATAAACAATCACCTGTTGGCTAATAAGTATCAACCCAAGCATTGGTCTGCTGAGGTTCCACTGGTTGCCATTGTCCTCAAAAAGAACAATCTCAAATAATGTTTTTAGCATCTGACAAGAGCATATAGAAAAAAACTTAATACACATCAAAATTCACATAATAGCTAACGTGAATTCTATCAATATTAAAACTTGCCAGTGACGCATAGTTTACACACTTGTGCGAATATTAAAGGCATTCAATTGTAATAAGGGAAAACTCATAACTCACTTGAGGAAACAAATTTTGAGATTCTGCAATATGTCCAGCGAGACGAACAGCAGCAGGTGAAGTGGGTGATTCCCCAATTGTGATGTTGTTGAAGTAGAATGAAGCGAGATTATCAATTGCAGATGCACACTGAGGGGTAAATCAAAAGCAGGCAGGATGTTAATAGTGCATGACAATTTCTTTGCTATGATATAACATATTGGTTTCATTACACAAAAGGAAATAATAGACAACTAATATATGGGTATAAGGCCTGTGAAGCTTCAAAACTTCTGCTTGGGATGAAAACCATAAGATTTTACCTGAGTGGATATACCAGCATCCAGAGCTTTCAGACCAGATTCCAGCGAACCAACCATAAACAGAAATGTTTTTGTATCAAGGTTCAGTACAAAAACTATGTGGCTGTTGAATAGGACTTCCAAAAAGGCAAAGTATGCCCTTGTCAGCTGCAAAAAGAAGAATTTATTGATACTAAGTTATCAATTTTATGCAGTGTGAAACCAAATATGCTATACTTAAAATATATGGCTGATTGAAATAATATGAATTACAACTGCACATAATATCACATGGTAAATTAGAAACGCAAGTGCAGACACATAAAACAAACCTTTGATGATTAACATAAATGGGTTTTTTAACATTTGATGTGTCAATGTGTTCAAGAGTCATGGCTTGTAGGAAGTAGGAATTAAGAATCCAAAAACAATGAGGGTTATGATATAATTCATGATTAATTTCTTAGCTTGTAGGAAGTAGGAACTAGGAAGTATAAAAAACCAACAAGGTTATGATATAATTGGTGACTGCATTTTATTATGCATCTATAGCTCTAATAGGGCAGTAGTAATCATGAAAACATCTCCATCTAGAAGTGGCCAACATAGAAGAAAAGGAAACAAAAATGAAAAGATGGATTTGCAAATTAAAATGTAAAACTCTGAATTCCAGACTGTACTTGGGGATATAACAATACTTGGTGAACAGGCTTATTTGGGGGTGTAGCGGGAAAAAGCCTCTTTTTCAAGAAGTTCTACGTGGGTGAAAGAGGTACTTAATTGAATATACTAATGTGATTTCCTGGAAAAAACAATTTTAAGCAGAATCAATGCTGCGCCAATGCGCCATAGGCCTCTGAAAAGGATAATTAGCAGGATATTCTTCACTAAATCTACAACCACAATAAAATCAATAGAAAAGTCACTCAGCACATACACTTCTCAATTTTCTTAGCCATTTCACCATTTCAAATGAACAATGACTCCTAGCAGAACAGAGAATGAGGTAATTTCAATTAGAAGAAGAGGGTCAACCCTTAATCTCTGATAAAAAGAAGAGACAATAGTTGATCTCCTAAGCCATCAGACTAGGATCTGTATCAATAAAGCAATTACTGAAAGAAAAAGGATCAACTGCACTCTGGAACTAAGTGCAAAAGTTCTTTTAGAAGCCTTTTACCTTCCTATAAGCAAAAATATCAGCCAGAGGAATTGACAGTGTCATTTTCAGGGTGATGTCAAGTACATCTGCAAGTGCTCTATCTCCATAGAGTTCAAACACACCGAAGTTCACATAATTCCCGCCAAGAGCTGTCATTTAGTCAAAGCCAATATTCCAGCATGCATAAAACATTTGCTGAATCAGACTCGGTGATTGCCTTTTAAATATATTTTTGCAATTATGTGAAAACTGAAAAATTACCTCTTGAAAGGATGGTTAAAGAAATCCATATTCCCTTGTATTTGTAGGCATAAATATCAGTAGGATTTGGAATTGACAAGATTCTTGATCCATAGGCAACAAGCAATTTACTAACTTCCCTAAAAAGAAGTATGCCATTTGGGGAAGATGAATCAAAGGTTAAACGCTGAGCTTTGTTTAACACAAACTCTGCCATAAATTTCAACAATGGCGTTGTGACCTATGAAATTCAATAGAAGAATTAGTTCACAGCTATATATGATTAAAGAGGGTTCTGTAGTCTCCTTTTGGAAAGCCATAGAGTGCAAAACATTAAATTAAAAATCTGCATGCAATTAAAATAAGAGGGGCAGTAATTAAAGCTAAACAGATACATTTATAATACAAGTACACAAGAAGTAATCAGGAAATACAGATAACAAAATGTTTACCAAGGCAAGCATAAATTTATATGCAGAATATTATTATGGGAATAAATAAACAAACTTAAATCAGTAGCATAACACTTCAATATAACATGGAATCTCATATGCACTTACCTCTGGAGTATCAGCCCAGTGTGAGATGCCCTTTAAAAGTACTGGCATGTGGGCAGGATATATCCAGTCAAAAAGTAGTCCAAAAGTCCTTCGACTGAAACAAAGAGAAAGGTTTATGTACAGCACAAGTCTTGACTAAAACCAATCTTGTAAAGTCATAATACATACTTATGAGTAGCCATCACAATCCCACGAAGATCCCTCACGAGTCCGATTAGCGCATGCTTCACTGTATCAGTTCGAAACATTGTGTCCGGTACTGATTCCAAAGTGAGAAAAACCTAATCAGACACCCAAGAACATCAAGTTATTTCAAGTTCAACTTTAACTACATTCAATCATGCCATATACATAGCAGTATTTAACACACACACAGTTCCATAATTCAAGAAAGGCGACTTCAATATACAAGACATGCTTAACAAACTACAAATAGAATGAAATATATTGAAATTTTTTTTAACTGACAATAACTTAAACCAAACAACTTCACATATAGTTAAATAGGACTGTATTCAATTTAATACTAAAGCATCAATTTCTTCAAAGAGGTCTGAGAATGATAGGAAGGATCATTTAGTTACTGAGAGAGGTGTGTTCTTACAAAGAAGAGAGGCTTGAATTTGGATAACTTGCAGAACAAAAATGATTATGCAATAGGAAAATGACAGCCATTTCCCTCATGAGCCAAACAGGTATATCTCTCCAAATCTACAAGTTCGTTGTGCCTTGTGTGCAAATATATTTTATTTCTACCGTTATTAAAGACTGAGAAGAATTTCCTAATTGGATTGCTAAGAGCGGTAACACTTCTGATCTTATACTAAAAACTTGTGACAGGTATTTGCTTGGTATTAGTAGGAATCACCAATTCACTCTTTCTCCCAATACTTTTCATGCTTGAGTACAACTATAATAACAAAAGCACCAGAAGAGCTCATTGAAATTTCACATTAAGTACTTGGCAAATCAATCATGTATTTTAATGAGGTAAACCAATAAAGTGCACTTTTTTCCACTTTCTAGTCCTCCAAATGGAAAACACTTTTCCAAATAAATAAATAAATAAATAAATAACAGATCTGCCTGGAGTGGAAAACTATCCTCCAAATTTCCATTTTTCCAATTTGAACACAAAATCCATTTTTCCTTTTTTGTTTTCCAATTTTTGGGAAATTTGGAAAACTTTTCTTTTGCTGAAGAGCCCCTAACTATAAAAAATGCATATTTGCCAAGTAAGAAATGAAGGGGATAGATTGCACCTGGCGAAGAGGATCCATTGATAATTTGAATTTTGCAGAACTATCCTCCACAAAGATCAGCCATCCAATAGCGTAGTAAAAGGTTGTTCTAGTTCGAGAGCATACATGCTTTTCTAGAAATGGGAAGTGTTCTTTCTAAAGATACAAATCCATCAATACCAAAAGAGGAAAAAAAAAAAACTAATCAATTGTATGCAGATATTTTATAAAGTAATCATCATTAATAATTAATTTATTGACAAGTGAGATTAAAGAATAGAACTACCGTATGATGCGCAATTATAAACTTAACAGTATCCAACTTGAGAAGTAGCTTCTGAGTCATGTAACTGCAAACAAATTCATGCTTCCTCTAGTTTGTAAGATATTTGAAATATTACAAAACTCCAACTGTCAAAACTTTATAAAGTCAAACTAACCCAGATGCCAGCTCCAGAAAAAGATTCAATGTATGATCAATGAGTTCTTCACTCTGAATGTTAGAATAGAATGAGATACAACATAAACCACTGAAAAATGATAGAAAATAAGAGATCAAGAAGATTCACCTCTGTATAACACCTGAGGTTTGTTGCAACTTTCCGGACAAAGAAATCCAATAACAAAAGATGATCATGAAGTCCAAGAAGCTCAGACAATCGGACATACAACTGCTGCAGCAGAAACAGATTGCATTAAAGTACCTATTCATTCAATATAATGGTTTAGATGCTAAACGAAATTCCACATTTCCTATTACCTTTGAAGAATGCATAGCCTGATCACCTACATAAGACTTTCTGAAGTGCTGAAAAAAGGTAAGAATTGCCTTATCAAGCCTCTGCTTGCTTGCTTCACCATATCTCTGCAAATCACTTGTTAACTTATCACAAGCACAAGCAAAAAGAAATGGAAAACAGGCACTATTTTAAAAGTAATATGGTTAAAGAAGGCTCAGAATATTGCAAAAACAGAAAAAGAGCAATCTATGTCAAAATAAGATAGCATCACAACTGGAGAGAGCTTTCCTGCGGCAAAGGAGTCATGTGTCAGAGTATAATAAATCATTAAAAACAAGCAAATAGTATGCACTATAACTGGTACGTCGTACTTGTGCAGTAGTTGTGCACTCTCCAGTGATAAAAATGCCACAAACAGAACTCTTTTTTTTATAGATGCTTGCATCAGCATCAGAAAATATTAAACCAAAAAGGATTGCTCCAGTACTGGTTTTAGTTTCTCACAATTTTGGCAACTTCAAATTTTTATGGTGAGTCCAGAATAGTTCAGTTATTATAAAAACCAAAATCATTAAACATGAGCACTGAAGGTCTACTAGCAATGAGACAAATCCTACATACTATATCAAGAACATAAAAAACCAATAAATAAGACAATAAGACTTATTTCGCCATCTTAAATATAACCTAATATAGTAAACATCATTGACAGCTGTATACCTGACTATGTAATCCACTATCTGTCACATTTACTAAACGAATAACACGAGCTGAGAGTTCTGCATCAATCACTTCTTGGGAATCTGTGCTGCTGAGACATGCCATGCAAATAATAAAACATTTCAGGTTGCAACAGAGATTTCATGACCTACTACTGTAAATGATGGGCATAAATTGTTTTCAAAAGTTAGCAAAATAAAAAAGGTGAAAAACGGAAAACAGACTTGGTAATTTAATCTTTTACCTGAAACCGACACACTGTCTTATCTTTAAGACAGCAGAAATTATATGAACAACCCAAGCAAGCTTGTCTTCAATAACAGACAGCTCAAAGTTACTACTACCATTCTGAAGCTGTGCTCTTTCCTAATGAGGCCAAGAATAGTTGGAACTTAACTCTTGAAAAGTCTAAATCTAAATAATAGAATATCTGCTTATTGCGGAATACAGATACAAATATACCGTGTATGCCTGCAGTATAGGCTCCATGATATTTATTATAAACAGGCTGCATCTGTCATACTGGAATCAAAACAATGAATGGCAAACAAATCAGTCACTAGAAATAAAATTCAAACAGTATAGGCTAAAAAATTAAGCACCAGATGATTTTGAAACACAAACAAGGAATCCAAAGATGATATGCAGCATATACCTGAAACCTACAAAGTTGTGGAAAGCAATCAAGATGATCTTGAAGAAGCTCAGTGTTGTCCAACAAGTTCTCTGATAGGTCATCAGGAAGACTGGCCTATAATTGGCAAGTCTATAATTTTCGAATATAATATATATACAGAGAAAATGGTTAAGGGAAAAGCAGAAGAGGCCAGATATGTATTCTGAACAATACCTCCACAGAATCAAACCTTGATGTGATAAATCCTTCAGTGATTTTTGGAACAAATTCATCAAGCAAGCTTGGCGCATCACCCTTCAGGTATGGTACAGAACTTACCAACCTAGACCATAGTCCCAATAGGTAATATACGCTGCTGCTAGCCCACTGCATGTAAACAGAAGAAGGCCACTATTTCAAGAGCCAGAAACAAACATTCACCCAATAACAATAACAATAACAATAACAATAATATAGAAAAGCTTTAAACAACAATTTTACCTGCCAAGACTGTAATGACTTAAATGTGAATTCTGCCACCAACCGTATCCATTCACCATATCCTTCCACATTCACAAGTTCTGATAACTGCAAACAGAATGAACTTACTGGAGGAAAAGCATACATATCTGCCATATAAAATTTGAGGCTCTATTTTTCAACTACACATAAAATACATAAAAATAAAAGCTCCAATTATCACTAGGAACATACACGAACCAACCTCAAATATATACAAAGCCTAATCATATCTGAAAGAACAGCACAAGATAATAGACTAAATTTCCAGAGAATTTTCACACTATAGTAATTCATAATTTTAGAAATGCCAAGGGCAGTCTCTCCATGCTTTAGACAGGTACAAAATATTCCTTCAAATATGAAGGAAGAGCAAATTTGGAGCAAGTAGTCGTAAGTCCTGGATTTTAATTTTTAAAGCAATGTATAGCTCAGGCACAAAAGCTTACCCTAAAATCAGCCCATACTTTTAATTCCAATACCATCCCAGTGACTCTAAATTTTCTTACTCTTAACGTATACCTACCCCAAATGTAGAAATCATGCATGCCACTTAAAGTTTATGCATAATTCTCCAAAAACTAGAAGTAACATTATATTAGTAACAGCATGACATTGCATAGACATGAATGTGTGCCTACAACAGTAAAACCTATCCTGAGAAGAAGCACAAAATAATCTGGTAGGTACTATCCGGGGAAGAAGCACAAGATAATCTGGCGGCATCAACATTCAACAGTCAAGGACATGAAAACAAAGCAATAGAAGAAAGAGGGGAGGGGGGAAGGGGAAAGAATACCTGATAGTTTATTCTGAATCGTCCAAGAAGACGACAAAATTCATGGTAATTATCATGATCACTGAGACCTGAATCCAAATCCAAGATGAATAAAGCACATGAAACAGATAGAAAACAAAGGGAACAAGCCTGTTATAGACAAATATCCAAATCCATATAACTTCAAATCAATTGAAGTTTGTCAATATATCACGAACGTAAATGCACCTGTTATAGACAAATATGGCACTAAGTGTCAGAGAATACAATAAAGAATAAGAAGGCAAAACATATACCTATACCAGATCGTAGAATATCTTTGGTTCCTGTCATAAGATGGGCCAAGAACTTTGAGCGTGCATCATCATCTGTGAAAACAGAGCGTCTTATAGAAGCCAGCCGTACCAGACACTCCAGCGCCTAGGAACAGAACAAAAAAAGTCAAGGAGAAAAACTTAACTCTTCAACAGAAAGCTATAGCACATTCAGAAGTTAAAAGCAAAACTACTCAAAATGTAGCCAAAACCAGCTCAACAATATTTCTCAGACACAGAAAATTTCAATCATCACAATCGCCATATGAAGGATGTACTCTAGATGGAGCGGATGCGCTCAAAAAGAACATAGAAGTTAAAGTTGCCAATTTCTGTCAAACTAAAAAGTGAAAACCAAAATAAATTTAGATTCCTATATTGATCTTCAAATATCCAAGCAATATGCTCAAGCCAAATGCTCGAATGAAATGCATTAAGAAAATCAATAAGAAATTAACCTCCTTGGAAAGAGGGGCCTTCGCAAGAGCATAGTAATCAAAAAAGATCTGCAGAGTATTGGGTTCCTCTAAGATCGACTTCCAAGAAGATGAAACCTGTAAAATAAAATTGACAGTTTTATGAATAGTGTAAAAAGAATAACTGCAACAATCCTGACTATAAAAGAAATGGACAATCTCATTTAGTATTCTTGATGAAAAATATTCATTCCTCAAAAACTAACTTGTACCTGAAGAGTACCAAACTCGTCAGAACTTTCATCTATAGATGTTCCAATAAAATCAAAAGACAAACACTTCATGGAAAGTGATAGTGCCAATTCCTGCAATCGACTGATAGCTGCAGTTTGGGCATGCAACCACCATATGTGGATCACATAGTGAGTATCAACAAAAATCAAAATGACAAAAACTATCAGCACATTACCATCATTTTTTAGCTGATGCAAGGAAGTTATAGATATCCGGAAAACTTGCAAAAGAGACTGATCCCGGAAGGAGAATGCCACCTTCCGATGATGAGTTGAAGGCAACCCCGGGTTTGGCTGAATGTTTAAAGAGAAATCAATACTGAGAAAATCCTTGCTGTAAAAGAAATTATGAAGCACGGTATCTTGTGGAGAAGTATTTAACAGTTGATATGGAAGTAATGGAGTATAACCTTGACCTCAGGCCATGCATAATAGCACAAGTTAAATGGTAGTAGTACGTAAGCAATCAAACCATAACATTTGAACTTATATACATCACGCAAGATTTTGCAACTTCAGTTCTTCAGAAAATATATGTATAACTGATAGATATATATGGTCTCTTCTTGTAGTAAAATAATATATACCCATGTTCTCTTATTACTTATAATAATACACAAACCACAAGTAACAGTTCTTATGAGAAGTTAGCATTAAATAATTCATATCATACACTGAGCATATAATAACATTCAACATATACGAATCATCAAAAACAAAATAACATTGACCCATTGTTTCAAAAATACCCAAAAGAGGAACTTATATCAATTTAAACAAAAAAAAAAAAAATTACAAAATATTTTCCTGCAGGTTTCAAGATCACCCCCACCCAACACCCACCCACCCCCCCCCCCCCCCGAAAAAAAAGAAAAAAGAAAAAAGAAAAAGAAACTACTAAACAAATTGCAAAACTCAACCTGATTCATCTCACAAACCAGCTGATTCAAGATCTTTAGACCAATGGCATAATGATCAGATGTTGCCTGTAGAATGAAAACAACATAACAGGATTAAATCTTCCATTTGGCAATTTGACAAAGGAAAATAATTTTTTTTGCATGCATTAACAGTAAATGCATTTAAAGGGAGTCTTCAAGACATTTCAGAGTAAATTACCAAGTCAAGTAGTCAACCATTTGGTTCATTCCCAAATGCAAGGTGGAAGAAGCAACCTCACCTAATACGGAGAAATTGGTCAATTTCAGCCCAATTCCACATTTCCACCTGCTACTACCTCTAACTTGCCCACGCCCTATTAGACAGACAACTTTTTTAAATTTAAATTATTTTTAAAAATTTTATTGTACTCCTATCACCAACTCTAAACTAAACATAATATTGTTAGTCTGATCATTTCATCCCATTGATATTTCTCTAGACCAAACACAGGACTAACTATCCAGTCCCATACAAGCATGCCTTTCCTCCAAACTTTCATAGTCCCCTCAATATCAAGCTCATAATGCCCCAATTTCTTGCCACAATTTACTTAAGGTAGCAAAAAAAAAAATTCAAATCAATGCATAAGTAGTGCAAGGTTCAAGATAATTGCCATTATGAATGTCAGGTAGCATTATTGGAAAAGAAAAGGATGGCTTTGATTTTCAAAACCACACCTAGAGCATCATTACTGTAAACCATAAAGGGGTATAACTTCATCAGATATTGTAGTCACTATCCCAGGTTTTTTATGCTCTGTTATTGCAAATTTTGAAGTGGAATATTGCAACTTCTTGCTTTGTAAAGAAAAAGAAACCATAAATAAATGCCATACTTACATAAATCCCAAAATTACCTGAGTCATAAATTTAATTGATTCTGTAACCAGTTCTCTAAATCTATCATCATCAAACCACCCAAACTTGGTAATTCGGCATAAGAGTTGAATAAGAGATCCAATCACAAAAGGCTGCAATTTAGGACCTCTGCTTGCCAGATAGTTTATGAGATAGTTCCCTTCATTAAAAACAAAGTCCAAGAACAGAAATTTAGGGAGAATAAAAGTGTCAGTTACAGATCCATTAATACTAGAACCAAAAATTTATAAATTTTGCAGATAAGGAATGCAACAGCTTGAGATTTATTCGCTTAAAAGTTTGTTTGCTTCTGATCATGCAAGAAAAATATAACAAGAGATGATATACTAACTAATATCATGCACATATAGTTTAGTAGCAGACTAACCCTGGGAAGAGAAAGCATTAGCAGTTCTTAATTTCTTATAAATTAAAAAGTAAAACAAAAAAAATATTACAGAGATCTAGGCGGAGCTGCAAGGAAAGACTATGCGCAGAGACTTGCTTCAAGAGGCTTGAACTAGCCAGCATCAGTGCATAAGGAGTCAATGCATTATCCAGAATAAACTGGCATTGCGAAATGTAATCAATATTTGCAGAAAAGCATTTAAGAGTATTCTCAACATGCGCTCGTTCAGATGAGTCCTGGGAAGTGTATAGCCTCTCACACAATGCCTCTAATTGTGCTAAACTCTCCATTATCAAACAACCAAACCAGAGAGTCTTCAAAAAATTTCAGAGCAATAACTGAAGCTTATCCAATCCAATTCCAGTCTACAATTTTATCAGAACACGAGGTCACTTCCTTGGAAAACATGGAAGCACATTATATCATTATAAACAGCAAAACATTTCCTTCAGCATAACATCAACAACAATTAGCAAATGAAACAAAACATAAAAACAAACCAACAGGGGAAAAAAAAAATTGTGCTTGCCATGAGACACACACCTCAACCATCAGGCAGGCATTGCTAATTGCTATTTGCTAACGTATAATTAAACTTGATTATCCAACAAGGGAAACACAACTTTGTCTTCTATTTCTAACTAATGATCACTTTAGTTTAAAAAGATGAACTATAAAACTCAGCACTGATCGCACAAATCCATAACCATTCTCCAACAGCAAGAATAGCAACACAACATTCTTATTGAAAACAGAACCATTTCAGCAATGCTGATGGATCACAACATAATGTTCTCACTTGTGAATTTATATTACAAATAAAAATTCCTCCCATTAACAGGAAGTGAAAATGAGATTGAAAAAAAAAAAACAAAAACAAAAACAAAAAAACAAAAAAAAAAAAAAACAAAAAATGTACAATTTCGCATATACAGAAAAGCTTTAGAATAAAAGATTTAATGAACCGTGAGCCGATCAGCCGCGGAGAGACTTCTTCTGCGATAATCCTGTCTGGCAAATAAACTTACAAAAATGAAATGAAAATGGATAATTTATAGAGATGCGATAAAATTTAGAGAAAGAGATGAAGGATGTGGAATCACCTTATGAATCGGAATTATAGATATTTAGGTCGTGAGAGGAATCGGCGATGGCGATGTTTTTGAGGTTCATATAGCAGTGCCTCTCTCAAGTCTCAACGCAAGCGCATACGTACTAATTTTATATTTACCGCCGATAAAATGGAGATTCCAACCCGCGAGTCCGCGACCACTCCCCCTTAATATACTCCTTTGAGATTTTGAAGGCTAAAACAGTAAAACCAGCCGCACCAAATGAACTTTAAAATATATAGAAACAATTTATTTTTTTTTCCATTTTAGGTTTATCTAATTCCAAATTAGGTCCTGATTATCAAGATTTCATTCTAGATTAGGTTTTTATGCAAAATTAGTATTTCTGCACGTGCGATGCACGGAATGAATTTGTTGTAATATATTAAGAATATTTGAATTGCTATATAATTATTTAAATTAAAACATCAAATATTATATAGTGCTATTTTTGTCTAGATACATAGCAATTTTGTCATTTCAAAAAACATAATTTGCGCTTCTAGAGCTAACACCTTCAGTCCATCAGGATGGGTGACTCGGGTGAAAAATATTATAATGATAGAATATTAGTGAATTAATTAACGATCATTTTATATTTTAAGTCAATTAGTAATATCAAATTCATTTTCAGTCAATTATTCTTTTTTATTTTTAGTCAATTAGATTATCATATGCCGTGATATTTTAACCTAATTTATGTTCCTTTTATTTATTTATTTATTTATTGATGATGTATACTATTGTTATTGAAATATTTTTGTTTCATTTTTAATTTCCGTTTCATTGTTTAAAATTGTGAAAAATTTACGACTTAATTGTGATTTGATTTATTATACTGTATAATATTATTGTGAAAATTTAAAATGCAATGATTTGACTATTTCTTTTTTCATTTTAGTCAATTATGAATCATTTTTTATTTTCAGTCAATTATTAATATTCATTTCCTTTTTAATTAACCTAACTTATGTTCTTTTTTATTTTTATTTTTAATTTCCAGTCAATTATTAATATTCATTTTTTCTAATTTACCTCATTTTCATTACATTTTTAATTGATGATGATGTAGAATATTATTGTGAAATATTTCTTTTTTTTTTATTCGTATTTTCATTCTTTTTTTTTTAATTTATCTTTACTATTTACTATTGTTTGGACGAAAAATCAAGTAAATATGATTTTGTTTTTAATTATAGTATAGATTAGTATGACAATGATGTTCAAAAAATATCTCTCATTCCAATTAACCTAATTTATGTTTGTCCCAACAAATTTTCCTCCAAATGTTAAAACATTTATTGTACATATTAATTTATAAATATATTCATGTAATTCCCAAAAATTTTCCTTCCAAATGTGAAAACATTTATTGTATTCGTATTAATTTATAAATAGATTCGTGTAATTTAACATGTTGAGTAAAATAAAAATATAATATCAGTTACTATTATTATTACTATTATTATTATTATTATTATTATTATTATATAGATTATAGTAATTATTATAGTAATAATAATTCATATACAAAACAAAATTTTCACATACAGAAACGCGGAATCATACAATAAATTAATATGAATAGAATAAATGTTTTCACATTTGGAGATACAAATTTTTAGAATTACATGAATCTATTTATAAATTAATATGAATACAATAAATATTTTCACAAGTAATTATAGTAATAATAATTTGTTACAAGGCTAATAGGATGCATGATTTCGTGTTTCTGTATGTGAATTATTATTACTATAATCTCTATCTCTATCTCTATATATATTAAAGCAAAATATTTGTCCCAAAAATTTCTCTCCAAATGTGAAAACATTTATTATATTCATATTAATTTATAAATAGATTAATGTAATTCTCAAAAATTTCCCGCAAAATGTGAAAACATTTATTGTATTCATATTAATTTATAAATAAATTCATGTAATTTATTTAATTTAACATGTTGAGTAAACGAATAATATAATATCAGTTACTATTATATATATATATATATATATATATATATATATATATATATATATATATATATATATATATTAGTAATTATTATAGTAATAATAACTCACATACATAACGAATTTTTCACATACAGAAACGCAAAAGCATGCATCGTATTAGGCTTAATGAATTATTATTACTATAATTACTTTTTACTATAATAATAATAATAATAATAATAATAATAATAATAATAATATAATAATAATAATAATAATAATAATAATACTATAATACTATCTCTATCTCTATCTCTATATATATATTAAAGTAAAATAATTGTCCTAAAAATTTCCCTCCAAATATGAAAACATTTATTGTATTCATATTAATTTATAAATATATTCATGTAATTTCCAAAAATTAGCCTTCCAAATGTGAAAATATTTATTGTATTCATATTAATTTATAAATAGATTCATGTAATTTAACATGTTGAGTAAAAGAAGAATATAATATCAGTTACTATTATTATTATTATTATTATTTTATTATTATTATTATATATTATAGTAAGTATTATAATAATAATAATAATTCACATACGGAACGAAATTTTCACATACAGAAACACGGAATCATGCAATAAATTTATATGAATACAATAAATGTTTTCACATTTGGAAGGAAAATTTTTCAGAATTACATAAATATATTTATAAATTAATACGAATGCAATAAATGTTTTCACAAGTAATTGTAGTAATAATAATTTGTTATAAGGCTAATAGGATGCATGATTCCGCGTTTCTGTATGTGAAAATTTTGTTATGTATGTGAATTATTATTACTATAATCTCTATCTCTATATCGCTATATATCTATCTCTATATATATTAAAGCAAAATAGTTGTCCCAAAAATTTCCCTCCAAATGTGAAAACATTTATTGTATTCATATTAATGTATAAATTGATTCATGTAATTCTCAAATATTTTCGCTCAAAATGTGAAAACATTTATTGTATTCATATAAATTTATAAATAGATTCATGTAATTTAACATGTTGAGTAAAAGAATAGTATAATATCAATTACTATTTATATATATATATATATATATATATATATATATATATATATATATATATTAGTAATTATTATAGTAATAATAACTCACATACAGAATGAATTTTTCAATCATGCATCGTATTAGGCTTAACGAATTATTATTACTGTAATTACTATTTACTATAATAATAATAATAATAATACTATAATACTATCTCTATCTCTATCTCTATATATATTAAAGTAAAATAATTGTCTCAAAAATTTCCCTCAAAATGTTAAAACATTTATTATATTCATATTAATTTATAAATATATTCATGTAAATCCCAAAAATTTTTCCTTCCAAATGTGAAAATATTTATTGTATTCATATTAATTCATAAATAGATTCATGCAATTTAACATGTTGAGTAAAATAAGAATATAATATCAGTTACTATTATTATTATTATTATTATTATTATTATTATATAGTAATTATTATAGTAATAATAATTCACATACAGAACGAAATTTTCACATACAGAAACGCAGAATCATGTAATAAATTAATATGAATACAATAAATGTTTTCACATTTGGAGGGAAAATTTTTCAGAATTACATGAATCTATTTATAAATTAATATGAATACAATAAATGTTTTCACAAGTAATTATAGTAATAATAATTTGTTATAAAGGCTAATAGGATGCATGATTTCGCGTTTCTGTATGTGAAAATTTTGTTCTGTATGTGAATTATTATTACTATAATCTCTATCTCTATATATATTAAAGCAAAATAGTTGTCCCAAAAATTTCCCTCCAAATGTGAAACCATTTATTGTATTCATATTAATTTATAAATAGATTAATGTAATTCTCAAAAAATTCCCTCAAAATGTAAAAACATTTATTGTATTTATATTAATTTATAAATAGATTCATGTAAAAAAAAAATATTGAAAGTTAGGTTCATTCTTTGGTACTTGGTAGTAAAAATAAAAAAATAAACATTCAATGTAATAAAAAATGGATATTCAATATATTAAATTTATAATGATTATATATTGATATATTGATGGTGTAGGCCTTGTGACATAAATTGCGTGGAAAGCATATTAGTGGTCCAGTTCTTGAGATTAATTCAGTCAAAATATTCATTTGAAAGTAATTATGTTGATCGTTACAAATGTAATGACATTTAAAATAGTGCTTACCATGATTAATGACCACCAACGTAACCAAAGTCATCATCTAACCAATCACGCCATCCAACAATTATAGGTCAATAGATTCACTAAATCCTCTAAATTAAGAGTTATTATCCTAACTAGTATTTTCACCCGTGCGATGCACAGAATGAATTTGTTATAATATATTAAGAATATTTAGATCGATATACAATTATTTAATTATAACATTAAATATTATATAATGCAATTGAATATATGGTTTGGATCGTTTATGTTTGTTGATGTTATCATTGCTTGAATTCGAGCAAATAATTGCCAAAATTAATAATTAATTTGCAGATGTATGCATGCGGTGTTGTAAATTTAGAGATTTTATACTCGCATGGGCTTAGCTCAATGGTTTAGTGGGCAGTATTTGGGATAAGAGACCAAGGTTCGAACCTTGGTGGAGGCAGTGTGGGAATTATGTCCAAAGTGAGCAGATTCCTTGTGTGCATCGGCATTGACCTTGCCTGTGTGGGGAACCCATTGAGCCACCGTGATTTTATATATCATTATTTAGGATTTTTATA